ACCATATTGGTTAGTAACATGCGGAAGAGGCCTTCATCCTGCAAGAGGCCTTCATCCTGCAGTGGATAATGAAAGAGAATGTGTGCGTCAGAGATGGCTTTCAACAGGTTCTGACCGGTTCTGGAGAACGGGTAGCAAAAATTTTGAGTAGTTAGGAGAACTGATAAATACCACCTCTGACTGGCCCCACCCCCATCTATTCTCTGCCTCCCAAGTCCCAGCTAATTGGGAGGAAATGGGGATTTTGCAGTAATCTTCCCCTCGAGTGAGATGGGAATGGAGATTTTACAGTGTTCTTCCCCTGCCACGCCCACCAAGCCATGCCCACAGAACTGGCAGTAAAAAAATTTGAATCCCACCACTGGTGTGTGTGTGTGTGTGTGTGTGTGTGTGTGTAGCTCACAGTATAATAAGTTTTTTAAAATGATAAAAAAATTTTTTTAAATGAATAGAAAAGCTAAAGGTTAAGAACCAAGACGAGGGATGCCTATGGATGAGAATCTTCTCTACCCTCTCAGCCATCCTCAAAGTAACAAACAGCAGAGGGGGGCCACAATAAACAGCAGAGCCACATTTTTAGGCTCTTCTAGAAGGTCAGGATTGTAGGGATGGTTCTCGCCTCTGATGGAAAGAGATGAAAAAGCTCTTCTGCTAGACCCACCAGCCGAAATTCTTTGGCTGACAGAATCTGAAATTGGCCCTTTCTGCTGGAACATGTGTGGCAGGTTAGTCCTGGATGAGATAGTTCCTCAGACACCCTGGATATTATGACTTTAAGCAACATATAACTCCAGAAATAAAGTGAGATTTCTGTGTATCTAGAATGTGTAGCAAGTTGTCCACACTATTTGAATGATTAAAACGAAATGCGAAAGCCAGGAACTCTGAAAGGAATTCTTAAAAATAGGGGAATGGGCATTAAAATAGCAAATGTCATTCAGTATAAGCAATAGAAGAAAAGTAAAGTAATGCACACGGAGACAAAAAACATCTTCATACTGTGTATATATATGTTGATGAGAGCTGAGCCCCTGGGAACTGAAAAGAAAAGACAGTATAAGGGCTGTGATGGATAGTTGAATGTAAATACTAACTCAGTATGGGGGCCTTTTGTTAAAAGCAAATTCTATCCTGGGGTTAGAAAAGAAAATTTAAATAAAATTACCACCTGTCATTTTTATTCATTTTATTGATATGCCATTCCTCATCTCAGAATGAGCCCCAACATAATGCCTTTATAGAAATAGATGATGTCTTTATCTGGAATATTTCTACCATAATGACACCTCAATATGACCTTCTACAGCTGTAGGAGAGTTACCACAATGACCTGGGCAATTCTACTATGAGAGAAAGTTACCGGTATATCTTGAGACTTGTTTAGTTTAGGGGGGAAAAGACAACTTGAGAGCAGAGGACTTGAATGTGTATTATGTATGGTAGGGAAAGAGTAGTTGTGGAAAGATTTTCTCTTTCCTACTACTAGGGAATTTTCTGAAGTCAAAGTCAGATAGGTGATGGCCTTTATCCTGACATCTTTTAAAAGGGAATGAATAATTTCTTATGACAAATTCAAATTCACAAATGACTCTAGTCACAGTCTGCTCTGTACTGTTTTCAGGAGCAAACGCATTATATTCTGAATATTACTAGATATAGCTATTATTTTCATGCTCATTTTATGGGCATCAATACTTGAAAAATAAACATGATGCTCCAAGTTTCCTTAGAGGTATCCTCAACATACTGTAGCACCCTAATAACAGTGGATAAGTAGGAAAATATATCTGAACAATATCTCTGAATTCAATATGGTTCAAACAAGCACCTACTTTTAATACGAAGCATTTTCTTTCCTTTTTAAATGGGAGAATCCACTTGGGAATGGACTGTGATTCTATAGTCTATAGCATGGGTGTCAAACTCACAGCATCATGTTGCCATCATGTGATGTATCGCGATGTTTTCCCCCTTCACGGATCTGGGATGGGCATGGCCTATGCATGACGCATCCGGCCTGTGGGCTGCCAGTTTGACACCCCTGGATAGAAATGTTTGTGTATTTATTCAATTTGTACAGTCACCCAGCCCATATATGTGACTTTGACATAAATAATCCAATTAGCTGCCTGGAAACAATGTCTCAGATAGCATAAATTTTATTACTGCTACAAATTTTATTTATTTATTTATTTATTTATTTATTTATTTATTTATTTATTTAGTATACCGCCCTTCTCCCAGAAGGGACTCAGGGCGGTGAACAGCCAAAATTAAAAAACATACAAATACAAAAGTTAAGATAATTAAAAAGAATTAAATCACTAGCTTCCCAATTTAAAACCCCCGAATCCATAAAATTTAAAATCCCAATTAAAAACCATTTAGGCTAGGCCGGCTTGATGGAATAAAAACGTCTTCAGGGCTTTACGGAAGGTACGGAGGTCCGGGATCAATCATATTCCAGGAGGCAGCTCATTCCACAGGGCGGGTGCCCCCACAGAGAAGGCTCTCCCCCTGGGGGCCACCAGCCAACATTGCCTGACCGACGGCACCCTGAGGAGGCCCTCTCTGTGAGAGCATATTGGCCGGTGGGAGGTTATCGGTAGCAGCAGGCGGTCTCGCAAATACCCTGGCCCTAAGCCATGGAGCATGAAATTTAATAATTCTATCTTCTTACACCTGGAAATGGAGTCAGATACCACAGAGGGACTTTCTTCGGCTACTATCTGAATCCTTGAGGGAGTTCATGACTGAGCAGATATTTGAAGAAAATGTCCATATTCATTAAAGATCTTGAATTCATATCAAATATCAAGACAAAGAAGCAGTGTGTGTCTGACAAGCAGTCAATGGGGAAGCCAGATTCACTTAACAACTATGTTACTGACTTAACAACTGAGGTGATTCACTTAACAACTGTGGCAAGAAAGCTTATAAAATAGGGCAAAATTCAGTTAACAACTGATTCACTTAGCAACAGAAATGTCAGCCTCAATTATGGTCATAAATTGAAGGCTATCTGTATCATTTTATATTTTACAGAGAAATTTAGAAGAAATGTGAAATGTTTGCTATCTGAAAGGATTACTGAATGCCTGCTTTTAAAATTGCAGCCGATTTTCATGGGAACTAAGTTGCTGAAAGCATTCAAGATAATAGGTGATAGTGTTCACCATTTAGCATTTGGCTGACCTCCCGTATTGAGAGTATATTGCTGATTTTATCTTCCAAGGTCCAAAGATAGGAAAGATAAGCCATTATCTCTTACTCATCCAAAGCAACTGGCATCAGAAGAGAAATCTTTTGTTTCTGTGTTTCTATTGCAAACCTCTCTTTAGCGAGGTCACCATTAAAACCAGATCTTTGTCAGTAGGATAGCTTTATTTTCCTGCTTAATATTATTAGTGCTTCTTTTCTAAAAAGAATAGCTTTTTGATCACTTTTGCACAACAAAGTTGCATTATAATGGCAATGAAGGGGTGTGCAACTGTGGCTAATGAGGCCTTAACACAGGGCTGTCAAACTCCCAGCCTGCAGGCCAGATGCGTCACGTGCTGGCCACACCCCCGCCCGGTTTAGCGAAGAGGAAAAAAGTCTCGATATGTCACATGACACTGTTGTGACGTGAGTTTGACACCCCTGCCTTAACACAACACACCTCTACACTATCCAAATACTGCATTGGTGCAAAACTTCTGGTTACTTACAGAAAGCCACCAGAGAATGTCAACTTCTGCCTCCAAAGGGTCAAAGTATGTATTTCAGAATCATAAATCACGTCAACATGGATGGTATAGGCAAGCTTAAAGTGTAGTGGGAACATCCTTGTATTATTAAATTGCCTTTGAGCCAAATTATTATAACGCAATAGCAAGTGTGTGTAACAGCACATACACACCCCTTCCAGAACAATGCAGCTGAAGGATGCAGTTATTTAAATTTTACCGGTAGTTTGTGTAAGAGCAAGCAGTATTATAGGAACTGTGAGGACTTGTTCCTTTCGCTTCTGAACCTTTTTTATCCTTCAGTATGTCTTCTTCAAGATACTTTTCCCATGCCTGGAAGAGGGGTTTTTGTTTATCCCACACCCATGAAAAAGCAGCAGGAGCAGATTTAGAATTCCTGCTGTGTAATAAGTTGCCCCTTAAATCAATCAGTGTCTCAGTCTTACCCTTAAGCAACTGGAAAAACGTATTTTTCGTACCATAGTAGGATATGAGAATTTCTGGAAAATATGTTGACTACCTAAGAATTTTGATCTTCTAAAAACATTGTTCTAGAATGCATATAATTTGGGATCCAGTTGTGCAATAGACACAGCATGTGTGTGTGTGTATATATGAGTGCTCCTGTGCTAGAGTTAAATGAAAACTTTCAAAAATGCCTACATCTTAAAACTTATGTTGCCTCATCATAATATCTTGTGATTTTAGGAAATATTGCTATGAGGCTAAGCTTTCTCCCATGATGCCCAAATAGTCTCAGCAGACTTGGGCAATAAGCCACACTTGCATAGACCATACATGTGTTATATGCAGCTTGTCATGAATGTTTATGAACTGGGCTTGTAGTTTAGCAAGATCTTCCCTGGCTGCTCTATACATCTGTATTCCCATTGATGCTCCTGTCAATCACATCTAAACCTGTCACCTTAGTTACAAGGTACATTCTTGTACATCTGTATTTCCTGAATGGTTAATAGCTTTAAGTTCAGTAGCAGTTTTTTCCAAGAAGCATAATTTATAGTTGGTATGCTCCACTTTCCTTTGATTAAACAATATTATCTGTGAGGATTTTAGAAGCACACCATCTCTGTAACAGATCCGACCCTCTGAAATGAGGTTCCCCACCAAGATCTGGATGGCCCCCACTCTATTTAGAAGAGCTTGACTCTCCATCAAGGCCTCTGGTAAAGGAGCATTGTGCTTACTATCTTTATTTTTTATGTTTTATTCTAACTTCTGTGATTATTATGAGCTGCCCAGAATAATTGAAAATCAGGTGGCCTACAAGTTTAATGAATTACGGTATATAAAATTTGAATTGAGAGGATGATAAATGAAACAGCTAGTTTTCCCTTGAAGCTAGAATTTTCATGTTAACAGTTAAACATAGTATTCAATGGTGTCTTCAAATTTTTAGTCATTAAATAGAAAAAGATGAAACATTTTTAAAGGGACAACAATCAGAATGAAAAAAATATATTTTTAAAAACTAGATATGCATACAAGTTATTGAACATTTTGCTCAGCAGGATTTCTTTCACTGAAAGTAATACTGAATAACCTCCAAAATTGGTACAGAACTTTAAACATATCACACTTAATCACACTGAATTAAAATAATCAAAGTAAATATTGTATAAAATTATGCCCCCATTTTTTCTTTTTGTGGGCTGCGTTATTCAATAACAGCTATAGGTTCAAACTATTACCTTACAGTTTGAAACTGGAAAAAGTTAATTTAGCCAGAATAAATACTGAAAATTTAAATAATCAGATGCAAAGTCCCTTAAATTATCTTTTGTTAGGGAAATTGGGGTAAATGAAAACAGTGATTTGGAAATATTTATCCTTCAAAGATGCCATCAGCACTTTTAATGAAAGGTTTAACTCTCTCTCCTCAAGGGCAGTTTAAATTAGATAAACATGCCTGCGAGACACAAAGGAAATAAAAGAGGCTGAGCACAATTCAAAATTGAATTTGGCTTCTGGCAAGATGTAAGGATGGGGTGGTCAAAAGAATTTGCTGCTCAGTGTTGTTAAAATGTAAAGATGTAAATATTTCTGGTTTACAAATGTTTAAAAAATCTGTCTTGAGAGTTGTCAAGAGCTTCCTTATATACAAGGAAATGGGTGCAATTAGAATGACATATTAAACCCTGAACCTGTTCTGAGTACCAGAATAATGTTGCTGAAAATGATAAATTGTTACTTAGAATTATTTGCAAGTCAGCTGCCACTCATTCAACGATCTACCCGTAAACCCTTCTGTGTGTGTTTGCACTTGGCTCAACCATATCTAATAAACTTAAATATTACAAAAACAGCCAGTTTGATATAATGGTTAAGGCATCAGGCTAGGAATCAGGAGACTGAGTTCTATTCCCGCCTAAGGCACACAGCCAGCCGGATTACCTTGGGACAGTCATTCTCTCAGCCCTAGGAAGGAGGCAATGACAAATTACTTCTGAAAAACTTTGCAAAGAAAACTGCAGGGACTTGTCCAGCGAGTCTCTGACAGTTGGACAAAATTGAATGGGGAAAAATATATTTAAAAAGCATATTACATAAACATATCCAGAAACAAATAATTTCCCCAAGTGTAAAGTAAGAATGTCAAATGTATATTGACATTAATTTGTACTTCCTGGACTAAAAGCTGCCCAGAGTCATTGGGAGGTGGGTGGCATACATTTAATAAATTGTAATACACAGATTTTTTTTTTATTTGATTTATATGCCGCCCTTCTCCGGAGACTCAGGGCGACTTACAATGCGTTAAGCAATAGCCTTCATACTTTTGTATATTTATACCAAGTCAGCTTATTGCTCCCACAAACTGGGTCCTCAATTTACCTACCTTAGAAAGGATGGAAGGCTGAGTCAACCTTGAGCCTGGTGAGATTCGAACTTACAGTAATTGCAGACAGCTGATGTTAATCACAATGCTTTTAGTCTGCTGAGCCACCAGGCCCGGTTAATTGGGTTTCTTCTCAATAGCACATTGATAAGTTATAAAACAGTGTACAATGTCTAAATTAAGGGAAATTGTGTCTATAAAAATGCATATATTAAAGAAAGCCTCTATTAATGTGTCCCTGAAGGACAATTCCATAGAAAAATAAATGCTTATGCCCTTTTTCTTTTTTTTAAAACATATACAAAAATAGAAATACAAGATTGAATATATATAAAGGATTCGTCCAATCCTAGTGGTGGCAGAAATTGAGACTTGCATAGTTGTAAGTATGAAACAGCTTACAAAATGCCCCTGGATTGGATCAGTTCTTAAATAAAGAGATGAGATTATTGAAATATTTGTTCGCATAAAACTAGTGTAGATGACTGCTTCACAGCAGAAATAATGTAATCCATTGGTGTTGATAGCATCAGTCCCAGTAACAATGCCAAGTTGTCTCTAGCAACTCAATCAAAGATTTCCTCTTGAAGATACAGATCGTTTAACATAAACCTCCATGGTGCTACCTGGAATTAAGTAGGTCAAATTGCTTTGAAAAATAGCAAGAGGACGCCCTGAAGAGGAAAAGAAGAATTGAAATGCTGTGAAAGAGGACTAAGAATATTGACAACAGTAAATAAGATAATTGTACACAGGTTAAGATTAAATGATACAATGGAAATGTTATTGTATTCCAGAAATGCTTTAGATCCTGGTCACTACAGGATTCCTGTATTTCTACAGAGTAGCCCCCACAATAAGGGCCAAAGCATGTTCCATACCATACTCTAAAGTCCTATAATACAAATTCCTCTTATGGCCATAAAGGTGGAGAGAGGAAGGACAGGCAAAAATTGATTAAAGTAATTCAACAACATAGTGCTATGATTCTCAAGGGGGCAGATAGCCTGAATAAAGTAAGTCACAGACTTGAGCAGAATCAATCAACATCTTCAGGGCATATTTAACACATACTCAAGCTTAGTGGGTGTTGTCATCCAAGACATCTGGAAGCATTGGAAAAAGCTGCCTTATGCTTTAAAACAACCTTGCTCAGCCTGACGCCTTCTAGGTGACCTAGAACTCCTTTTATCCTCAACTAGTGGTGTAGTATACGTAAATGGTGGGATATGGAATCCAGCATATCTGGCAGACTCCAGGTTGGGAAAATCTTCAGACTTACTCCTTTCCTTTTCCTTGCTAATTTGTCGACAGAAATTTATTAAATAAAAATAATCTGGTGGTAACATCTGGTTGTCTGGGCATGGAAATTAAACAAGGCCAGTTCCAATTAGCACTTGGATGGGAAAACACCAGGGAGGACTTGGCCTTCAACCTAGGCTATTGGATCAGATTATATCTCAAAAGGAAACACTGAAAAACCACCTCTGTATCCAGCCCTAAATGCAAGGCTATATTCATATAGCCATCAGGAGCTTAAATATTCAAGCCTTTATTTTGTCCTATAGTGAGATATACTGTAGTATCAATAAAGAAGAATATTTATAGCTCAGGGTTGAAATGAGGAGCCCTTGGTGCTTTCTGAGCTTGGTTGTTTTCTTGCAGACAATTTCATTACCCAAATTAGGTAACATCATCATTCAATGGAAGATTGTAATCAATGTTAATTAAAGGATATTCATGAAGCAAGTTGCTTTGGAGATATAAAAATTACTATCATAAATATTGTAAGAGAAGTTCTCATTTTTAGAACTTTTAACTACGATACCCAAGGTATTTTATACAAAAGTTGTATACAACATGAATTACTTATTCTGTCTTTGGTAGTTACAAAAGAATTTAATCAGAAAGTAAACCAGTCCCAATTGGGAAGGGAGGGAGGTAATTTGATGTAACTTCATGACTGAAAATATGCATCTCGGTATAGCATATCTCAAATCTGTGCCTAATGGTACAGGAAAAAATGGATTAAAAATGTATTCTTTAAAGACTAACAACATTCAGTTTAAGCAAGAGCAAAATCTGTGAAGCTGATAAAGCAGATGAAGCCAACTCATAAAAAAGCTACTTACCTTGAATGTTGTTGTTTTTTTTAATTTGATTTATATGCCGCCCTTCTCCGAAGACTCAGGGCGGCTTACAATGTGCTCAGCAATAGCCTTCATCCTTTTGTATATTTATACAAGTCAGCTTATTGCCCCCACAAACTGGGTCCTCATTTCACCTACCTTAGAAAGGATGGAAGGCTGAGTCAACCTTGAGCCTTGGCGAGATTCGAATCCTGCAATAATTGCAGGCAGCTGGTCTTAATAACCAGCTTAATAACAGGGTGCCTTAAACCCCTGTACTACCAAGGCTCTTGATCACTTGCCCCAAAATAGAACTAAAATAAGAGGATGTGGAGATATCCCCTGCAAATTTTTATGTTGGGTATTTTATAAAGCTGTTCATGGTTCTGCAAAGATTTTTGTAAGTGCTTTTCTCTAAAAATGCTGATAACCTATTTTGAATCAGAAAATCTGCCTCATTACAGATTTCTGATTATGGTCAGAGCTGTATGCATACGAATGCCCTTTCAAACATTGCAGAAAATATGTGAAGTTCTTTGCAAGCAGTTGGTAGTGTTACACTGACATGAGCATCTCTTTCCTCCAGAGTTTACACTTACTCAAATCCAAGTAAAAGCATGCCTAGATCTTTTGTGAATCTTCTATGGATTTTTGAGGAAAATGCCTAGATGGTGTTCATAATGCCATCTATTCTTACCTGTCCATGTTCTCTGTGAAGTGATGATAAAATGTTGGCACTGTGGATGGTAACTGCAAATGGAGGCAGCTTCCTCTACATTATGAACAGACAACATGCATCTCAAAGGGCTATATGAAGGCCAACATTTATAGTCCTCTGTATCCATACTGTGGAACCCCTTTGCAACAAAATATTCTGGGGTAGGGAGAAAAGATAAAGGATTACTACTATGTACCTGTTGGAAACTCAAAAGTATTTAAGAAATGAGAAAAATGGAAAGGATGTTTTAAGATTTTGCATCCCAATCAGAATTTATCTTCCCAGGCATGTCTAGCAAAACAGTCATAAATCTTGTCTCTCTTACACATACCAGAGCTACTCTTTATTAGCAGTGTGGAAAATAATAACATTTAACTCTTATCTCTTTGGACAGCCTTCATGCCATCACTGACTCTATTTTTTCGTTTAGAAGGGTATAGAATTTATTACATGAAAAAGCACGAGTTCCATTCCCCAAGCAGTCCTGCCAGAATTTTCAAGCTCTAGCAATATCTCCCCCATTTTAAAAGCATTTCAAAAGAAATCAATAAACTTATTCATAATGAAACTGACCTAAGCATACCACCTAAAAACTAGAATGTTCAGAAGATAAGCCATTACACAATCCATGGATATATGAAATGGGGCTATGATCACAAGCTCCATACTCTAATGTTGTAGTAGACCATCTTTGGAGTCTAAGATACATTTGGAAAGTTGAAGATTATAACGTGTGTACTTACAAAATGGCTGTCATGGTAAATTTGCCTGTTCATAAAATGGCCACCATGGTCAGGAAAATCTTTACCACAAGAGAATTAGCTTCCGCTCCCCCAAAGCTCTCTAATATCTCAGGAAAACACTTGAGTCTAAAAGCATTGCCACAAATAGTCAAAGTTTTGCTTTATAAAATGTCATTTCCTTATATATTGGTTTTATTTAAAAAAAATTAAAACATCAAGTGGGGCAGGAGTTCAGTGGGCATTAAGGGTGTTCCTGCAGATCAGATTGCCAATCACAACTGCCATAGCTGTATGTACAATATTATCTTGAAAGAGAATCAAGCATGTAGGCTTGTCTGCTCTGAAGTTGATTGATTTTTCAGATGTATGTTGCATAAATAATAGCAGGAGTTATGGCTGATAGACACATTAGTGTCAGCACTAGAAGGTATGCCCTCATTTCCCACCATAGGTTACTAAGGCATGAGAGTTGTTTAAAATAAAAGCTCCCAAAATGAAGTAAATCCTATTCATTACAGTCAGAGGTCCCTTCATAGTGAAAGCTAATTTTATCAAAATCTCAATGACTCAAGTCTCAAAGGGATTTAGGTTGACCAAGCTACGTCTCCCATTGATTACAAAGGGCTTTAATTAAGCACATTTTAACAGGGTCAGGTCCTTGTGCATTTAGTCTGATCTTCCTCATTAGTTATGAGAGCCATACCTTTTAAGTGAGAAGGCTTTTTCTGCAGATAAAGTCCTGACTTGTACAAATGCAAAACTTTTTGGAAAGATCGTAAAGTTTCATTCGCTCCATATCGTAAATCACCTACATGCAGAGGGGAGAGAAATGTTTTAAGGCAAAAAATACTGTAAAGCAGTTCTTATTTATATAAATGTTTTAAATATATCTTTAATATTTTGAACTAGCACGTACCGGTGGCATTCAAGATGTCCTTCAAAATTGGTTGCAAAGCAATGGGTGCAGTATGAGGTAAGAGATAAGTGAAGAAATACCTAAAACATATATGAAGCTTTACATATTAAAACAGAAATCTTCCAAATTTTAATAAAGATTGATAACAAAAACCCTAAATCTAATTCTAACAAATTGAAAATTGAAGCTTCTTGGCTAGAGCGAAATTCAGAACAGAAAAATATGTCTTATCCTACTTTACACCAACAATGGCTTTTCATTTATTTTTATCAATATATTTGATCCATCCCATAATGAAACTCACAAATTAACATTGTTTCTCAAATATCTTTGTTATTGAAATGCTTCCAGTTTTGTCCATAAGGCTCCCAGAAATGAATTGGAACATATTCGAAATATCCTATTTGTAAACACCATTAGCCCAGTTTTTGTGCCTGAGAAGAGGATATAATGATAAGAGAGGCATCAGTCCATGCGATTTGGCAAGAGAAAATTCATTAACTAATTCAAAGAAACTCACACTTTCTTGTTTAAAGTATGCAAACTCACCAATACACTAATTTTAAAGAACTGCCTGAATCTTTGATCCCACTCTCATGAGCTAATTATGGCAAAGTCACCTGCAGGATTTACATATCACGTTAAGCCATAATATATCTTGGCTTATTTATTTATTCAATTTATATGAACTCACTAATTGCCACCCAACTCACTAATTGCCACTCTGGAGTTAAAAGAGAAAAAAGAAATATATTCAATGAAAAACAACCATTATCAATCCAACATCCTGGCCCAATGCCAGAGGAGGCCTTTGAGTTTTTAAGGCTTTATAAAGTCTTTGTAAAAGACCAGCAGTCTATCATGTATAATATACGAATCCAGCCAAGAAATCATGTTTTAAACAGACATACATTGCAGGTGTTTCTTAACCTTAGTTTCCCAGATGATAATCAACTTTCTCCATCCTAGTGCCCTCCATATATTAGCTGCTCTGAGAATGAACTGTGCTACCTTTCATTTTCTAATAAGGACAGTCATGCAGGAAGAAGGCTCAAGAGCCTCCTTCACATAAAGCACTGCTAGTTTTATCTCAGCAAAATTTTGAACAATGTTCTACAGGCAGTCCTTGACTTAAATGTTTGTTTAATGACTGTTTAAAGTTACAACGGCACTGAAAAATGTGATTTATGACCATTTTTCACACTTACAACCTTTGCCGCATCCCCATGATCATGTGATCATAATTCAGATGCTTAGCAACTGGTTCATATTTATGACCATTGCTCTGTCCCAGGGTCATGTGATCCCATTTTACGACCTTCTCACAAGCGAAGACAATGGGGAAGCCAGATTCACTTAACAACTGGGTTACTAACTTATCAACTGCAGTAATTCATTTAACAACTGCAGTAAGAAAGGAGGTAAAATGGGGCAAAACTCACTTAACAAATGTCTCAACGGAAATTTTGGGCTCCATTGTGGTCGTAAGTCGAGGACTATCTGTATTCATACTAATTAATGCAAAGAACACTTTTTTGAATCTGCGTCTGCTATAACTTACATTTTTTGTTGCTTCCTAGTACGATTAATAGACACTTGTTAGTACCACCTGTTTGCCTGGATCTAAGCATTACTCTAAGTTTGTCCAGTACGTTATTTCCCAAGCCTGAGGAATTTTCAAAAGCAAACAAAAAGTAGCTTAATATGTGGTTTCCGGGAAAAAGCATTTATGAATGATAATCATGATAACTTTAGTCGAAATACTACTATGCACCATGCACTAATGTTTAAAGAATTATAATAATGTAGAATAACTTCCTGTAAATTAGCACTTTCCAGATGTATTGAGTAAAAGATCCAGAGTTCCAGACACACTGGTCTTCATAGCTAGAATTCTGAGGATTGCAATCTAAAACACCAGAAGACAGTGGTTGGAAAAGTCTGACAAAAAAGGAAATGCTACATGAAGGAAACTGCTAAAAATAAATGGCATGTGTGATGATGTTCTTCTTCAGACTTTTTTTTAAAATATATCCAACTTACCTGTATGCATTGAAAAGATTCCGTTTCTCATTTATTCCTTTACAGTTCCTATGGCTGGCACATTTGAGAAAGAAGGTTTTTGTGGGAAATTTGAGAATGCAATCTTGATCTCTTTTGCAAGACAGCTCCTCAGTGCTCACATCATCCAGGTCTGTAACTTTCAGGAGCCCATTCACCATAACAAATTGTCTTGGTTGGAAATCTAGAAGAGCAATGGAACCTAGAGGAGAATTTGCCAAGTAATTGAGCAGTTCTACCAGATCCAGACAAATCTGAAAGAGAGATGGTAAACAAATAAGAGGTTTTCTTACATGATAACATCAGCAGTCTACCTTTCTTTCTTCCTACTATTTTGCAGCTTAATGCACAATTCATTGAAATTACAGTATATCTGCTATGGCAAAAACTTAAGCTCTTAGTGTATATGTAGATCTAATGTAAACATGTAATGGGATTACAGTCAATTTTTCCATATTGTTTAACTGCACCTTAAATATACATTCTAAGTTCAACAGACTACTAGTAGTATACTGTAGACGAGCTGTCTTTGAAACATTCCAGAAATGTCAGTGCAGAGAATTTGCTCCTGCCTATATATGTTTACAGATATATTGACACTAATGTGTTACAATACTTCTAATAGCTTCCAGGCCCAAAGATTTATATGAGCTAGAATGTCTCCAGGACTGGCATGTCCATAAGATTTACACAGAAGTTTAATATAATATTTTTAAGAGCAAAGATCTTCCCCAGCAGACCCTTCCTTCTATCCTGGAATGATTCAGGATTGGGTCTATCGCTATTGATAAAACCCACTTTGCCTTTGTCTTCTTACTTTAAATCGCTCTTCCCAGGGGAGCTGCAGAAGCTGAATCATCTCCAAAGGGCTTCCGAGCTCCAGCATGGAAACCACTTTCATTTCAGGATATAGGCTATTGTTATAGCATTGACCATGCAGCTGTCAGGAAAAAAGCAGAATGAAGTATTAATACAGATGCAAAATATAGAAATTATTCTTTGAAAAAAACAAATATATTTTGCCAATGATAAGAAAGATCAAATGAAGACTTATTTCAAAACTCAACTGCTCTTGCTATAGTAAATGTATGCCTTACATAGTTGAACCCAAGCATGTTGGTAGAAGTTATAATTCATCAAGTTAATTCATCTGCATCTTGAAGTTGAGGGTTTATACCTCCCAGATAACTCTTTATTCTTACTTATGTTTATTTACCACTAAATCAGCCAAGAGTAATTTTCTTTCAAAGAGGTTTAGAAAATTGCTTTTTGTGGGCTTCCTCCTGTTACAAATTCTGTAGGATCATAAACAGTAATCGAACCAAGAAAAACATTTCAGATTAGATGTTATCTTCTGCGCTTTATGTTTGGGATCAAATGTGTTCTATTTTATTCAATACTGCAAGCTCAATTGGCCTATTTTTCATGATACTCCCCATTTTTACCTCCCCCCCACTAAATAAATATTATGGCTTTCTTACAGACAGTGACAGGTAACCATGGGAGAGAAAACATCTTGAGGGCTGAATGCACCAGAGCCCAAGGAGCCAAATTGGGCTGCCCAAAGAAAGCTTAGAAGCAAGGCATAATAAGTATGAAATTTCTTCCATTGTTGTTCCCCAACATATAGTATTTCAGAATGGAACCCTGTGGCCCACCAAGTATTTAAATATAGTATTTTTCATTATTGTGCATTTTTTTTTGACAACAGTATGGCAATGGTTTGTTTCTGCCTTTCTTTGACATACTTTTGTCCACTTCTTAGCCTAACCAACAATCCTAAAATTCCCACATGGTCATCAATCCAAGAACTGAATAAAGCCAACCATGCTCAGTTTCCAAGACCTGCCAAGAGTCAGCATAGCACTTTCATCTGCTGGGGATGTCCAGGCGTCACAAGACTAACACTGCCAGCAGCATCAACCAGCACCTTCAGTGGGAAGGATGCAGCACACTTGCAGATTACCAACATCTCAAGATTCATAGAGTCATTACTACTGTGATTCTCAAGAGGTTAGGCAGATATTTATTAAACCTGGCCACCAAAAGCCTAACTCACCATTGAGTTGACTAATCCCCTTTAAAACCTTTAAACTAAGTTGTCTTCATATTTTGTAATAGCAAATTTCTGGAGATTAAAAGGTGCATGTTGAAGTATTTGAATAATATAGCAGCAATCCTGCATTTTACCCCAAATACGCATTGTCCCCTCCAACAAATCCATTAAGTTTTTTCAGTTGATAAGTCATTACACGACTGATTTTGTGTGTGTTGTATGTAAACCTAGAACAGGTCCCCTTTAAACTAATCAAAGGAATAGGCATGCTTGTTGCAGTGCCCACAAAGCAATTCGCAAAATAAAATGTATCTGTAACATTTCCTCCTAAAACCTAGGATTGGTCTATTAATGTGAGGTTGCACTCAAAACAAGAATGTTTGAGTGATGACAGCTTAAAATCTGGTGGAGTCATTAATTATATTTAAAAATTTATATGTTACTCTCTGCCACGAATAGTCAACTTATAGATATTGATATCCATTCCCAGTAAATTATCATGAGCTACACGTTGGGCTATTACCTTACACTGTGTAAAAGATCAATAATCTTGGATTAAACACGTTCAACCATCACGTGGTTGAAAGTGGGAAGAAAGGTAATTAGTCAGATATCTTAAGAAAGGTTCAAGCATTTTTAACTATCCAAAACATCCAGTTAGGCTGGGTCTCCTGCCCTCCTTCCTGAGCGCGCTGGCGGATACTACGTGCCTTGATGATCCCTTCGTGATCCAGAGTCTGCAGCAGAATCGTCTCCTTCAACAGCTTGTAAGCAGCGAGCTGGAAACAACCTCCCGCGTGGCCGTAGCGTTGAACACAGCGACTCACGTCGCTGCCTGCCCAGTGCACGGATTTCAGGGCGATTTCCTGGCCACCGGGCGACAGAACTGCCCTCAGCACCAGCTTCGTGATGCCAGCGCCTACCACGCCCACGTCGCTCAGGCCCTTCAGTTGCGCGCAACCCAAAGGCTCGGCGACCTCTGCGCGCCTTGCGGCGGCTAGAGAAGCCCGCGCTCGGGCAGAGGCTGCCAGGCGACTCAGGTCTTGCTGCCGCTGCTCCAGCTCCTTCATCAAATCCAGAGGCGGCTGGGAATCTAAGAGCCTCCAAGGGCCCGACAGAACAAGGGCCAAAGCAAGCAGGACTGGCGAGATCAAGAGCGCCAGGAGCGCCTCAGGACCCGGCATGGCGAAGAAGGCACGAGGGGACGCACCGGGCGAGCAGCTGGCCCGACTATAAGGCTGAGTTTGGCGAAACGAGAAAGGTGAGGCTTCAGACAAGGAGGCGGGTTCCCAGCAAGGCACTGCCCGCCTCTCAGCCTGGCCTTGCATACGATCGGCTAGGAAGCAAGATTGCAAAAGTAAGAGCTCCCCGCCCCCAAATTATGCACATTCGCGATTTGGAGGACTCTCTCTCCCTTCAGGGGGAGGAGGGGGCAACCCAAATCATTTTTTTTTCCTTTTCTTTTCTCCAGTGGCAAGGTGTGATAGTGCGAGGGCTGTTCCAAGGGCGGATTTTAGTTTGTCTACGAGGTTCAGATGAATTGATAGAATTTTTTATTGGCCAAGTGTGATTGGACACACAAGGAATTTGTCTTGGTGCATATGCTCTCAGTGTACATAAAAGAAAAGATACGTTCATCAAGAATCATAAGGTACAACACTTAATGATAGTCATAGGGTACAAATGGATTAATTGCAAATATCGCTTGAAGATGATCCCCGACATCCAGTGATGAACTGGTGGCTCATCACCGATCTTGTCAACCGCCAATAAACCCTCCAAATTCTTTTTCCAGTTCAGAGAGCAATGCTTTTTGATCGAGCAGTTTACATATGCTGGTCTTGAAAGGCTTGGGTTATAAATATTAAACAAGGGCATTTGGGAGTGCTCTTCCTCCCCTCCCACCTTTTTTTTTAATTTTACAGTTGTTGCTGGAGGAATAAGAATATAGGAAAACCTTCATCCAGGGAGAGAAAAAAACTTCAAAGTGTTCCAGAAAAAAAACAACATGCTACTTACTTTGAAATGTTTGCCACAAACATTTCAAGGTTATTAGAGCTCCTGCTTGTTATTAATCTATTGAAGGGAGTGTGTCTAAAACTAACCTCCAGCAAATTACAGTTTAGAAGCTGCCTGGGAGAACAAGCTATGGCTCTAGATTCTTTGTTGTAAAGACAGCATGCAAATAAAATAACTAGTAAAATAGAGCGCAAGTGCAGAATATGAAGAAAGAATATGAAGCCTGTCCTATCCCATAGCTGTAGGAAAGGCTTCCAGGCATTCTGAGAGCCCACAATTTTTGTCTGTGGGAGAAGACTTGTACCCCATTGTTCTGGCACTTTGGTATCCTTCAGGTTTTATCATACTTTAAAAAGTAACAGGGTAAGTCTCTTCCATTCCATTGCCATTTTTTAATGCTAGAGTTTTGGAATTATTTAAACAAAACATTTTAGACTTGTTTTTAACAGTATCAATGGATGTATACTGCACTAATGTTATTGAGACAATATAGGATTAGGAACAATCTTTGGGCTGTGTTTTACCCCATAGTACCACTCTTAAACTGGTTTTGTTTAAAAGAATATGTTTTAGTTAAAACATATTTTTAGAATTTTAGAATTGTTTTAACCATTTTCCAAAATATTCAATCATTGTATTGTTACAGTATTTTGGGGAGTATTCTAAAGTCTAATTTGTATGAAGATCCTTTAGTTTTATTAATAATGTTATGCCCATTTTTATTTACAGTATATATACTTATAATAAATACCTGATGATTAATTTCCAATTGCAGTGGTCAGAATGCTTTAAACTGGGGATGCGTTCTTAAAATTGTCAAGGATTACAGTTACAATTGTACAAATGAAAATTGCTTCTGTGAAGCTTTTACTTTTTCTTACAACGATTTTCAAGCCTTTGGAACTAGGTAAGGCTTTTCTTTTTATTTCAAAAAGAATTGCATCTTGCAATTTTCTGAATATATGAAGTCTGATGATAGATAAGTGGAAGAAATACAGTATAAGAATTAACATGTGAATTTAAAGCCACAGAGCTCTATCAATATGATTTGCTCATATTTTAAGACATCAATAGCATTCATGCTATATTTTTATTCAGACTTTTCTTGTACCCTTCCTAGAAAAGATATTGCATTATTCTCTTATGCATATGAATGCAACCTGCTTTTACAATTGGGAATTTTCTCTGAACATGGAACTATATTCAGTTCCTATTATTACAATTATTATACTATTCAAACATATGGAGGAAAAATATTCCTTCATAAATATTGGAAAATATCATTAGGGAACTATTATAAGGACTGTCTACATCTGTGCACTTGGGCTTTAAATGGACTCTGCCAATCTGGCATTATATTGCATTATATTGGCAATAAGAAGTCATTGAACATATTTCTCTGGAATTATATTCTACGATCTATTCTTCCACTGCCTGTAACAAGTCTTAAAAGATCCCTTTTCATTTCAAACTGATTTTCATGCTGGTTGCTACTCTGGAATGTTAAAAGTATTTTTATTTGCAAATACTGCTACTTAAAAATCTATCAGATATGGTTTTTATATTTTAAAGATCTCAAATATGGAAAGCCCAATTCAAACTCCCACAAGTTTGGCAACAGAACTCTAGGTATCTTTTGCATAGATTAGGTTTCACCACCCCTTTCCCAACAACACTTTTTTTTTTCATGGATAGGCTCTCAGTAGAGATCCATATCTTCCTTGATAATGTTTCCAGGTTTGTCCTCAAAGAGTAATTTAGTTCAGAAATGAGATGCAGATAGAAGATAAACCAGAATTCCTTTTAAAGGGAAAAGGCCATGAGATGTCCTCTCTATCTGCCCACCCATTTAAAACTTGACAAAGTTTGGTTGGGTTCAGATGAGACCTTCCTATAATTTGTGTTATCCATTGCACTTGCCTTGCCCATTGTCATCCTTTGGCCATAGCATGGACATTTGGTACATAACATGGAATCTTCACACTGTGAACTTTTCCATTCCTACAAGGGGATGCTGTTAAGAAAGTGGGTGGGGAACTCCACTACGGGATAAATACATACTTTGTGCTATAGATTAAACTCAGCAGCTCTTCAATTGCATCATAGAATGAAATTACTTGAGGCCAGTTTACTGTTTCGTAATCCAAGAGATTTTTAAATGATGATAACTCTGAATTGCCTACACACTTAACTTTCTTGAAACGCCTTTTGACTTCAATAGGCCATCTGATTCCACATATATAATGATTTCGGACCACAAGAAAGTTTTTATGGAACTGCATTGAACAAAGTACAGAGGGGTAACTGCGTATATGAACTAGATCTGAATACGATAAGACATAGGGGTGTTCCAGATGATGCTCCAGGGATGTCCACTAGACCTAAGATCTAAATGAAAAGGAGTTAAACTGCACCACCCAGATGCTTTTGCTTCTGGACTGTCATCAAGATCTATTAAAAAAACCCTCTCTCTCATTCAACCTTGCCTGAGGTCAAATGGCTGCCAGCTGGCTTCTACATTCTCTTTGTTCTCCAGTTCCTGCTGAGAGTTGCATCCTTGTGTTTTCCTAGTGAGACAACTACTTCTCCTTTTGTGTTGAACCTACTGTTGTCCAGGTAACCAGTCCTGCCACAATAATTTAACCATTAAGTCTCTCTGCTACAACCACCTGCCACTAACTCCCAAGACTGGTTAAACTTAGCAAATGATCACCTGGTATTTCAAGAAAGCAAACTAAACAGTATAGGACTGATTTTTAAGTTAACATGTTAACTTAATATTTATTTTTATATTTATTAATAAAGAAGAATCTCTTCAAAAATATTTATCATATTGAAATTATCTGTTTTGTCCTTATGTGTGGTTAAAATACAGATTGAGAATTCTCTGCTGTTTGTATCAATGATTATGGTTTGCTCACTGGCCAGGTCATTAGGTAAAAAGTTGAAAAGGGGATGGAATAATAATCAGTAGCATAACAGGTTAAATTCTCAGTGGGGTGATCAGGAATATTTTGCAGCAAGATTTTCCTTAGTAACTTCCATGATTCAAGTGTTGAATTTATATTTTACCAACAAAGAAATAAGGGAGACTAGTGTAGATTGACTGTTTAGCCCAAATTTCAATTATCACTGCAGTCTGGTTGGGATAAAATAATTTGTACTTAATGAACTACTGAATGAACTTTAATGAACTACAAGCAAGCATCCAGTAGTGGCTACTGTGCTTACCTAAAACAATGAATGAATGAACAAATGAATGAATTCTTAAACTTCTAAAAGGAACAGTGGTGGTATCTCTGCTCCAATGAGGTTATGGAGGGCATCTTACAGAAAACATTCAGGGTTCAGAAAGGAGATATATTTGAAAATAAAAAGGACTTTCTGGAACACATCTCATTCCTACTGATGAGGCTAAATCAAGTATGTCATTTTTAAAAATTCAACACTAGAATAATTCTCATAATAGCAGAATTGAATTGCCTACATTTAAAGTAATGAATTTGGGAGGTTTCTTCAATAAAGGTGAATGTTATAGAAAAGGTAGAGAGATACCTTTTCCCATCTTCCACAATACTAGAATTTAGGATTATCCAATGAAACTGAATGGCAAGAGAATCAGAACTAATGATGCTTATTTTGCAAAGTACTTAATTAGTTGGCAGAATTTGTTATCACAGTACCAGGACAACAGCTTTAGCATATTCATGAAAGATTAAGCTATCCATCCATCCCCAATATAATTATTTGCAATATGAAAACTGAACAGGTCATTGCTTTGTGCAACTTTAGTTAATAAAAATTTGCAAATAATTTGTTACCATCTGCTATTTAACTCGTTCCAAAATGAGTATTTTGTTTCTTTAGGGAATGGAATAGTAGTTGGAATAGCAGCAAATGGAAAGCATAATTGACATTTTACCTTCCATCAAAATCATAGCAACTCTTTAAAGTTTGGGTAGAATTATAGGAGGTAAGGAGAAAGGGAGGCTATAAAAGTGAGTCTATAACTAGGAATTCTTAAGAGGAAAAGATAACTACAGAAAATAAAAATGGAAAGCTCTATAAATGGATTGCAAGAACTGTAAAAAAAATTCAGCATTATACTAATTCTCTTAAAAATAAACACACACACACAAACCCTGCTCTGCAGAATTTGCACCGCAGCTTCTGCTACCTCGCCTTTGGAGCACAGGCGAGCTGATCGTGGCTCACGTGGTTGGTGTTTATATAGCTGCAGTAAAACACGAAAACCACGTGAGACGCAAGGACGAAGGTTTTTAGACCCCACTCAGCCGTTCTACGTTATTCGGGAGCGGTAATTGGCAGCTGCGATGATGTCATCCAGCGGGACGTCTCTGCTGGGCCAGGCCGACAACAGGCACGGATAGTTTAAAGCAGAGGTCTCCAACCTTGGCAACTTTAAGCCTGGCGGACTTCAACTCCTCCTCCCTGACTGAGGAATTCTGGGAGTTGAAGTCCTCCGGGCTTAAAGTTGCCAAGGTTGAAGACCTCTGCTTTAAAGCAGTGTTTTCCCAACCTCAGTAGCTTTAAAGACTTGGTGGACTTCAACTTCCAGAATTCCTCAGTCAGCCCATACGGGCTGCGGAATTCTGGGAGTTGAAGTCCACACAATTTAAAGTCGCTCAGGTTGAGTAATACCGCTTTAAAAAGACAGGCTATGAGATTGACTTTGACGCCTCCCCTTTAGGTGGTTCGGCCAGATGACGTCATATAAGGCTCCAGTTCAGGGAAAAGGGCAAGTCGCCGCACGCTCGCTACCGCGCTTGTCTCAATTCGCGTTCGCCGTCTATTATGGAAGAGATGTGGAGCTTTTGGCAGCTGCTGCTGGCCGTGCCGCTTTTGATGTTGGGACTCTACTGTTGCTACATTAAAGTAATTCATGTAAAGTACGATTACATCCCCGGCGCTCCAAGGGCCAGGTAAGAGCAGCTGCGGACGGCAGGGTTGATAGTCGCTCAGCGGCTGGCTGAAAGCCCGTAGTCGGCTGCCGTAATTCAATAGTTGCGCGCTGTGCACTACCGTTAGGTCGATCGCTGAAAATCCAGAGGGGTCCTTGATACTTTCTGAGCATGGTTGTTTTCTGGCAGATGCCAACCCTACACCCCCACCCACCCCCCCACCACCACCACGCTGGTTAGGTGAAGCCACGAGTTCCCAATGCATTCCATGAGAAAATCAGACAGGTTCTTAGAGGCTAGCGAAGTATGGAAATAAAGAAAAGAAAGTCCACTAAGCCATTTGTTTGGTTTTGCTTGGTCTAGTCCAGGGGTCAGCAACCTGCGGCTCTGGAGCCGCATGTGGCTCTTTCACCCCTCTGCTGCAGCTCCCTGTCATTCAAAATATGTGTCACAACCGCAAATGTAAGACACCCGCCAGCATGTGATTTATTGAGCTTTTCAACCCCCGGTAGGCCAACCCCATGGATAAATCCAAGAAAAGTTCAGTGACATCATATCATCACCACTACCGGCTCGGGAGAACCGGGCTGAACCGGGAGGAACCCACCACTGGCATGCATCTTCATGTCCTCTACCATGGGCTTTATTGTTTGCATTTTTCTACATTCTTTTTCCTGGGGTTCCTCCCCATGTAAATCTGCTTGCCTGAAGTTCTATCTTTTTCTGTGGAAAAAAATTGTACCATGCCTACCTTGTTACGCATTTTACTGTGAAATAGCTTTATGGAACTCAATAGCAATCTCCATTCTGTCCTTCCTTCTCTTGCGATATCTTCTTTTTGGATTGTAATGTGCACATTTAAAACCCTGTCTTTCTCCCACCCCCCCACCCCAAATATTACAGTTTTTTCCTTGGTCACTTGCCAACCCTCTGGAGAACGTTGAAAAACAAGGAACTGATACATGATCTCTTTCTGAAGTGGTAAGTTTTTGAAAAAATTGCATCGCTTGAAAGTAGTTATTTTGAATTACAATAATTGAGATCTATGCTGCTGCTTCATAGATCTCAATTGCCTGTATTTTGAGTTCTAAGCCTCCATTTGGATTTGTTAAGTATTTTAAACCTACATTTATAAAAGTAGTAATTTAGAAAAACCATAATCAATAATCTTCTGATAAAATGAAATACAGGTGTTAGGGTGTGTGTAAAAAGTATTTGTTGCTTGTGCAACGAGCAGAGCAGAAACACACAGGGAAGGAGATAAACGTGCAGCTCGTGTGAGAAAAATACTTTATATACAAGATAATAAGCAGTCTCGGTGTAGGTAAAACAGTCCAAGGTCATAAACAGTAATATCAGTCCAGTAAGTATCTTCCCTTACCAAAGCAAACAGACTTTAGTAACTCTCGGTATACAGTACCATATAACAATCCAGTCTAACACCAATCAGCAGAAAGATGCAGGAAGCAACAGGAACAGGAACAATCAGGAACAAAGAACGCTTCTCTGCGCTGCTTATGTATGCACTGTAGCCTAATTACAGGGTTCAGCAAACCCTGATTACGTGGCTCAGTTGTTTCTTAAAGAAACAGATATATTGCCTGACCAACAAGTTAGGAGTAAGCTACAAGCTGAACCTAACATTCTCCCCATTGGGCAGGACAATATACACAATAGATACAGAAACAAAAATACACATCCAAATCATACATTGTACAGTGGTATCAGTTACATTTCAGATTCTTAATCCAAATCTTTCACAACAATTGGTGTGTTTAATGGCACCTTGCGCTTTGGTAAAATTATCGGCAATATTGTCCTCTGATGCGCAATATTCCAATGTAATCATGTTATCCTTAACACATTGCCGAACATTCAGATAACGTATATCAGTGTATTTAGTCCTTGTCTTTACAGCAAGATTCGTTGCCATTGTAATGGCTGCCTGGTTATCTTCATAAACCGTAATAGGATAGTCCATTTTGAATCCAATATCTTCCATCAACTGTTCATAATAAATCAGTTCCGTACATGTAAGTGATAGACAAGAAAACTCCGCTTCCATGGTAGACAAACTGATGTGTTTCTGGCGAATTGATCTCCATCCAATCAGGCAGTTATCCAACATGATTGCTATTCCAGACGTAGATTTTCTGGCAAAACTGGCATCAGCATATGCCTTTAACACCATATTGGCATTTGGTTCTAAATACATAGCAAAATGTAACGTTCTTTTAAGATATCTAAGAATACGTTTTGCAGCTTGCCAATGCCTATCAGTAGGCTCTGAACTATATTGTGCTAGTTGATTAACACTAAAAGCTATATCAGGCCGTGTCCAGTTGCTCAAATACGACAAACTGCCTATTAATGATTGATACAGTTCTTTACTGAACTGTGGACTCTGCAAACTATCCTGCTGGAATTCTTGTGTCATAGGAGTCTTGGCAGGTTTACATAATTCCATCCCATATTTTTTCAACAATTTGCAGATTTTATTAGATTGTGAAATTTTAAATCCTCTAGATGTTTTCAGGATATCCAGCCCTAGATAATACCGTATATGTCCTAGATTTCTAAGTTTAAATTTTGTTTGCAACTGACCGATAATCTCTCTGGCCTCAGCGTCAGTTCTGGTAATTATGGCAATGTCGTCTGTAAAGAGTAACAAGAATGAAACACATCCATCCTGTTTTTTTTAAAACAGACATTTATCTGCTACGCCCTCATAGAACCCAATGTTATGTAATTCCTGCACTATACATTGGTTCCACTCGTAACCTGATTGCCTTAAACCATATAGGCTTTTTTGTAGCCTCCAACACTCAGTGCTATCCTGTGTATCATAACCAGGAGGTTTCTTCATACATATCGTATGCCTCAATGGAGCGTTCAAGTAAGCTGTCTCGACATCTATATGAGTAATAGAGCATTTATTTCTAGCTGCCCAAACCAGCATCGTTCTCAAAGTGCTCGCTCGTAAACTTGGAGCAAAAACCTCATCATAGTCTCTATCTGTCTGTGAGAACCCTTGGGCAACAAGCCGAGCTTTATGGGTTACTACCCCATCTACACTTTTCTTTACCTTGTAGACCCACCTACAGCCTATAAGTTTCTCATTTGGTGGTATTCTTACAACTTCATAGACACCAAGCCTCTTCAATGAATCAATTTCTCTATCCATTGCCTCTTGCCAGGCTTTTTGCTCCTTTTCTGGATATAATTTTATATCATGATAACTGGATGGTTCGATATCTACTTGGCAAACCACTGTGGCTTTATAGCGATCTGGTGGATGCCGGTCCCTGGAAGATCGTCTAGGCATAACAGGACTAACATCAGGTATATTGGGTTCATCCTCCCCTAACCCTGATTCCTGTTCCTGTTCTTCAACCTTAATAGATGGTTTATCATCCATCTCAGATGAACTATCATCAGGAATATGGTCTACCTTAACATCCACATCTGTAAAACCATAGTCTGCTTTTTCTAACCTGTCCCAGCCTTCATGTTCTAGGAATTTAGCACTAGCGCTACACAAAACTTTTGTTGTTCCTTTTTCCCAGAACCTATAGGACCTATGGTTAGCCTCATAGCCAACAAAAATCATTTTCTTTGCTCTCTGTTGGTCCTTCCTTCTCTGACTAACCGGTATATGCACCCAGGCTGGTGCACCAAAAGTATGTTTATAACTTAAATCAGGCTTCCTCCCGTGCCATAAAGTAAAAGGAATTTTTCCTGTAGAGGAGTGCACCACATTATTTAAAATATGATTGGCACATAGTATTGCTTCTCCCCACAATTTATCAGGTAAACAAGCATCAGCCAGCATAGTCCTAGTCATAGCTTGTAGGATCTGGCCTCTTCGTTCTATATAGGCATTATGTTCCAGCCGAAAAGGGGCAGAACGTTTATGCTGTATCCCAGCATCCTTCAAAAACTTAGCCAACTGATGGTTAGTAAACTCAGTTCCATTGTCAGTAACAATGCATTTCACCTTAAACCTCTGCTTCCTTTCTACAAAACGAAGCCAGTTTGTGATACATTGGAACGTATCACTTTTGGACTTCATAAGGTATCAAAAACCATATCTGGTAAAGTGATCAACTATACTCAAAATATAGCATGCTCCCCCTAAACTGGGTTTCTTTGGCCCTATTAAGTCTAAAAAGACTACCTCCAAAGGTTTAGTTGTTTTAAACCCATTGCAGCGGTTTGTAGGTGTAACTTTACTTTTATGCTGGTTACAAGTATTACAGTTCAGGTATTTGCTGCAAGCCCTTAATTTAATGCCTTTAGACTGCTGAACAGTCGAATGCAACAACCTGAAATTCAGATGACCAAGCCTTCTATGTAGTAAATGTACGCATTCATCATGCGGCTTTACATTTCCAAATATAGCTTTTGACTGAACTAACAGTAATGACTTATCCCTAATGACAAACAAGTCGTTTTCTAATTCTGCAGTAACTACAGTGCCTTCACATTCCAGCAAACATTTATTGTTTTTAAAAGTTACTGTAAACCCAGAATGTAGTAATGACTTTACAGATAAAAGGTTATATTTCAAACTAGGGATATAAAGCATGGGTAAAAGGTGCTTACTAATAGAACATTGAACAAGTCCCTCCCCAGTTACAGTGACATTCCAGCCATTAGCTAATTTGACCTTTTTAGTACTTTCCTCCATGTTTAGAAACAGTTTTCTGTTTTTTGTTATAGATTGAGAGGCACCGCTATCAATCACCCACCAATCATCTTTTATATTATTAGATGAACTGGTTGCTAAATTACACCCTTTCCTGGGTTTAGCAGAGTTTCTAGCAGACATGTTCTTATTATTACAATATTTCGCAATGTGCCCCTTAGCCCCACATGCATAACAGCGTTTAACAATATTGACATTCTCATATATAGCTTCCACTTTTGGTTGCTGTTGCATCCTTAACTGGTCTCGTTCTTGCCTACTTTTGTCCTCATCCAGTAACCTACCAGTTATACTGGCCAATGTTAGTTCATCTCTAGACAATACTTCTAATGATGAAACAAAAGAGTCATAACTGTCATCCAACGATGAAAGAATAATATAAACTTGCTGCAGTTCAGTAAACACAAGGTCTTTCTCATGTAGCTCCTGGAAAAGCCCTGTCATGGAGTCCAGGTGAGCCATCATGTCTCCTCCTTTCTGAAGATGTAAGCGAAATAATTTCCGTGTCAGGTAGATATGGACACCCACAGAGTCACGAACGTAGAGCTTCTTTAGCTTTGTCCAACACCTCGCAGCAGACTCTTCGCCCCGGAAATGGACAAGTTGCTGGTCTCCCAGTGTCAGGCCAATGATGCATAAAGCACGCTCGTTGTCCTTGTGAAACTTCGCTATCTTTTTGGCATCTTCTTCGTCAGCAGCATTCAATGCAGTTATGTCCGGTGGATTATTAACCATGTCCCACAGTCCTTCTTTTTGCAAAAGTAGACAGCATTTTGTGGACCAGGTAACATAGTTTGTACCATTCAACCGGGTTATGGTAGAATAACTTGTACCTTGCTCAAAAGCCACCATCTTGACTACTACACCCACTGCCTGCACTTCTCACCTCCGCAAAAACAAATTAAAGAGCCCTGGAACGTTCTGGGCCCATAACCAATGTTAGGGTGTGTGTAAAAAGTATTTGTTGCTTGTGCAACGAGCAGAGCAGAAACACACAGGGAAGGAGATAAACATGCAGCTCGTGTGAGAAAAATACTTTATATACAAGATAATAAGCAGTCTCGGTGTAGGTAAAACAGTCCAAGGTCATAAACAGTAATATCAGTCCAGTAAGTATCTTCCCTTACCAAAGCAAACAGACTTTAGTAACTCTCGGTATACAGTACCATATAACAATCCAGTCTAACACCAATCAGCAGAAAGACGCAGGAAGCAACAGGAACGGGAACAATCAGGAACAAAGAACGCTTCTCTGCGCTGCTTATGTATGCACTGTAGCCTAATTACAGGGTTCAGCAAACCCTGATTACGTGGCTCAGTTGTTTCTTAAAGAAACAGATATATTGCCTGACCAACAAGTTAGGAGTAAGCTACAAGCTGAACCTAACAACAGGTAGTCCTCAACTTATAACAATTCACTTAGTGACTGTTTGAAGTTACAACGGCACTGAAAAAAGTGACTTACACAGTGTTTTTCACACAACCGTTGCAGCATCCCGATGGTCATATGATCAAAACTCAGACACTTGGCTACTTATATTTATGACGGTTGCAGTGTCAGTGGTTTTGTGACCTTCTGACAAGCAAAATCAATAGGGAAGCCAGATTCACTTAACAACCGTGATACCAAATTAATCACTGCAATGATTCAGTTAACAATTGTAGCAAGAAAGGTTGTAAAATGGAGCAAAATTCACTTAAACAACTGTATTGCTTAACAATGGACATTTTGGGCTCGGTTGTAGACGTAAATCGAGGACTACCAGTACTAATAAAAAATATCCTTAAAGAAATTATCATCCTTAAAGAAACAATACTTGAATGTAATGTAATTTAGTGTTTCAGAATTTATAAATATATAAATGCTAAAAAATTTTTTAGCTAACTAACATTTTTGCATTCATAGGGCTGAGAAATATGGACCAGTTGTACGTTTTAATGCTTTTCATAGAGTTGCATTACTAATATTAAGTCCTGAAGGAGTAAAGGTATGTGAAAGTTGAGCATTCTTTTGAGGTTTGCTTCAAAACTGGTATGACAGGCATAAATACTCTGCAGTCAAAGTTGTAACTGTTAATTGAATCCCAAGGTAGGCAAGGCAAATTCCTGACAGCTTCTCACAACCAAAGTCAGTAAGTGAGAGTGCCATAGAGTGTGCAAGAGATGTAGTTTGTGGGGCGCAGCAAGAGTGCAAGAGGTGCAGGAGTGATGTAGTGAGGGTTAGAGAGGTAAATGAGAATGTAAGGCTTGTACAAAAGGCAGTGCGGGTGAGGGAGGCTATGCAAGGGTGTAAGGGAGAGACCGAAAGGGTTGAGTCTGCAGTTTGTGAAGGTGCACCCAGAGGCTCAGGGTTTGTGGATGCGGGAAAGTGTGAGGGAAGTGTGGAGAGGGCCAAGATGAGTGCAAGGGAGTGCATGAGAGGCACTGGTTCCAATCTCCTGCTTAAGCAGGAAAAGGCAGATATTTCTCTCTCTGGGCACAATGGGACTATATCTGCTGAACAAAACTCTGCATTGGTGACAGGAAGGGCATCCGGCCAGTAAATACTCTGCTAGCTCCATTCTGTTGCCCAGACTCCACCCCACAAGGGATTATGGGGTCGTTAAAAGAAGATTATTGTATATATATGTACATGTATACGTGTATGTATATATACACCAGTGGTGGGTTGCTACCGGTTCTTCCCGGTTCTTGCAAACTGGTAGTGGAAATTTTGAGTAGTTCGGAGAACCAGTAAATACCACCTCTGCCTGGCCCTGGCCCTGGCCCCAATCTATTCACTGCCTCCCGAGTCCCAGCTGATCGGCTAGAAGGAAAAAATCAGGGCTCACTTGACAAAGAAGAGAAGAAAAAAAACAAGACACCATTGCTTTAAATTGAGAAGCCAAGAAGCCTCCCAACTGAATGGCTAGAACCGATCCACTCCTTGTAAACTGCTCGGTGGTGGTAGATTGGCAATTGAGGCCAAGCTGCCTGAAAGCGGTTTCTGATGCTCTTGGTGGTGGCAGAGCGGCAAAAAACAGTTTGAACTCTTGCCGCGGTGCTTCAAAGGGCCGCCCTACAGCTGATCAGTGGTAAAAGGCAGTGTGGTGATAGACCAGTGCGCTCCAAAAACAAATGGGTAGACCGGTGCGCTCCAAAAACAAATGGATAGACCGGTATGGCTCTGCAAGCAGTTAAAAGCCTGGTAGACCAGTACCTCTGCTAAATCCTAAAGAATCCTAAAAACTCACAGTGACTCTGAGATAATCAAACAGACAATGGCTGAAAGCCAGATCTGTTAAAGATGTTTCTCTCAGGCCAACTGAGTTGAAACTGGGCCTGAGAGGAAGGAACAAGGGGCATGGTCAAAGAACTATAACTCCCTTTGACATGAGTGACATTGAGTTGATCACACCTGCCCAGTCACATGACCATCAAGCCACACCCACAGAATAAACCACGTCCACAGAACCGTTAGTAAAAAACTTTAGAACCCACTCCTGATATACACACTGTATCCAAAACTGAGACAACAAAAAGGACTCCCAGTTCTCCTTAAACTTTTATTTATACTCTCCAAAAATTTATTGTAAAGATTAATATGACAACATTAAACATACTCAGTAAAGGATTTATCAGAGCAATTTAATTTTAGGAATACTTGATGTCACCACAGTATTCAAAGGACCCAAGGATATATAACCGACTTCGCAATGTGTTTGGTGTAAGGTAAGCTAAAGCAAAATTATATATGACGTATTAAAATGCATTAATCAGGAAAATCTTCTAATTCCCAAGATTTCTCTGTAAATATATTTCACCTATAGCAAAAGTCTTCGATGAAAATTATTTAAATCAGAATTACTATCCAATCTCAATGTGAATTAGTGAAGTACAGTATATTCATGAAAAACAAACTCTGCACTGCTGGTTTACCTGGGAAATTTCACCCAACAAGGTGAAACAAGGCCCTGAGCAGGTAGACTAAGGCCTCTAATTATTAGATCAGTAAGGCACTATAGAAGATTGTCATAGTCAGCGGCATTCAAAATTGTGAAATAATTTCTGTTGACTCAATAAAATGGATTCACCTCTTATTTTTCAGTGAAACTTTTAGCATGTATTGTCCATCAAGATTTGTTCTGTTCCTGACTTGTAATGAAATAAATTGAGATAAAGATCTTTTATCTTTATTTCAGAGGTGAAATGCTCCCGGTTTGGTCCGGTTCGCCTGAACCGTTAGTAAAAAATGTAGTTAAAAATGCTTTAAAAATGTTCCGAAGATCGGGCTTCAGTCAGCTGATCGTTGGAACTTTTTTTTTTAGGCATTTTTTTACTACTGGTTCTCCGGAACCGGTAGTAAAAATGCTTTAAAAAAGTTTTTAAAAAGGCTCACAGCTATGGCGCGCGATCGTCAGAGCCTCTTTTTGTACCTTTTAAAAGCGATAAAACCTATTCATTCAAATAGGTGTAAAAAAATGCTTTGAAAAAGTTAAAAAAAAAAAAAAGTTGGCCACGCCCACCCAGTCACATTACACTCCCCCCACCAAAGCCACGCCCACAGAACCAGTACTAACAAATTTTACATTTCACCACTGCTTTCTTTATTTATGTTATTGTAATTTCTTTGATTTATTGTTGTGAGCCATCCTTGGTCATTAAGAGTTGAGCAGCATACAAGTTTAATTAATTATTTCCATTGACACCCACTACCGCCAAATTGCAATTATTAGCAGAGGTCTTATTACTATGGTTTCTATTTAATGTTAAACATAGTTTGCCAGATTATGCTGGGAGGAAGCCAGCATGTAAGAAGGAAATTGAACTCCTTGGCATACCTTTTTTCCCTGAAACATGATTTTATGGGCAGAACAGGTTATTTAAACTGGCTGAAAAATACTATGTACAAGATTATTTTTTTTCCTCTCCTTTTTCAGATTTTTAGGGAATGGCTTGGAAACCGATCTTGACTATAATCATTGGCACAAACAGCGAAAAATTATGGATCCAGCATTCAGTCGAAAGTAAGGAGGGGAAATTCTTGGAATAGGTTGATATTTTTAAAGAGATGTCATTTCAAATAGAATTAATCACTGTACATAATTCTGGTTATGCAATGAAATTTCTTTTATTCTCATACTGTATTCCTCTGTTCCTGTATGATGTTTAAATCTATGTGAATATTCGGAATACATACCGTATTTTTCGGAGTATAAAATGTTCTGGACTATAAGATGTATCTACCTTTCTTGGGAAGGAAAACAAGAAAAAAAAATCAGCCTCTGCCTCCCAGCAATTTGCCTCCTTGCAGCAAATGGGCTAGCAGCAATAGGCAATGGCAATCCCTGCAGCCTGAAACAGCTGAGGGTCGGTCGGGAGGCTGATCCAACCAATAATCAATTTCTTGTGTTAATCAGGCTGTGCTGAAGCTGAAATGGGCTGTTTGCTGCAAGGAGGTAAATTGCTGGGAGGCAGAGGCTGGTGGGTGGGGCTGGAAGGTGGGTGGGGCTACATTTCGTGTATAAGACGCACCCAAATTTTCACTCTATTTGGGGGGGGGGAGTGGGTCTTATACTCCAAAAAAATACAGTAAATGTTGTAGGAGGGTAGATAAGATGGGAGATATTCATTTATTATTTCATTTATTTAATGGACACAAGGACATCCTTGTGTCCTTCATTAAATAAACTTGCAATATATGTATCTGGAGATTCTCAGTCATCCAGGTCATGGTTATTCCAAAGGTGTTTTTTTCAGGAGGCAATTGAACTTTCTGGTTTTTCTTTGAAGACATTTCGCTTCTCATTCAAGAAGCTTCCTCAGCTCTTCAAAATGTCTTCAAAGAAAAACCAAAAAGTCCAGTTGCCTCTTGAAAAAACCACCTTTGGAGTATATGTGTAATTATAGTGTACATTTTTTCTAATGGGTTGTATTGTAGTCTCGCTTGACTTGATTTATAAATCTATCTTTCTGTACACAAGAAAAAGCTCTTTTGAAAGCAACGTATCTTTCGTTGCATAGTTACTTGATTGGGTTGATGGAGATCTTTAATGACCAAGCAGAAGACCTCATGAAAGTGCTGAATGAAAAAGCAGATGGAGAGATGGAAGTGGATATGATGAGCCTGCTCAGACGGTTGACCATGGACATCATTGCAAAGGCAAATGAATTCCTTTTTCCCAATAAAATAAGAAAATATCTCTAATGCAGATGCCAGCACATGGCCATAATCAAAAGGGCTTTTTTTAATTATTTGATTTATATGCCGCCCTTCTCCGGAGACTCAGGGCGGCTTACAATGCGTTAAGCAATAGCCTTCATACTTTTGTATATTTATACAAAGTCAGCTTATTGCCCCCACAAACTGGGTCCTCAATTTACCTACCTTAGAAAGGATGGAAGGCTGAGTCAACCTTGAGCCTGGGGAGATTCGAACTTGCAGTAATTGCAGGCAGCTGAATGTTAATAACAGGCTATTAGCCAGCTGCGCCACCATGCCCCATTTGTGATAATATGTTTCACAAAAAAGCAAAGGGCTGGGGAAGATTCATGTTTTACTTTACTAGGTAGTTTTATCTGAGTGTGGCTTTGCAACTGATTACAAATAGCTAGCATCTAGTAAGGTAGGCACTGTTTACAAAAAATGCACGCCATGTTATACGTAGAGCTTGTTTTTCTATATCCTTTGCTTAGTTGCAGAGTTTTACATTATTGTATTGAGCTATTGCTGTCTAAAGTTGCTATTCTCAGAAGCAAGCAACTATAAATAAAAGATGTCATATCCTGCTTCTTTTCCTCAATATTATCAGGTGGCATTTGGCCTGGAACTAAGCTCTCTACACTGTGACCAAACACCTTTTCCTCATGCATTTAACATGGTCATAAAGGGAGTGAGCAAGCAACGAAATCCATTTTTCCAGGTCAGTACAGATTTTTCTCCTTTATAAAGCTGTTGTTGGTCAAATGTACATGTGGCCTTTACTCAATATTTTGGCCTTTACTTGTCCATAATGCAAACACCATAAATCTCCAATCAGAAATTCCATCAGTGGGAGCCAAGAAATATTGTTCTCTGTTTTGCTAGAGCAGGTTGTTTTCATTTGTTCCTTGCTGAGTGGTGAAGCTGATACTCTATGCCAGTGATGGCTAACCTTTTTGCCATCGCGTGCCAGGAGAGGGGGGCAGGGGAGGTTCACGCGTGCGCATGCCCACACCCATAATTCTATGCGCCCTGCGCATGTGCGCGCAACCCCACCCCCCCGCTTCTGGGATGCGATGGCCCAGTAGGCCCATTTTTCTTTCTTAACCTGGCTCCAGAGGGACTCTATGCATCTGGGAAGGGCGAAAACAGCCTTTCCCACTCCCTCGGAGGCCCTCGAGGCCTGAAAGGGCCCATTTCCCAACTCCCAGTGGGACAGGAAGTGACTTTTTTGCTGTCCCCAGCCTCCAGAGATTCCTAGAGAGTGGGAGAGGGCCTCTGAGGGAGTGAGAAAGACTGTTTTTGTCCTTCCCAGATGCATAGAGAGGAGCCAGGTAAGAAAGAAAAATGGGCCTTCCCCACCCCCCACCCCAGGTCCTCCGGAGGCAGGAAACAGCCTGTTTCCCTACTTCTGGTGGGCCCAGAAGGCCCGAAAATCAGTTGGCCGGCGCGCGCATGCGTACCAGAGCTGGGCTGGAGTGCCCATGGATATGGCTACGCGTGCCACAGGTTCACCATCACGGCTCTATGCAATTATATTACCAGTCCTGTTACACCTAGTCTTGGCTTTGTTGGCTAGAGAGGCACATTTAGAGGGGTATCACCTTAGAGAAATCAGACTAGCTGCACTGTAGTAAAAATGGAGAACAAAACTTGTTAAGATCATGATTGAAGGTATATAATTAAAAATAGCAGTCTTCCAATATTTCAGGGGCTGCCACAGAGGGAATTGACCTATTCTCCAAAGTACCAGAGGGCCAGACAAGAAGTAAAGTTTGGAAACTTATCAAAGAGAGATCCAACCTAGAACTATGGAGAAATTTCCTCACAGAACAATCAGTGGAATGGCTTGTCTCCAGAAGTTGTGGGTGCTCCATCACTGGAGATTGGACAGCCACTTGTCCAGAACTTCTGCTTGAGCAGTGGGTTGGACTAAAATATCTCAAAGGTCCCTTCCAACTCTGTTATACTGTTACTGTAAGTGTGCTTTTGTATTTATGAAATAGGAGAGGATATGATATTAGAACCGCAAGAGATGCAGTTGTGGTATAAGGTGAAGGAGAGTTCACAAACTAAGGAACAAGTTTTATTCTGATCTAGCAACAAACACATTGTAGCTCAAAAATTTGGTTAGTTTTTTGGGGTGAATTGATTGATTGATTATGTCCTATCAAGTCCTTGCTGATTCTTAATGATCATATAGATTTTCTCTGTGATGATGTTCCTAAGTTAGTCTTTTAGTTCTTCCAATGGTGCCCCCCATCGGCACTGAAATTAAGTCTATTTACTTTGATGCTGTTCCTCCTTTTCTTCCCTTTCCTTTTCCCAGATTTATAGCCTTCCCGAGAGAGTGATGTTTTTGCATAATGAGGATCTGGCTGGACTGGAAATGTATCTAAATTAATTATGTATGATTGGCCCAAGCACAGGCTACCTAGAAATACCTGATGTATGCACAAAATAGTTTGCACGCTGAATGCTTTGGACATACTTAATAAGAAACAAAGAATGGGAAAACAAGAGTGTAGAACATTGTGTACAGGAAGCATTTATTTATTTTATTTTATTTTATTAAATTTCTATACCGCCCTTCTCCCGAAGGACTCAGGGCGGTGAACAGCCACAAGATAAAAACACATAAATACAAAAATTTAAAATCAAATAAAAACGAATTAAATAATTTGGCTGAATTTAAAATACCCCATAATTTAAAACAAATTAAAATTTACATTTAAAAAGGGGAGAGGATTTAGGCCAGGCCAGCTTGATGAAATAAAAAAGTCTTAAGCGCGCGACGGAAGGTGCGCAGATCCGGGATCCTCCGTATCTCCGGGAGGAGCTCGTTCCAGATCGTAGGTGCCCCCACAGAGAAGGCTCTCCCCCTAGGGGCCGCCAGTCAACATTGTTTGGCTGACAGCACCCGGAGGAGCCCCTCTCTATGGGAGCGTACTGGCCGGTGGGAGGCTATTGGTGGTAGCAGACGGTCCCGTTATATGTCCAGGTCTACAAATCCCCAACCTGTATTAAAATGATGTATCTATAAAGTTCTTTAATGTAGGCACTATTTCTGACTAGATAATGTTTTGTGGGAAGTGTGGTCTGTTTTTCCTTAACTAGAATTTAACCGTGTATTTAGACTTTAGCAATCACAATTCATGCTGACAGTCTCTTAATAATAATATTAAAGAATGTCCTCCCTTTTTTGATGATTTTTGTTATTTGCTTAGTATCTGCCGAGGAATAGAAAAGAGGTACAGGAGGTTCGTGAAAGTCTCAGATTTCTACGTCACACTGGAAAGGAGTGTATCACACAAAGGCGCAAGGCCATCCAGAATGAAGAACCTGTCCCATTAGATATTCTCACCCAGATATTGAAGAGTGCAGGTAGACAATTGTTTTTTGGAAGAAGTTTAATAACTATGCATAATAACTATGCAGGCTCTTTCCACCGTGACCTTAAAACATGGTTGTTTTGCCAGGCTGGCCTGGACTGAAGGGGTTTTAATGGGAATTTTAGATTCTTTTATTGTTTGAATTTTAATTTGGACTTGTTGTTGCTTATTGCTGTGAGCCGCCCTGAGTCCTTGTGGAGAAAGGGCAGCATATAAGTCTGATAAATAAATGAATGAATGAATGAATGAATGAATGAATGAATGAATGAATGAATGAATGAATAAATAAATGAATGAATAAATGAATAAATAAATAAATAAATAAATAAATAAATAAATTTGCCACTTTGATTAGATTCATATTTTATAGTAATTTCGATTTTCTAGAGAAAGCTGCAATGCATTGGGTTCACATTCTAGAAGCTTACAAGTGCTGTGCCACAGGTTTCCAAACAATACTTCTTTGGAAGAAACCCATTTTATGGATGGATTATACCGTGAGAATTCCTTCTTTGAAAGACAATTAGTTAACCAGTAGCAGAAAACCTGACATCCATGAAAAGCAGCTCAATTCACTTAATGAGCCAAACAACAATGTTCGGACTAAAGGAAAGTTATAAAGAAAATTCAAAATGCATGATAGAGGAAATCACATAAACAAGCAAACCAGCTGATATAAAGCAGACTCTAGGGGGAAGGAAAAAAAAAACCCTATTATATATTTTCTCACTTTTTCATACATTCATGGGAATTCTACTGTTTTGCTTAATGCGGAGTTGTTTACATACTTACTTTTCCAACTTTATATCAAATGAGCCTTGATAGTACAGTGGTTTAGTGCACCCTGTTATTAACACAGCTGCCTGCAATTTGTGCTGGTTCGAATCTCTCCAAGGCTCAAGGTTGACTCAGCCTTCCATCCTTTCTAAGGTAGGTGAAATGAGGACCCAGTTTGTGGGGGCAATAAGCTGACTTTGTATAAAATATACAAAAGAATGAAGGCTATTGTTTAACGCATTGTAAGCCGCCCTGAGTCTCCGGAGAAGGGCGGCATATAAATCAAATTAAAAATAATAATAATAATAATAATGTAGATGTCATTGCCACCTGCAATGTTTTTGCCTCTGGATATAAATGCATGTCAAAACCACAGATATCTCTCTCAATTTTTTCTGCCTTGCTTTACTTTCAGAAGCTTGAAAGTCATTTCCAAAGAAATGTTTGTGAAGATTTTATAAATCAGTTAATAAAAACTAGTTGAAGAGAGGAAGTGTCCTTTATTTTCAAAAGTTCAGTTAATCAAAGATAAAGTCATTATGACAATGCAAACAAGAAAATTACGAGACAAAACACTATAGTATGTCAAGTTCAAATTTCTTCACTAGAAGATTTTTCAAAATCTTAAAATGAACTTTTTAAGACTATGTTTGAGTGTATTTATATTGTATAGTTTAATTCAATTTTTCATCAGTAAAAATGTCAAAATGAAATTTAATAAGATTGCATTTGTATAAAATATTTTGAGAATTATTTTCTGCTTGAATGTCTTGCATCTGGAATTAGAATAATAGGAATTAGAATGATAAATAGAACTGGTTTTTTGCATTCTTTCAATATCTCTTTTGTTCATCTGATATTTCTGTGAGTAGCCCAATTATGCTTCCAATAGGTGTTGTATTTTTAAATGCTGCTGAACTTGTATTGATATCCTTTAGTAGCTTTCTTCTTTTCTTTCTTGTCTGTGGCAGATCAGGAGGAATCTGATGATGAAACTATGGTAGACAACTTTGTCACCTTTTTTGTGGCAGGTTTGTAAATCTAGCACCCTTTTAATTTACAGCTATTCCAACGTGTATTCCAGTACACTGTATATACTTATGAATTGGTGGGAATAGGGACAGTAGTTGGGTTGCAAAGTAGACTTTTGATTAGAGGCACTAACTTGAAATAACATGAGCATGCTTGGGGTAAAACTGGACTTTGGTTGGGCTTGTGACATAGTGGCCAAAAGAGCAGTACTACTCTTAATGTAAGCAGAAATGCTGCATGTGGCACAGGTACAGCTAAGTTGCTCCACAATGTCTCTATCTTACTACGGAGAAAGCACAATGTGGAAGCCTCAGTTAATCAAAACTGTACTGACTGACTGAGGTAAAATCTTTTATTTATTCAGAATAAAAGAAAAATTAATGATGAGCTTACAAATTACAAACCCCCACAACTTTAACTTTAGACTCTCTACTGTTGACCTCACCCCAACCCTAAGAGGTCTCTAAGGAGTGTGCATAAACGCACCAACATGCCTACTATCCAGTGGTGGGTTGCTTCCGGTTCTGTCTGGTTCTATAGAACCGTTAGTAAAATTGACGGGAGGCTCTGGCCACCCACCCAGGTGTCATAAGCCCCGTTGTGAACCGGTAGTAAAGATAAGTAGAACCTACTCCTGCTACCGTCCCTGTCCTAATGTCCCCATTTATTCATATCCATTTCATATATTCATAATCATGTTTATACTTGTATCTGTAATCTTATATATGCTTGACAAAATAAATAAATAAATGTAATAAAAAATTTAAAGATGCAAAAATATGATAAAGACATTTTTGAAATACTGGAAAATAAAAAAAGTGAAAGAATAGAATAGAATAGAATAGAATAGAATAGAATAGAATAGAATAGAATAGAATAGAATAGAATAGAATAGAATAGAATAGTTGGAAGGGACCTTGGAGGTCTTCTAGTCCAACCCCCCTGCTTAGGCAAAAAACCCTATACCATTTCAGACAAACGGTTGTCCAATCTCTTCTTTAAAACTTCCAGTGTTGGAGCATTTACAACTTCTGGAGGCAAGTTGTTCCACTGATTAATTGTTCTAACTGTCAGGAAATTTCTCCTTAGTTCTAAGTTGCTTCTGTCCTTGATTAGTTTCCACCCATTGCTTCTTGTCCTACCCTCAGGCTCTTTGGAGAACAGGATTTTCTTTAGTCACATATGGTAAATATTGATTTATAAAGTTGGACATGTATAGTTATATTTTTAAAGAGTCAGGGCTAGTCGTGGTTCTTTGCCTTTGAGTCAGTTTTTAATCTTAACACAACTTTAACACGATTTTTGGGGTAAGAGATTGTGTTATTAATGTCATAAACTAACCATGCCTGGCAATAGTGGTGTCATTCCACTGGAAATGTTTTAAATTGGAGTACTCTTATAATTTGATTACTTTTAAGCTATACCTGTATTTTTTCAGTTAATAAATTATTATTTTCCGTAGGTCACGAGACCACTGCCAATCAATTATCTTTTACTATCATGGAATTAGCACGGCACCCAGAAATAGTTACAAAGTAGGTATGCTGTTGTACTGTTTATTTTTCTGAACTTATATATGATTGTATTTCTTCCCAGGCTGAAGGTTTTTTTAAAAAGGTTTGGAGCCAATTCAGACTGCCTTTTGGCTCGTTTAGAATCCCATACTCCTTTCATCCTACACATGCTTCGCTTTCTGATTGTTGTGATTTGTTGGAAATTGATTCTATTTGGAAAGACATAGTCTTCAACAGCAACAGACTTATTGGATACGTAACTATGTGGAAGGATGAACTGCCCTGGAGCATAAAAAATGTTACATGAAACTGTCAGTTGTTTTTTTCCCTCCTCTGTGAAGGTCTGATGTCAGGTAGGCATATAAAATTGACTATCTGGGCTACTGCATTTTCAGAGATAGAACAAAAAGGGGGGAAAGTTAAAACTCCTTAGAATCACCTGCAATCTGGTATGCAGATTTTGAAACTATAAGAAGCCAAAAAAGATAGACAGTAAAAAAGGGGAGGTATTTATGTTTGGTAGCAGGTGAGTGTGTGCACGCGCACTACATTTGTGTGAGTGGCATGCATGCTTCTCAGCTGCTCACACAGAACCATCCTCTGTCCCCCTTGCCGGTCTGCAAAGCCAGAAACATTGAGGAACTCTGCTCTAGAGCAGCTAAATCCACAGAAATTGCAGAGCAGAGAGATTGGAGAAGAAGGGGTTATAAGAGAGTAAGCAGGCACATAATGTATAATGGAGTCAGGACTGCTGATGCCACCATGTTCCTTTCAATGTGTATCTTCCATTGTGTACCTGCTTACTCTCTTGCAATCCCTGCCTCTTCAGTGAATGTAGATAGAAACATTGGCTTCTTGCCACTTATGCCAGTGCCAGAAGAAGCATTCCACAAGACCCAACAATGCTGGGCCAGGGTTTATCCTTCCATGCTGCCATCGCATCAGTCTAACCTGACATCAGGCTTCTCTCTTGTACCACCTACACATTCAACAACTCACTCACATACAGACAAGCATAGTGCGGGCTACATCCACTCTGGGATAGTACACACCATCCATCCGCATACATGTATGTATATGTGTGTATCTGCCAATCCTAGGAGACTATAAAGTGATCTTATATAGATGATCATACACACCACACACATATATGTATACACACACACATATACACATACACACACACACTAGCTGCCAATCCCAGCAGACTATAAAGTAAAGGAAAAGGTATGCGAATATATAAATCTGATTTCTGTACTTTTTGGTTGGTGTATGTACACATAGTCCTTGACATAAAGCAGATCATCCTCGTGATCAACTCAATTTTGCAACCTTTTTTTCGTGATGGATATTAATTAAACGCTGCAGTTACAAAGTGACTGCCATGGTCATTTAGTGAACACCACAGTTGTTAAGCAAAGTAATGGTTTGCTATGGGCACAGTTTTGCCAAAAACCAGAAGCGAATCCATCATAAAATGCGGCCATATGACCATGGGAGGCTGCAAACGGCTGTAAAGGTGTCCCAGTTGCCCAGTGCCCAAAGCTTAGTCATGTGTGACCACTGGAGGGCCCTGACCATCAGAATTTAGAATCTGGGTCATAAGTAGCCCCGAGGTAGATGTTTGGCTTTGTTCTCATGCATTCCTACTCTCTTGACAATCTGTATGGGAGCACAGAACTATGAAGGTAATTAACTTTTGAATCTTGAAAGTGGGTGGTACATATGCAGGTATTTATTTATTCACTTGCCTACTTACTGTATGTGTAACTCACCCCAATCATGAGACTCCAGGTTATATACAACAATGAAAACAAATAGTGCCATTATAAATGACTGCGGGTCTCATCAAATAAAGCCTTATCCACATTCACAATTAGTCAATGGGTTTTGGCTAAGCCACGGTTCTTCTGCCATTGCATTTTAGACTTCAGGCTGAAGTCGATGAAGCTATTGGTGTGAAGAGGGACGTTGCCTACGAAGATCTGAGGAAACTGGAATATTTATCACAGGTACACTTGAATAAATAAACCTAGAGTTAGTCCAAGATTTTGACCCCACCTTTTATCCCGCTTCTATCCTGATAGTAAGAGTGATAAATTAGTTTCTGAAAGAAATCTGAAAAAATGGCTCTTGGCATCATTAAATGCCATGACAAAGACATGCTGGGATTTTGATGCTGTGTAATCTCTGTAAGAACAAGTGAAATCTTTGCATCCAGTGCTCATCTTTAAAACAATAAGTACATTGTTTTTGCTTAGAATTTTAGGTATATGTTGCATTGGGACATTATTTTTATGATTATTATTTAGAGTTAATATAAGTGCCTACTCCAGTGCACCCTGGGCAGCTTACCAAAAACATTGTAGTAAATTAAAACAATTAAGAACATAAAACAAAACAAGATAGCCTGGACCAAAAATAACCTTTAAAGCAAAGCACAACGATTCCTTCACCTCTAAACACATTTACCCTAGACCTAGGACCACAATTTTCAGGACTTTATGGAAATCCAGAGAAAGGATAGCTTTTTTGGGGGGGGAGGGGGGAGATGCTATTCAGAGGAAGAGAAGGTTCTCTTCCTAGGTTCTGTAAGGTTCTGTTTACCAGGGGGAACCCTGAGCACACCCACTTCAAATGTGCCAGATGGGCCGAAACAGTAGGAGTAGGGCAGTTCTTAGTAAAGACTTCATCACTGCTATGTATAGAATTCAAAAAAGTATTACAATGCAGTAATTTATGATTATGTTATAATTGTAACTAGCATATTCATTTCATATGGGCAATGGATACACTTGCCATTCATCTTCTGCTTCTTTTCTCTTTACTTGGCTCTGATAATTCAGAAATAGAAGGCAAATTCTATTTTTTTTTTTTTAAATTGAAAACTAGACTGAGAGACTGGAAAGCATCAGTCATGTCTTTCAAAAGGCTGGTTTTATTTCTATGATCATCTGGTTAGGAAGCAGGTTGCTCGGTGCAGCAGCTCTTAAAGTAGAGAGGAAATAAGAAGGTGATAGCAGCCTAAATAGAAAAGAAATGTTTTCGTATTATTTATTGATAAATATATATCCCACCTTTATTTGTGCGGCTCAGGTAGTGCGAGTAATGCTCCTGCCTTCAATTTCCCTACAACAACCACCCTGTGAAATGAGTTGGCGTGAGAGAGGAGCCAGCCTTTATGTCTCAGGGAGGTCTAGAGTTCTCGGTCTCTTCAATCCCAGTCCAGCACCTTGACCACTGCACTAAATTGGCTCTCTGACATATTGCTTATGTCCAAGGATCCTAAACTGCCTGAAGGATGCTCCCACATTTCAGGCTTGGAAGGCCTCAGTGGACAATCATGGCAGCAAATGAAACTTCTTTACACAGCTAGTTAAGGGATGATATTTTTGATCAGCTAAGAATAATTCTGCAACATGATGACATGGCTTTTCCATGGCACATGTGTTGATAATCCATCTTAGTCCTCATCTGCTTTAGAATCTACCATCTGATGCAGCATGTAAAAAAAAAAAACCCTTGTCAGACTTCGATGCTATCTCAAAATAAATGAATTTCCAAACTGCCAATCTTTAAGGAAATCTTTTCTTTAATTGAGCACAGCCACCGGATCATGTCTCGATGCGGACAAGACTGACCTTTTGCCCCCCAATCCCTCCCTTTCCGATCCCCAAATCTCTGCTTCTCATTGGCTATCTTCCAAGTCATTCTTCAGCCTTCTTGTCTCGTCATTTCCCAGGAATGTCTCCCCCCTTCATTTCCACGACAACCCGACTTCAAAGGGATTTAGCAGGCAAAAGTTCAGAGCTTATCTCTCTCTCTCCTCTGCTCTCTATGCCAGCGTCGAAGCGCTGACATCCCTGATTATTCAACTCACACCGTTTTTAAGAAAAGATTCTTCCAAATGGCTTCCCCATTGATTTTGCTTATTGGAAGCTAGCAATGAAGGTTGCAAATGGTGATTATGTGACTGCAGGACCCTGGGATATAATAGTGATCAGGTTACCAAGCACTCAAATCACAATCACAAGACCACAGTGATGCTATCATGGCTGCAACTATGATGATTGGTCGTTAAATTCCCCTTGTTCTGTGCCATCGTAACTTCAAATGGCTGCTAAACAAGTGGACATTATGTGAGAACTACGTGTACCTACTTTCCAGAACTGCGTGTATATCATTTAATGTGTTTCTGTAGGATGATGGCTTTAATTCTTGTAATTTTGCATGATTCCATTTACTGAATTTTAATAATCTGGCCTTCAGGTTATTTTTAGTGAAAAGCGGGCAAACAGTTGAGATATATAATCTTTATGCAATATCATACCAACTATTAAAAGAAAAGCTGGCTCTTACTTACAGGTCCTCAAAGAAATCCTACGGTTATACCCACCAGTTCCAGGCACTATGCGCTGGACAGAGAAGAAAAATGTAATTGAAGGAATTGACATTCCAGCAAACACCACCCTATTTGTGAGTCTGTGCAGTCTTCTGTCATATATTCCACTTGAATGATAAAGAGTAGAAAGGAAATGTTATAAATAGATGACTGGTCAGTTGTCCATTAATGTCATAAATGAATTTTATATCTAGATTAGGCTCAAATCCATAGTGTTGGAAGCGGATTTTAGAATGTTGAATCCAGCTCATGGCTTACTGACGGGATGGTTGTTTAGCCATCTTTGAAAACATCTAGTGAAAGGGAGGCTATAACTGCTCTGGAATATTGATTCCACAGCTGAACTGCCTCACTGCTGAATTTTTTTCCCAACATTCAATTGGAATCTCCCTTCCTATAACGCAAACCCATGTCCTACATTCTGTAGAGGACAACCTTGACTTTTTCATTGTAACTTCCTTTCACCGTGAAGGGCCATGATGGCGCAGTTGTTAGAATGCAGTATTGCAGGCTAATTCTGCTGACTGCCAGCAGTTCGATTCTGACCGGTTGACTCAGCCTTCCATTCTTCCGAGGTTGGTAAAATGAGGACCCAGATTGTTGGAGGCAATATGCTGTCGCTTAGGGAGTGCTGCAAAGCACTATGAAGCAGTGTATAAGTGTTATTACTATTGTTTTCAGATTGAATACTGTGATTTATTTGTAAGTTTATTTATTTATACACACTCACAGACAGACAGACATATAGAGTTTCTAAGGATAAGATAATCACATAATCCTGAAATCAAAATAGCAGGAAGGATTTGTTTAATGCTAGCCCAAAGAGAACAAGCATCAGAAATTTATTTTATTTTATTTATTTATTTAGTTTGTCAAACATGTACAAGATAACAGGTATAAGTATAAACATGGACATGAACACAGGAAATGAATACAAATAAATGGGGATAGTAGGACAGGGACGGTAGGCATGCTGTTGCACTTATGCACGCCCCCTTTACAGACCTCTTAGGAATGGGGTGAGGTCCTAATTTAAATTTAATTTTTAAATTCATTAAAATATGAATTTGCCCGTACCTGTGAACAGCCCCAGTTATTTTCAGGTGGCTTTATATTTATCTCTGCCAATGTCTCTCTTCCCTTGATAGTTCAGTACCTATATCATGGGACGCATGGATAGATACTTCAAGGATGCTCTGACCTTTGATCCTGATCGATTTAGCAAAGGCAAATCAAGGTGACCTCTGTGTTTAAAATCTTTTAATCACAATATTTGAAGGGTTGCAAAATTATCAGAAACTTTTGTATACACATCTAATTATTTTCAGAGTCAAGCAGAAAATACCATAAACCTTCTGCTGCAAAAGAGGGGATTTTCAAATAGGTTGCTCTAACTTTCTCCAGTAAACATACCTTTCCTGCATAAGTAATAAGAGTCGTCATTTGTTTAATGTAATCACTTGATGCTGTCTCCTGGAGCGTGATGAAGCCTTGTCCAGTATATAGGAAGGCATGTACAAATCTTTTGGAATAGTAGGATCATTTGGTGATAGTGTGTGCCTTTTACGCCAAGTGTTCCACATCTCAATTATGAATGACATTGGGATGTATGCTATACTGCAGCAGTCCCCAACCTTTGCTGTTTGATGGCCTGGTGTGGGGGAGAGGGGAACCGGGCCACTTGAGCGGCGGGCTGCAGCACGCACACAGCACATACACATATGTGCGCAGCTCAACTTGCGCAAGTTGAGCTGTGTGCACATGTACATGTGTGCTGGCCTGCCACAAATAGGCCACACCCCAGGGGTTGGGAAACCCTCTTTACTAGTTATTTAAGGATTACTGATGGAAATTAGTTTGTGGGGGCCCTGCTCATATCTTAAAATAAGGAGTAAATATCAGTATTGACAACATTCTGACACATACTAACATAATGTGTTAGTCATTTCCTAAAACTGCAAATTAAGCTGCTGTTAAAAGCGAGGTACTAGATTACAAAATTAGTTTGTAATCCTAATGACTATGCAGTGCTTTATTCGAGAAATAAAAAAATGTAAATATGTTTATCCTCACTGTGTAGAAAGCACAAATAATAGTATTCGTAAAAAATGAAGATGTGCTCTATAAAACAACATTTCTAAACAGTTGTAGTATTTTAGGTGAATAGCAGAACCTAAACAATTTTCTGTTTCATGTGGTTTCTTCTAGACCTTATTTTTCCTATTTTCCATTTTCGCTGGGACCTCGTTCATGTATTGGACAGTTATTGGCTGAGGTGAGTAAGATACCTGCGTTAAGAATGTCTACTCCAGTACTAGTATTTGTTCCTTTTAAAAGAGAGGTAGAGAACTTGCATATGCTCCTGATCCATTCTTCCAGTCTCTAGCGCAGGGGTCCCCAGCTTGTGGACCATGGCCCATTAGTTGTTGTGGCCCGTCAGCGGCCTGTGCAGATTGTAGCTGATTCCGACAACGAGGAGGCTGGTGTGATGCACCAGCAGCCTGTGCAGCTGGCGCTCGAGTTGGACAATGAGGAGGCTGGAGAAGATGTGGTGCCAAAGGCAGGGATTCAGCCAGGGCCTTCAAAACCTCCAGAAGCTCCTTTAAGTGAAGAGGACGAAGAGGAGGAGCCTCTTCTCAATGCACGGGCGCGCAGAGCTGCCAAAAGGCAGGAGTGGCTCCTCAGGAGGAGGTCTCCTCAAGAGTAAGGCTTGGGGCTAATTGGCCACTCCCTTAGCCTATTTAAGGAGGAATGCCGCTTGCAGTAAATTGTAGGGAACAACTTTAGTTCAATCTCCTTCGCGTCTGGATTCTCTGCAAAACTGCTTCTGGGCTTTCTGCCAACTCTAGTAAGACTGTGATTACCTTATCTTAGAATTCTGGTAGGCTGTTAAGACAGTTTATTAACAGCCTTTGATTGATAAAGACTGAGTTATTTGAGTAAAATAAGTTTTGTATAGAATTTGTGCTGCGTTCTTTGGGGTCCGTAGCTGGGGCAGAACACTAGTGGACCGTGAGGGGTTTGCAACCAGGCCATGGAAACAGCCGGCAAGCACACAAATGCGCACACGCACATGCATCCTCACTTGTGTGAGCAGCAGGTGAGCGAGTGCACACGCACTCCCATTTGTGTAAGCGGCATGCACTCTTGCCAGCCACTGATGCAGAACATCCCCTCTCCCCCCTGCCGGTCCGCAAAGCCAGAAACATCTACTCTAAAGTAGCTAGATCCACAGAAATCGCAGAGATTGGAGGAGGCATTATAAAAGAATAAGCACATAGTGGGCTGTTTGTATCATGGAGTCAGGACTGCTGATGCCACCACGTTCCTTTCAATGTATGTCTTCCATTGTGTGCCTGCTTACTCTCTTGCAATTCCTGCCTCTTCAGTGAATGTAGATAAAAACATTGGCTTCTTGCTAATTATGCTAGTGCCAGGAGAAGCATTCCAGAGTGGTGGAGTGGGGAAGCTGAAGTGAAATATTTAGGAGGCAAAGAAAAACTGAAAGTGTAAAACTTATTAGTCATCAGTTGTCAGCAGCTGCCAGCTAGATACCTCAGCATTTAGGGTACCATTTCCAGGAGAGTGGAGAAAAGGAAAGCAGTCACCAGTTATGACTACTAAATGAGGACTACAGGTGCTAACACTGGTGTGCTTTCCCCCATTCCCCAAGTACTGTATTCCTTTTAAAGAAACAAAGGAATGTGAATGAACTGGGTTCTAAAAAATTAAGAGTCATTGTCAATATCTATTTCAATTTTCTGTGAATCTCAATCTCTGTTTTAAATGGACCTAATCATTGAAGCTTGGATTACAGTTACTCTTGGAATCCTTTTTTTTTCCCTAAGCCTCTTCCTCATGCCCAGATTAACATACATCTCTTCAGTTTTTGAATTGTTTTTTTTTTAAAACTTCACATGTAATGAAAAATTATGAAAGAGGTCAAAATCTAAAAAGTATTTATTTGATAAATAAAAGACTGGAAGATTAGAGCAGGCGTTGAAGTCTGTGACATTCCAGATGTTGGTTAAACTCCTTGCAGTCCTCATCAACATGGCCAACAGTAAGGGGTAGAGGAAGCTCTCATCCCTGGGATAACGATCAGTCCCTGAATGAAGAAGTCAAAATATGTGTGGGTGGGTGTATTTTTAAAGAAATATTAAACCTTTCTTCTAATTTTGTTTTGTTTTCTTTTTGTTTTCATGCAAGATGGAAGTTAAAGTGCTGATGGCCAAATTTCTGCAGAGGTTTGAATTTGAGCTGGCTCCACCACAGAGTTTTAAAATTCTAGATACGGGATCCTTGAGGCCACTTGATGGTGTAACATGCAGACTGAAACCACGGCAGCAGTTTAATTTTTAAAAAGAGCAAATGTTGTCATTTGGCATTTATGTTCACAATATCTTTTAAACTGAACCAGGGTATATTAAAGAGCATTTCAAGCAGCAATTGAATGGCTGGTTATGACATTTACATTCGGGTTCACCTGACTACTTTATATTCTAAAGTAGTTGATTCTCTGTAGCTTGATCAGTTATCTGATCCTGTCACTGCTGCTGTTTCAATTGCTCTCTTCCCGTGGGACAAATGCACAAGACTGCCTACATGCAAGAGATTAGACAAATAGATGCTTAGAATTAGACTTGGAAAATACCTTGGACATCATCTAGACCAGCGGTCACCAACTTTGGTGATTTTGGTGGTCCGCAGAAAAATTATTTGCATTTTTTATATTGCACTAAATCCTCAATCTACGGCCCCTGAGCCGGATACGTGCAATGAACATTTGTGTTGCTGCAGAGAGTCTCCCCCTTCAGTTGAATATTGATAAAATTAAACAATGGGTGATTAGAAAATGAAAGAATATATTTTAATGTAAGCATGTGCATTAATAGTAGAATCACATTAAGTGGATGATTGGAAAGAACATGAATAGATTTACTCTATATGTTTAAATGATTGTGATTGATACTAGAAGTGTGCATTGAAACACTGAACAATGAAAGAATGAAGGATGAAACTTTAATATAAATAGATGTGAAGAGCTAAATAAGGGAGTTATGAATAACAAAGCAGATGAAAGATGAAAGATAGAAAAGAAATATTCTTTGAATATTACAGTGAAATAGAAAAAAGTTAAAATAGAGATAGAAATAAGGGGAATAATAGTATATATTAATATAACAAGATATATTAATATATCTTTAATATAATATATATATATTATATCATATATTATATATTAATATATATAATAAGATATAGAAAAAAAGGTTCTACATTTAGGCAAGAAAAACAAAATGCACAGGTATAGTATATGTGGTAGCTCGCTCAGTAGTAGTAATTGTGAGAGGGATCTTGGAGTCCTAGTGGACAACCATTTAAATATGAGCCAGCAATATGCAGCAGCTGCCAAAAAAGCCAACACATTCTAGGCTGCATAAACAGAGGGATAGAATCAAGATCACGTGAAGTGTTAATAACATTTTATAATGCCTTGGTAAGGCCACACTTGGAATACTGCGTTCAGTTTTGGTCACCACGATGTAAAAAAGATGTGGAGACTCTAGAAAGAGTGCAGAGAAGAGCAACAAAGATGATTAGGGGACTGGAGGCTAAAACATATGAAAAACAGTTGCAGGAACTGGGTATGTCTAGTTTTTTTTCTTTTTTAAAAAATTTGATTTATATGCCGCCCTTCTCCGGCGACTCAGGGCAGCTTACAATCTGCTAAGCAATAGCCTTCATCCTTTTGTATATTTATACAAAGTCAGCTTATTGCCTCCACAACTGGGTCCTCAATTTACCTACCTTAGAAAGGATGGAAATCAACCTTGAGCCTGGCGAGATTCGAACTTGCAGTAATTGCAGGCAGCTGGTCTTAATAACAGGGGGCTTTATACCACTATACTACCAAGGCTCTTTAATGAAGTAGTTTAATGAAGAGAAGGACTAGGGGAGACATGATAGCAGTGTTCCAATATCTCAGGGGTTGCCACAAAGAAGAGGGAGCCAAGCTATTCTCCAAACACCTGAGGGTAGAACAAGAAGCAACGGGTGGAAACTAATCAAGGAGAGAAGCAACTTAGAACTAAGGAGAAATTTCCTGAGAGAACAATTAATCAGTGGAACAACTTGCCTCTAGAAGTTGTGAATGCTCCAACACTGGATGTTTTAAAGAAGAGATTGGATAACAACTTGTCTGAAGTGATGTAGGGTTTCCTGCCTAGGCAGGGGGTTGGATTAGAAGACCTCCAAGGTCCCTTCCAACTCTCTTATTCTTTAATATATGTAATAATTATATTCTACAGTATATGTAATAATAAGAGGGAGGTTTAGAAATTGAAGGGCAGTAGTGTTAGGTATGTTTAAACAATACGAAACAATGAAAATGAAATGTAATAACAGAGTAATTATATGTCTATTTGCATCAAAATGTATGATACCCAGGTATTGCACTATTCGTCCATTGATATAAATAATATAAAATAAAAAACTTGAATTAAAAAAAAGGAGAGAGTGTCCTTTTTTTAAGGTTAGACTGTCAGAAGTGGGCTGGAGGGATAAGGGTAACTGGTGGAAGTTTAGGAATGAAGCAGTGGTCATACAGAAGCAAGTGGCACAGAGGGAGGTAACCATTCTGGGACAGATGGTGGTTAATAGACTACTCAAAAACAATACCTGCAAAGTATCCTTTGAACTGGGGCTTCTGAGATGTGGAATCTAATATTAGCTGCCGGGTTGACTGCCTGTTCCGAGGGGAGACTCCTCAATTTCAGTAACTAAAAAAGCTATTATACAATACTTTTATTTTTTACATTTATTTTTAAATCTGGGGCCAGGGCTTATCTTTCTATGCCGCCATCACATCAGACTAAACTGACAATAGGCTTCTCTCTTGCACCACGTACACATTCAACCATTCACACACAAACACACAAGCACACTGCAGGCTACATCCACTCTAGGAGAATCCACACTGCCCATCTGCACACTCAGTCACACACCATCCTTTCAGAATCGTGCTCTGGCTTCCGTTCATGGATTTCCACATGGGAAATTCCACTAAAATTCTTGTCATCCTGCTTGGGAACTTTCCGCAGAACTTGCCTTTCTACTAGCCATTGCCTGCTTGTCCATTGGCCTCTACTCATCGATGCTCCATTGCTGTGAACTTCCTGCCTGGAGTAGCCTGGAGTGCCAAGAGGCAGGCTGCAAGGAAATCAAGGAACCCTGAGCGGGCTAGCTAATCTGCAACACACATTTCCCAAAGACATCCAGCAACCTCGGGCAGTAACACTATACCTGAGCAACCCCTGCCAAATTCCACTGGCTTCCTCTGATGAATATCCACCGGTTTCCTTTCATTCCGCATCATAAGGATGCTTAGCTGCTTTCACGCCGCCACCGGACCCAACGAAGCTGGGTCCAAGGCTTGTCCTTCCGTGCTACCTCCGTATCAGACTAAGCTGCCACCAGGCTTAGTTTTGCACCATGTACAAATTTATTTATTTATTTATTAGTTCAATTTATATGCCACCCTTCTCTGGAGACTCAGGGCGGCTTTCAATGCATTAAGCAATAGCCTTCATACTTTTGTATATACCTGCTTAGTAGGGCTTTCGCCCCCCCCCAGCTGTGTTCTTTTTTATACTTTTTTATTGCCCCCACAATCCAGGTCCTCATTTTACCTACCTTGAAAGGATGGAAGGCTGAGTCAACCATGAGCCTGGTGAGATTCAAATTTGCAGTAATTGCAGGCAGCTGGTGCTAATTAACAGCACTTTAGTCTGCTGTGCCACCAAGGCTCTTCGACAAACTCATTCGACAAACCACACACACACAAGCACACTGCGGGCTACATTCACTGTGGGATGGTCCACACTGCTCAGCCGCATTCTCAGTCACACTCCATCCGTTTAGAATCATGCTCCAGCTTCTGTTCATGGATTTCCACACAGCTTCGATTGGCCATCTTTGCTAGGTCCATCTTCCAGACCTCAGTCTGTTTCAGTGCAAGGGATGAGAGGGCTTCAACTCAGAAAAGGGCCCTTCCTCTTATCCACCATCCCCATCTCCAGAAGACATCCACCAGCCTGAGTCCGGAATATTGTACCTCAACAATCCCTGCCAAATTCCCCTGACTTTGTCTGATGAATATCCACCGGTTTCCTTTCATTCCGCATCATAAGGATGCTTAGCTGCATTCACGCCACCACCAGACCCGATGAAGCTGGGACCAAGGCTTGTGCTTCCATGCCACCACATCAGACTAAGCTGACACTATGCTTCTCTCTTGCACCACAAACACATTTGACAACTCATGCACATACATCTGAGCACACTACGGGCCACATCTACTCTGGGATGGTCCACACCATCCATCCACACTCTCAGTTACACTTCATCCATTCACAATCATGCCCGGGCTTCCATTCACGGATTTCCACACAGCGTCTATTGGCCAGCATTCGCTAATTCTATCTTCCAGACATCAGCCTGCTTCAGTCCATGCAGATCAGAGGGCTACACGCTGCAAAAGAGTTGTCCCACTCAGCAAGTCCTCCAGGGAACTTGCCTTTCCAGCCTGTATCCTGAGCTCCACCTTTGGGCTCCTCTGGGCTGACTTTAGCTGTCGAGGAAGTTCCCTTCTGAAGAAACTGGCAGTATCTGAATGCGCTCTCTGCAAAGAAAGGACATTAATCATAGAGATCATACCAAGACTGGTTTGGCTGGTGCTGTATGTAAGGTGGGCCTTTAATTCTGTGAGCTGTCAATGGCCCTGACTCTGGCCCGAACAGACACAATCATGTCATGAAGGGGAACAGATGCTGGTCTGTACATGGAGTTTGACTTAATAACCAGATATGTTTAGGCACCAGGCTCTGTGTCTCTTTTCCAAAGTTGTTTCATGGCCTCCCAAGACTTCTTATTTAATTTCAGCGATGAAAATGCTTTGGGACAGAGCAGGCGGGAAACGCTTGACAATGGCCTATCAGCTACAATCTTGATAACCTTGCATTCTGAAAGTTTCTGACAAACTTTCTTTGTTCCAGCAGTCACCTTCTTGGCATTGCCCTCTACTCATTGATGCTCAGCTTCTCTATCCTTTCCTCCTGGAAAAGGTGATCACAATCATAAAAACACTTGATTATTGTGACTGATGCATACCAAAATAAAAAAGAAGCATGTGAAGAATCCAATATTGTACTATCCTTACAACCTAAGCCATAGGTATGTTGGATTTGAAGTAGGAAAATATATTTTTCAACCAACATAAAAATAGTAGTTGTAGAACTTTTTATACATAGAATTCTAATCTGAATAACTAAACCTAGAAATCCAGCCCTGCAAATTTTCATACTTTGCTTTTTTATACTTCTTCCTTAGGTACCCTTAAAAAACATTAAAATACATAAGGACACCAAATGATATAAACATATCTCTCCTATAGATTATGCAACACACTCTATGGGAAATATAGTTATTAGAAAAGAAGAATTATGGATTTGAATAGTGACATCAGAAAAAATTCAAATGCTTTAAAAAATATGTTGATTTTTTTTCTATACATTTATATGCACTTCTCCAATGAACTGTAATAAGCAGTACCAACATTAACATCTTGTTTAGCTTTTTATAGAGTCTGCTCCTTTTTAAAAAATCCTAATATACTCCATTCGGGTAGTTAATTGAATCAATTCCCTAATGAAATCCTGAACTTCTCATTCATGCCAATTGAAAACTCTGTTTATTTACTGATATATTCGCCTTTTGTCCAGCATTTTTCTTTTGTTTTTCCTTTTTCTTTTTTTTCTTCCCAGTTTTATATTCTGCCTTCCCCTTCTCCCCAAAATGTCTTAATGATGAAAGAGTAATTAGAATGAAAAAAAAAACAAAATTGTTCTCCGCCCCCACTCAGGATATCTCTTGGTGCTCATATCATCCTTCAAGAGGGGAGTTTCACTGTTGTAGTACTAGACTGCACTGTGTAGATATAGGGTCGGCTTTCCTAGGTCATAAAAGCAGCTTTTCCTGACAGTGAAAGATCACCTTTAAGGCTCACATTTCTTATTGAAACTGTCACTTCAATCAGCCTTCCAAATTCTTTGCCTGACAAAAACACTTTCCAAAGGCAACTCTCAGCAACTTCCTCCCTTTTCCATCTGGGGGGGGGGGCTTTGGAGGGACTTGCCTCCCACTGGAGAAGTTTTGTCCTGCTCCTGAAGATTAAAGGAGGTTTCGGGGAATGGGATCTGTAGGAAGGAAAAGAGGGCACTTCGGTCTGGACAATGCTTTTACTGCCTTTGCTCTTCATGAAGAACCTGCAAGAGATTGCATCTTGCTTTTGCTTCAGCTACCTTGGGGCTGGGGGAGCGGGGGATGGACAACTCCTCACTATCATGCTTGGCATCCTCAACTGAGGACTGAAGCTTCTCTCCAAATCCTTATGTAGCTGCCTAGGCTTCTCTTAACAGCTCCTCCAATATATTCTCCTCTACGATGATGAGGTTCCATGAAACCTCTGCATGTGCCACTTCCTCTTGTATATAGATCTTAGTATTTGAACCACTTATCTCCCTTTATTCTGGTCTGCTCCATTCTATTCTTAATGCCATTCCTTAAGCATCTTAGAGCCTACAGCTTTTAGTTTTGATTTCATTTTGGTGTAGTTTAATGCTGTCCTATAGTTGCTTTGCAAAGGATTATCAATATAATAGGTATTGGTTGTGTTTGTAAACTGTCACTAGATTTAAAACAAAAGTAATAGCATGTGTTTGTTGTCATGACTGCTATATAGCCACTCATGGGAAGAACTTACAGGCAGCTCCAACTGTGCCTTGTTTAGCATGTTGTATCATGGACAGGAATTCAATCATTATTTCTCTCTGGCTTGTTTATCTCAGAACAAACCAGAGTCCCTGCCTTACACGACATGCTAAATAAACCATAGTTCACTAGTCGTGTCCATTTATAGAGAAAGCCAATTACTATTTTTATGCTCACAACAGTTGTTAAAAAAATGAAGACTTAAAAGTGGAATTTCATTGATAACCGTTACTTTCATGTTAAATGATAGCATATTTTCAAAAAAGAAAATTATTGGAAAAGATACTGTAAGCTTGAAGATTTGGATTCATAATTTCTTTATTTTTATTTTGCCTTTATCATTTATACAAATAACTCAAGGCAGCGAACATATTCAACATTCCTTCCTCCCTCCTCCTATTTTCCCCACAACAATCCTGTAAGGTGGATTGGGCTGAGAGAGAGTGACTGGCCCAAAGTCACCCAGCTGGCTTTCATGGCTGAAGCGGAACTTGAACTCAAGAGTTTTACGCTTTCTACCCTACAGCCTTAACCACTAGGCAAAACTGGCTCTCCTGTTTTCAATTCATTTTGACAAGATCTACTGTGACATATCAATATTTTTAAGGAGTTAAAAACAAACCTAATAAAATCTTATTGAAACTTGTATTTTAGTAGCATTTTGCAACCAGCATCTTATTTCATTGAAGACTCCCAAATAAGTGCCTGAACAGCAGGCTAGTAGTTTCTAAGAAATAATGAGTATGCAAAAGTGTATAAATGCAGTCAGCAAATAGAGAAAGCAAAGTTCCTTATTTATGGTATCATGGTTTTTATCTCATATTAAAAAACAGTTAGCTTATTACAGTGTAATCCAGAGGTCTTCAAATTTGGCAGCTTTAAGACTTGTGGATTTCAACTCCCAGAATTGAAGTCCCAGCTATGCTGGCTGGGGAATTCTGGGAGTTGAAGTCCACAAGTCTTAAAGCTGCCAAGTTTGAAGACCTCTGGTCTAATCAAATACATAATGTTTTGACTTTTCTGAATATGATTCAATTACCTAATTGCACAATCACGTATGTGTTTTAGGCTATTCTTAATGATAGGTTTACCTAGCTGTAAGTTGACTTACAGCTATTCATTTAATCACTGTTCTAAATTATAACAGTACTAAAAAAAAAAAGATAGCTTAACAACTGGTCCTTCACACTTATCATTGTTGCAGCATCCCCACGGTTTTTGGGATCTTCGGTGATCAAAATCCAGGGACTTGGCAACCAGCATGTATTCACAACAGCTGCAGCATCTGGGTTCATGGGATTGCCATTGGAAACCTACCCAGCTGGCTTCTGACAAGCAATCAATGGGGGAAACGGATTCAATTAAAAACAACAGTGATTCGCTTAACAAACATAGCAAGAAATTGTAGTAAAACCAGATAAGCTCATTTAATCACCTTGCTTGGCAACAGAAATTCTGCTTCCAATTGTGATCATAAAATGAACATTACCTGCATGTTGTTTTAATATATGGTTTAAAACCAGTGGTGGGATTCAGCCAGTTTGCACCTATTTGGGAGAACCGGTTGTTAACTTTCTAAGCAGTTCGGAGAACCGGTTGTTGGAAGAAATCTTATTTTGGTCTTTTCCACTTTACAGGGCTAATCCTGTAAGGAAGGCAGGAAGGAAACATTCTGGTGTTGATTCTAGCCTAATCTTTATTGCCCTGCTTATAGAAACTGCCTCTCTGGTTAACCCTTATTACATTGTAACAGCTAAGGCGAAGCACCCATCAACATGAGTGATATCGAGTTGGCCTTGCCCACACAGTCACATGACTACCAAGCCACGCCTACCCAGCTGGTCATTAGAACAGAGAACCAGTTGTTAAATTATTTGAATCCCACCACTGTTTAAAACCCATTACTGAATGAACCACAGTTGCTTGAATTCATGCAATGGAGCATTCCAAAATTAAATAAATTGTATTCTAGTCTGGTTTAAGACTAGAATATGAATAGAAATCCTTAAGCCACATGATGATTAAAGTTAATCAATGAGGTTGCAATTATATAATTCAATACAGAGCTAAATTTAGCAGCACCTATTTCAGAACAAAGAAGAATAGGGTAGCACTGTTTTTCTTTTTTTCTTCTGAGATTACAGTCCTTCATTTTTATTGAATTCTCCATAATGATTCTGTTACAGGTATGTTCCTTTTGTAAAACAAAGGATAATATACATTCTTATAAGTAACCAAAACAAAACCCGAAAACAGAAGATAAACATCTGGTATTTAACCCAAATGCTTTTTTTCAAGAGGCAACTGGACTTTCTTTTTTTGTTTCTCTTTGAAGACGTTCCACTTCTCATCCAAGAAGCTTCTTCAGCTCTGACTGGATGGTGGGGAATGGATAGCACTTCCAGACAGCTGATCATTTTCATTCTTTTGGCTAGTCGTTAAGGCCACCTGGAGGTTTATCAGTGTCATCAAGGTGTCCTGAGCGGTGCAAATTCCCCACCATCCAGTCAGAGCTGAAGAAGCTTCTTGGATGAGAAGTGAAACATCTTAAAAGAAAAACAAGAAAGTCCAGTTGCCTCTTGAAAAAAGTACCTTTGAGACAACCATGACCTGGATGACTAAGAATCTCCATAGACATCTGGTATTTAATTTAATTCAAAACATTCAGTACAATATATTTTCTTATTTACAGAAGGAATCTTATAATATTATTTAGTTTGTGTTCCACTTTCAAATGGCAAGCAATTACTTACTCTAGATATAGTATTTATCTATACTATCCCTTTCATTTAATTTATTCACTTTAGTTATCACCCAACTCCACACTGAGCAGCATAGAGAATTAAAATGGTTGGTGAGTTTGGCAAACAGACTCCATATCCAGATTCCCAAACAAAACTTGAAGAGAATCCCAACCACATTGACCCCAAAGCCTGGGAGAATGCCAGATTTTTAGGCTTTCTTGAATCCCATCAAGGTAGAGGCCACACAGCATCAGGGCGAACCAAATCAGACAGTAGCCACCATGACAGAGAAGGCATGCTTCTTGGGTGCTGGTAGATGACTGTTTAATAGGACTCAGAGAGCACTGACCTATTGGCTTGTACTGAATAGGCAAGCAGCATGGAGAGAGACGGTCCCTCTGATAATCAAGTACTATGCCATAGAGAGTTTTATAAGTGAAAACCAGGATCTTCAATTGCACCTGGTGGTAGTACACTGAGCATACTGCTCAGAGTCACTTTGTACTGCAGATAGATGGCAAATAAATTTAATAATCACACAGACTGATTACAAGCAATAGCATGACAAAGTAGCAACAATGGTGGATTGGAAGATCCTGAAAAAATATCATTTTCCTGCAAGAGGGAATTGGTGGGATCATAAAGTAGAGGAAATAATCGAAAATGAAGAAGTGAAATTGCTCTGGGAGTTTAAAATTCAAATTCAAACCTACAGGAACCTGCCACACCCCAGACTTCACAATTGTTGAGAAGATAAGTGGATAATGGATGTGACAGGGTCTGGAAGCAGCAAAGTAGAAGAGAAAGAAATAGAGAAGATAACAAAATACAAAGACCTGCAAACAGAAATAGAATAATTGTGGCAAAAGAGAACAAAGACAGTACCAATAGTAATAGGTGCCTTGCGTGCAATCCCAAAACCATTTCCCAAAACAACTCGAACACCATCTGAACACCATTGACAAAATCACTATTGGTCAATTGCAAAAGGCAGCTTCACTCGGAATAGCCTACATCCTGTGACAATACTTTTAACATCATCAAACACCCACACCTGCCTATGCCTAGCTCTTGGGAAGGGCTTGATAGATGGATAAAAATGCCCAATAAGTTTTAACATCTGGCTAACCATACTGTTAACCACCACAGCTTGTGAAGGAGGGGTATCACATGGGCATATTGAAGCATTACCATCCCGGCCTGCCCTATGGACATGTATCTTTCCAAAACCATATGCTAATCTGATAATCGTAACAGTGTATTCATGTGGTCTTGTTTGTTTTAAAAAGTCACAGCACAAACTCATGCTATGTTGTAGGTATTTCTACTCAAAAACTTCTTCTTGACTGCATATCACTCCTGCATCCTCTTTGTGGGAACAATTGTGCTTTCCAATCTCTGCATGGGAGCATTCCAGGAGGGTCTTTTCATGTCCTATGCACTGAACATCATCAAGTAAAATAGAAAGTGAATGTCCCTCCCCAAACTCTGCTTTCTTGGTGGCCCGGATTACAAAAGCATAACCCAACTGGCGACAAACTACTGCAGCTGCTTTAGAAGTCCACAAATCATCACAAACAGTGCCCCACTTGCCATTGATAAAAATTTCAACCCTTCCTTGGTCTCTCCCTCTTGTGCTGCCATTCATGAGTCGGACTGCACCATTCTGTGGCTGTCGGGAAACACTGGAAGGCCTATTCTTCCTTCTTCGATATGGTCTCCTCCCAGGCCTTCCTCCTTTCCTGGGCTTTGAAGGTTTGGTTTTTGGTGCTATAGTAGTCATCTGCCATCCGTTCTGATTCCTAAGCAGAGTCAAGAGTTGTTCCATCCAGTCTGGAGTTGTGCCTTGTGAAGACTCTGTAGTTACTTTACTCCTTGCTGGGACTCTGGTTGTGGCTTTTATCTTAGGATCCTGTGCGGGCATTTTCACTATCATTTCTAGCAAAGAATAACAAAGACAAATATTTTTAACAGGTCCTTCAAACCATATTATCTGGTACAAAAACTGAACTGCTGATGGCAACAGGAGAAGCTGCCTAACAGATTAAGGATTGCTGTCTTTCATAACCAGATGAAAAGTAAATGAAACTGGTCTGTAATTTATTTGAGATGGAGAGGGCTGGTTGGCTGGGGCGGAGAAAATGCATGCTTTACAGAGCAAGCCTGACCCTATTTCTGCTGTCTTAATTATTAAAAATTGGGAGGTGCTGGGTACTTGAATACAGAATTGCCCTTCTGTCCCTACCACAATGTCAATTCTGTTTTCAATGCAGTATGAAGGGCTTTCCTGTTCTCTGGACTACCAAAAGTAGATCTTTTAAAGACAAAAAAAATCATGATAACAAACTGGAGTTGCCCATGGTAATAGGCTGCATATGCCAAGCTGGCTTTAATGAAACTCTCTTTCAATTTTTGTACTGCATGTCCAATCTACCTTGTAGTCAATCAGCTCACGTTCTTGAAAGCAAAAAGATTCGCTTTTTTTCATTAATCAGAATATTAGCTTCATTTCCTTGCATGAACAAATTGTTTAGCCCCAGAATTCCCCAAGGTTAATACTCAATAATATGTATCTCCATTACTCACTTTCCTTTGGAGCAAATTTAATGAGCCTGCCTTTCACTTTTACTGGCAACGGCTCAACATGGCATTTTCCAGGTGGTGCTCTCCTAATGAAAATAAGAGAAAAACATACAGAGTACCACAAACATAAATAACAGCAAATAACTTACATAAATGGCCAAGTAGTCATTGCTAATGGAGGAAATTCACCATTAGAAGTTCTGTGATAAGCAGTACTTATTGTAGATTCAACAAAAGGTTGACAGTTTAACTATGATGAAAAAGACTCAAACTCAGTAAATAAGGCCAAATTTTTCTTCACATCAGCATTTACATGTTTATGAGTCTTACCGTGATGTGTCAACTATTTTGTAAATGACTCCATTCGGAGCAGTGGCACTTGGTATTCTAGTTGACATGAAATAAAGTTCTCCTTTAGGAAACAACAAAAAAGACACAAATTGTTTATATCTATTCCTTTGAGTCTACTAGACAAAGAAAGTAATCTGACATCACAAAAACCTTCAGAAGCCAAACTTTAAGGCAATACATAGAGATTTCTGACACATTACTCATATCTTTCCATTAAAATCAGGCAGACGCATGCCTGGACTTTGAATACACTGAGTTATCTGGTGAAGTTTGTGAATGGGCATCCATTAGGAAATCCCAGAACTATGGATTAAACTGAAGAGTTCAAATGAGACAATGATATATCACTTCTGTGTTGCTAACCAATAAAATTGCACGATTATATATAAGAATCAGTCCCAGTTCCAAGAGAATCTTTACTAATCTCTATTGCTTTTGATATAATCATGCCAATGGATTTTCCTCAGCCACTCAATCATCTATTCTCCCAAGAATAAGACAGACCTATTCCACATCACTTATAATTTCAAACTACACACCAACCTTCTCTAATTTTATGCGGTCAGAATGGACAGGATGTCAATTCCATATTGCCCAGCCAAGTTTTAGCATGCTGAATAGAAAAGACAGGCAATGACAAAGCATCTGGAAGCTGAGTGACTGGGGAGAACTAGTAACTAACAAGAGTAATCCTGCAAAAAATTGGCCATTTAGCTGACATGCTAATATTCTTTAAAAATTAAAGGAATTACATATACTGTGTTTCCCCAAAAATAAGACCCAGTCTTATATTTTTTGGAGCCCCAAAAGATGCATTGGGGCTTATTTTTGGGGAAACACAGGCAATGTGGTAAAATGAGATGGTGGGACAGATTGATACCCGATTTAATGGAGGCAGGTGATTCTGACATGCTGCGGCACCAGCAGCAGGCAGAGGTGCATCGGAATCACCTGCCTCCCCCCACTTTTGCTGCCGGTGCTGCCTCGCATCAGAATCACTTGCCTCTCCTCCTGCCTGTGCTTGGAGGGCTGGGCCGGTGGTCACAGCGCTGGGACTCACCTGTGCTGCATGGGCTGTGGCTGCTGCCATACACCCGTCTGCCCCCATGTACTAACTGCCTCCTCTGCTGCCCCCACCCCAGCTGATGAAGATCTTCACTAGGGCTTATTTTGGGGGTAGGGCTTATATTAGGAGCATGCTAAAAATCAGGGTAGGGCTTATTTTTCTGGTTGGGTCTTATTTTTGGGGAAAACAATTTGTGTGTGTGTATCTAATCTTAAAAATGTCTATATTTGCACAGAAACCCCAAAGAATTAATTTGCTAGCAGGCTTGTTTTTTTGCCTGTGACATGTTTTCAAAATTTCAATTGTTCCTATGCCCAAAAGTTGAAAACTCATGTTTTGTGTTGGTCATTTGAACTCTATAATTCTATGTTTTTCCCATGCTTGAGAATATTAGCCACATATTTAAAGAATCCCGCTATTACCTGCCTCATCTTCAGCAAAAGAGATGATGTATTGATAATAGTTATTGATAAGTCCAGGAAACATACATGTTTGGCCTGTTCCCATGCATATTTCATTGTACTGCCACTCCCCAGTTTTGTGATTCTCTTTCAAGGACATGAGCCGCCTGAAAGATGAAAAGAGAAAAAAAAACCCCTACATTAATTGGTATGAAAGAAATCAAGGAGAACAGCTTTTAACTATCCTACTCCAATTCAGAGTAATACATTAAAGCTAGCATCTTACTGGGCAAAGAGGGAACTAAATCAATCTCTTAGCCAGATTACTTTTCAACTGAGGTATGATTAACATCATTTATTTGCATAAAGAACAAGGTAGAAATTAAAGTACAGCTAAAGTTAGACTTTAAAGATTAAGAATATAATGGATATTTAATTATTCATCTTAGAACGCTTCGCTTTCTAAGCCTTAACCTTATTAGTACCTAAACTGTAAGTATTAGAACCCGAATTTAAAAACATAAAGGTTGGCAGCTGTTCACTTTAACGAGCACATATGTTGCACTATAGCACTTTTAAAATAGTTGCAGACAAATCCTATAAGTATGTATCAATTCTTATTAAGTACAGGGAATCCTCACATACCAATCACTTGATGTTAAGACTGTGCTGAAAAAGGAGATTTATTTCTGGTCCTGGAAGTTGTGGCCATTGCAGCATCCCTGCAGTCTTCTGATTTGAGTCATGGTGGTGCAGTGGTTAGAATGCAATTGTGCAGGCTAACTCACTGCCCATTCCATGAGTTTGATTCTGAGTGGCTCAAGGTTGACTTAGCCTTCCATCCTTCCAAGGTCAGAAAAATGAGAACCCAGATTGTTCGGGGCAATATGCTAACATCGTAAACTATCTAGAGAGGGCTGTAAAGCACTATGAAGCAGTATATAAGTCTAAGTGCTATTGCTATTTGAGCACTTGGTAACTAGCATGCATTTATTGTAGCTGTCACATGATCATTATTTGCTGTCATGAACCATGTTTCGGCTAGGATTCTGACTTCATTTCTGACAATGGTGGTCCAGCTGTGTCTTTGGATTGTCAGCCTCAGGAATCTTCAGCCATGATTCATCTGAGGAGATTGAGCAATCACAGGCATTTCCTGGTTAGCTGGAGCAGTTGGATTATGAGGTAAAATCCCCAAGCCCCAGATCTCGACACACAAGTAGAGCAATGCTATTCAATGAACCGCCCCACCAGAATATTAAGATAAATCCTGACTGCAGCCAGCTGCCTGCAGAAAGATTTGTAAAGATTATGTAGCTGCTTTGCCTTTAATCTTTGTTGGAAACAACTGTTTAGAATCTTAGCTTGTAATTCTTGTTCTGGTGTTTACTTGCTCTTGAATCCTTGACTATTGGACTGGCTGACTATTCCATTTGGCACTTTGACTTCTGGAATTGGACCATTCTATGGCTGCTTGAACTTCAGAGGAACTTATTCAGCCAAGATCTCCTTATACAGACCCTGATTTACGATCTTGTCTACTATTATCTGCATAACTCCTTAGCAACTATGTCTGTGTATGTCTGCAACCTGAGACAGAACATTTGCAACCTTCACAGTCTGTTTCTGAAAAGCAAAGCCAATGGGAAACTGGCAAGAAGTCACAAGTTTCAGCCATATGACATTGTGCTTAATGACCTGTAATGAATTGCTTCATGACTGCATCTGAAACTGACATCATAAGTTGGTGTGGTCAGAAGATGCTTCACTTTAGATCCACATCGCTTAGTGACAGAGTTGCCAGTCCCAATTGCAATTGGTAAGTGAGGACTACCTGATTCAGGTATAATTGTTTCTTTAAAGTTAACCATACATGAGACACATGACTATATAAATTATAAAGATCAACTAGATTTGGAATCCAATTAAATACTGCAAACATATCAAAATATTGCTGTATATTTAACACTTATGATATCGTAGCAATAGCATATAATGCTTTTTAAAATGAATATCCAGTTTCTGAACAGTGGCATTTTACTATGAGGTATTTAGCGGTACATTTTTATTAGTGGTTCACTAATCCAATTGTTAATATTTATACACATGTACATTCATATAGCAGAGACATAACATGATGGACACATAAAGTGCAGTAGAACAGCAATGGATGGTATTCTGCTAAATGCCAGGAAGAAGCTTATCAGCAAAGCTTAAAGCCATCTTAAATACTGTAACACAGGATGCCATCTAATTAATAATTTACCTAATAGCTGGCCTACTGTCACTTACCCACTCATAAAATCACCAAATATGTACAGCCCATTCAAATTTGGAGACTCACAACCTCGATAGACATAACCTCCTGTAACTGATTTCCCCATTTTGTGGGGATAAGCATATATTGGAAGGACATCATCTGCAGAAGGAGAAAAGGTAGTATCTTACATATAGTATGCAGAGGAACCATTTTTATAATCAAGTATAAACTTTTTATAGGTATCAGCTATAGAAGAGAACAAAATAATAATGAAAATATTTCCCCCCGTACATTATTTACTTCAGTTAGTCAAACCCCATAATTACCTAAAGAGGAGTTGATGCAAAGTTTTTTGTCATAACAGCTGAATCCTTCTCTTGCTCTCCAGCCATAATTTCTCCCTTTCTCCACAATGTCAATTTCTTCAAATTTATTTTGTCCTACATCACCACAGAAAAGCCTCCCTTTCCCTTCCTTTGTATTGGGATCACCTCTATCAAAAGAACAACGCCACATATTCCTTGCCCCATAAGCATAGACTTCAGGTCGGGCTTTTGATTCATTGATGAAGGGATTGTCCAGAGGGATTTGATAAAGAGGTCCAACATCATTGTTTTCCACGCTGATTCTGAGTACTTTGCCTAGTAGTGCTGACCTGTTGAACACAAATAAAGAACTAGTAACAGTATTATTAGACAGCATCACCATCAGATCAGTGGTGAAATCCAAATTTTTTTACTACTGGTTCTGTAGGCATGGTGTGGCTTGTGGGCATGGCAGGGGAAGGATACTGCAAAATCTCCATTCCCACCCACTCCAGGGGAAAGATACTGCAAAATCCCCATTCTTTCCCCACTCCTGGGGAAGGATATTGCAAAATCTCCACTCCCATCCCACTCTAGGGCCAGGCAGAGGTGCTATTTGCTGGTTCTCCAAACTACTCAAAATTTCCACTACCGGTTCTCCGAACTGCACAAAATTTCCACTACCGGTTCTCCAGAACCTGCTGGATTTCACCTCTGCATCAGATGGATTCGTAACTGGCTGACCAACTGCATTCAATGTGTAGTCCTCAATGGAACTGCATCTACATGGAGGGAAGTATGTAGTGGGGTACCCCAAAGTTCTGTTTTAGGCCCAGTACTCTTCAACATCTTCATCAATGACTTGGATGAGGGGATAGATGGGGAACTCATCAAATTTGCAGACGATACCAAGCTAGCAAGATATAGAAGGATCTTGACAGACTTGAACACTGGGCGCTATCTAACAAAATGAAATTCAATGGTTAAAAAAGTAAGGTTCTACATTTAGGCAAGAAAAACAATATTTATTTATTTATTTATTTATTTATTTATTTATTTATTTATTTATTTATTTATTTATTTATTTATTTTTTATACACAGGTGCACAGGTACAGCATGTGTGGTACCTTGCTTAATAGTAGTAACTGTAAGATTCCTAGTGGACCATTTAAATATGAGCCAGCAGTGTGCAGCAGCTGCCAAAAAAGCCAACACAGTTCTAGGCTGCATAAACAGAGGGATGGATTCAGGATCATGTGAAGTGTTAATACCACTTTATAATGCCTTGGTAAGGCCACACTTGGAATACTGCGTTCAGTTTTGGTCACCACGATGTAAAAAAGATGTGGAGACTCTAGAAAGAGTGCAGAGAAAAGCAACGAAGATTATTAGAGGATTGGAGGCTAAAACATATAAAGAATGGTTGCTGGACCTGGGTATGTCTAGTTTGATGAAAAGAAGGACTAGGGGTGACACGATAGCAGCATTCCAATATCTCAGGGGTTGCCACAAAGAAGAAGGAGTCAAGCTATTCTCCAAACACCTGAGGGTAGAACAAGAAGCAATGGGTGGAAACTAATCAAGGAGAGAAACAACTTAGAACTAAGGAGAAATTTCCTGACAGAACACTTAATCAGTGGAACAACTTGCCTCTAGAAGTTGTGAATGCTCCAACACTAGATGTTTTTAAGAAGAGATTGGATAACAACTTGTCTGAAGTGGTGTAGGGTTTCCTGCCTAGGCAGGGGGTTGGATTAGAAGACCTCCAAGGTCCCTCCCAACTCTGTTATTCTGTTACTTTTTAAAATGGAATTTCCCTTACAAGATAGAAAGAGTTGCATTCCTTTATACAAAACATTTAGATTCTTCCTAATCTTCACTTCATAAAACTTTTCCCATTCTTGTTCAAGATTTTCAGAAGAAATGCAGTTAAAAAAAGTTTGGGATAGAGGGGTGCTTATCACTTAGTTGTATTATTTAAATTGCATTTTCAATCTCTAGATAAATCAGGGATTGGCATTTTTGGTAACTCAAGGGGCACAATTCACATTTTTTGAAGCAGCAACTTTGCAAACTATAGCGTCTGGTATTTGATCTGAGGCAGAAATAAACCACGGGGAATAAATTCTTCTGACAGAACATAGTACACGCATTAGTAAAGATATTCTTTATTTTCTAAGAAATGGAAATTTAAACTGAATGATGCTTACTTCTCAGCCTCTCCTAGCTATCTTACAAAAAGGGCAAAGAAAAAGTACAAAACTTCCCCGGTGACAAACGTTTTGCCCTTTCTGCTATTTTTCTTCTTCAGAAAAGATCTGAAATTATATCTCCTTCATTAAATATTGTGAGAAGGCGAAGAGGAAGAGAAAAACATTTCAGAACTAAGGCAAGAGAATCTTTTTGTGGGTGTAAATGTGTGCCTTTAAGACAATATTGACTCCTGGTGATCGCCTGGACTAATCCCTGCAATTTTCTTGGCAAGGGTTTTCAGAAGTGGTTTGCCATTGCCTCCTTCCTAGGGCTGAGAGAAAGTGACTGGCTGAAAGTCACCCAGCTGGGTGTGTGAAAGACTGAATTGATAGTTAAGAGCTAAAAATTATCATTGACCATTGACTGAATTATCCAAGTACTAGCAAGGCAAATTCAATTTGGAGCATTAGCAAATTCAGTATTTGGATTTTAAATATAACGTACCTTAGGCACAATATGTTTTGAACTTCTTTTGGGAAACCTACAGGGTGTAATCTATTTGTGTGCTCATAAATCTGCTTCCATTTTTCGATGTGACAATAAGAACAATGAAATAACTCACTAAGCATTTCTTGATAAATTTCTACACCGCTTGGAAAATCTCAGTTTTAAAAATCATTAAAAATGTAGCAGCATCTAAGTCTAAGCATCAGCTTCTATGCCTGGTATTTGGAAATAAACCTTTTGGGAGAATGTGGAGGAAGATTTGTTCAACTGTTATTGAAATTGCCAATACCTGCAAAAAATATTTGAATCATGAAATACTAGAAATTGTGACATTAAGGACACAGATCCATGGCCTTAAACCAAACTAAATTATTTGAACATAATTTATTTGAAATTGGCCAATAAACTTTAGTTTTGATTTAAGTTAATTCCTATTAAAAAATATAGGATTTAGATGCACCCAACCTATTCTTGCCATTGTGGAAAATATGAGGTCACTAACAGCCAACACTGATTTGATGGTACATAACCAACCAATCCTTGATATAACCTTATATTTTTTTGCAATGTATACCAAGTTCCAATCTACAAAAACAATAAAATATATTCCAGTATTGCGCTTACTTTCAAATCTATAAATGAAAACAGTAAATTTTATTTTTCCCCTCTTTTACGAAGTTGGTAAATTTAAAATCCTACTTGTTTTGAGCATTTCCATATGTCCCAAAAGGATCACCACCCATTCCTCCATCTCCTGTGAAGATATAAAGATAGCCATCATCTCCAAACAGCAGTTCTCCTCCATTGTGATTGGAAGCTGGCTCTTCTATCTCCAGAATTATCCTGAGAGTATAAAGGAAAAAAGCAGAAATCTTATACAAGCAATACAGTGAAACTTCAAGAAAACCAAGTTTTCAAAACTGCCTAACTGTCTGAATTTACGTAACTTAAATCAAGTATACCCATATTTGTACATTCCTACTTTGAGCTTGGTGCAAATTAATCCAGTGTTGGTTTTTGTTTTATTTCATTGAAGACATAAACCAGACCAAATTCTTGCAAAAATAAAAGAAAGTGTAATAAATTTTCTGAAATAGTTATTTTGTTAAAACAGTTTTTATTTGGTTTATATGCGGCTACCAAATTATAAAGATTCAAAGAGGCTTCACATTTAAAACAAACAATCAGAATGCAGAAGGCATAAAAATGAATAATAATATGGGGAAGTTCATTAAAAAATACTTCAGTCATCAATATCACATGGCTATAATATAATAATAAAATAATAATAGGATAATAAAGGATAATAAAACAATAAAATAAAACTGCTGGCCTGCTCTTCAATGCCTTTCAAAAGCAGATCATGGAAGTGTCCAAACAGGCTCTGGCTAAGACGATTTAAACAATAGTGATGGGAAATGTTATATATTCCACACATACTGTATCAAGTAATATTTTGTTCTCAGAGAACAATGAAACACTTTAGACTTTAGGCTAAATACATACTACCAATTGTATATAGTTAATTAGGACTAATTCTCATTGGAATCAATGTTACTTAGTTCTGAAGAGACATATAGAATTTAATTTAATTTTAATGCCTGTTCCACCCCCTCCCCGATTTAAGCATTCCTTAAGACTATATACTCAATGCTAGAAACATGAGCATAAACTGCACAGCATCTGTTCTACACAGTGAGTATTTGCCATGTGGAGATACAGACAACGTAAACTGAAATGTTCTGTTGAAGTGTACTGTCCAGTCCTGGATTAGTCACTTCGTATCTTTGCAAGTGACAGCTTTCCTATTATTTAAATATTAAGAAAGCAAGTTAATACTTGTCCACATGGCTAAACTTTGGGCAGTAAATTGATTGATGGGCCCTCCAACAAACAAAAATATTGAATTTTTCCAGGTTATGTAGAGAGTGTAATCTCCCTTCAGTAATGGCTTAAAGTCAAAATAAAATTGTGCCACTTCTTTCAGTATAGTTAGAATACTCAAGATTATAATACAGTTCTTGATGCCAAGGAACAGCTAGCTGGATCAGAGAAATACTGGAAGAATGTATGGAAGTCAATACAGTAATACTTTTGGGGGAATATAATAATATAATATAATATAATAAATATAATATAATATAATATATTATATTATATTATATTTATTATATTATATTATATTATATTATATTATATTATATTATATTATATTATATTATATTATATTATTATATTATATTATATTATAATATAATATTACTATACTATACTATACTATACTATACTATACTATACTATACTATAATATAATATAATATAATATAATCATATAATCATTCAATCTGGAGTAGGACTCACTTATTGTTCCATCTCAGCATTTTTTGAACCTGTACCATTTTATAATGAATTAGACTACTGGTCTATCTAATCCACTACTGTATTATCTATTCTGAATTCTCGATGGTTCAGACAAACATTAGTAATATCAGCATGGGAAGTATTTACTAGACTCTGTTGTGTCTTTCACTTCTTTGTGAACTAGAGCATTTTACTCATTCAACATTTGTTGCCTCTGGCACAAATAATCTGGATTTGCCTTCCATAAATACGTGACTTCCAGAAAAGCTGGACCTCATTTCCCTTAAGCACCTATTTGAAGGCAATAGATTGGAAAGGAAAATAGCTCCAAATTCTGAAGCCATGTTAACAAAACTACATATTGTAATAAAGTTACTTACGGAAATCCTCTGGATTACTAGCAAATGTGATTCAGCAGGGAAAGGATAAAGATCCTTTATCTTTAGTAAGATAAGATATCTTTAGTAACTTTAGTAGGAAGCAAATAAATAAAATGTCCATGAGGGATTTTTTTACATTTTCCAATATTTATCTTATTGCCTAAGATTGTACTATGATAATGGCTGACTAATAAATATTCTTCAATAAATGATATTATTATATGCTACTCAGATTAGAGGTAAAATGAATTCCAAAAGCTACCTAAGAAACATATGGACTTAAACTCTCTCTTAAACAACTCTCAGGGGCTGCCACAAAGAAGAGGGAGTCAAGCTATTCTCCAAAGCACCTGAGGGTTGAACAAGAAGCAATGGGTGGAAACTAATCAAGGAGAGAAGCAACTTAAAAATAAGGAGAAATTTCCTGACAGTTAGAACAATTAATCAGTGGAACAACTTGCCTCCAGAAGTTGCAAATGCTCCAACACTGGAAGTTTTTAAGATGATGTTGAATAACCATTTGTCTGAAGTGGTGTAGGGTTTCCTGACTAAGCAGGGGGTTGGACTAGAAGACCTCCAAGGTCCATTCTAACTCTGTTATTCTAATTCTAAATAATATAAAGTGTATTTAGTCTTGATACTTGAGATGTAGCACAGGTAATTTCTTCTTTTAAAATGCCCTAATAATAAGAATACCTTAGTATACATATGCACTAGACTGCAAGTAACTAAAACATGCAGATATTAAATTTAGGCACTATTGCCACTCCTTAGGAGTACTGTACATATTTGCCATTAAATGTCTTAAATGCATTGGACATGTAAAGGGGCATACCTTTCAGAACCATGGTCCACTGAATTCATGTCACCAGGAGAAATTCTGAACTCACTGATTCGGATTCTCTCTTCATATTGAACTTCAACTGAATAGTAGACATATACCTTACCATTAAACTTGAATTTAGGATGCAAGGCAATGCCTAGGAATCCTCTCTCATCCCCTTCCCATGGTGAGGTAAGTACAGCTTCGCTGATGTTCAAAAATGGTTTTTCAAGCCGTGACAAATCAGGAAGGTAGGTCCAGACTAAACCAATTTGTTCGGCAATGAAGAATCTGTGAGTTCCATCACTTGCATGTACCATAGCAACAGGATTCCTAAGCCCATTAGCAATTTCAACTAAGCATAACTGCAGACATCCTTCTGAATTCGCAGTCACTAACCCAAGGTCTTGATTAAGACGCTGATTAGTTAAGAGGTGAGGAAAACAGTAGTCTGTGTCATCCAAGGACAAATAACGACAAAACTTAACCCTGTTATTTTCCAGTGCCAGTAACTCTTTATCAGGAGTGAAGTAATGAAACATTGACCTACAATCTTGCCACACTTGTATGCAGTAATCTTGGCAAAGTCCAGGAACAGTTCTCTCTGGAGTAGAAGGGTCTTCAGTATCATACAGATGAGCAGCATACGGAGAACACTCCTAAAAATAAAAGAGGATCTCACATCAGTTGTTTTGGCTCCCCCATATGCTTCAGTAACAGAGCTGCCTTTGTTTTAAACAAAATAGGTGAATGGAAGGTGCTTCTCAAGACAGACCTAAACCTGCAGTAGGAAAATGGGAAATATTCATTCAACAGTATTGAAATAAAATGATGTGACTCTGGCTATTAAACTTAAGTACTGTATGTGGGCCCATAATATAATGAACCACATTTGCTCCTTTGGAGCCTCAGAGGCATAGTTGCCCATTTAAGTCTACCGTAGTCCAGCCATTTAGTAAGGTAAATCCAGTCTATTTATAAGCTGGGCCAATCAGAAACCTGCCATATTATGGTATTTATCTTTAGATAATTGAACCTGAAAAGGGCAGCATAGCCATTACTTAAATGTTGGAACATTTAATAATGCAAGAGAATTAAAACATTTAAAATTATAGCACAGTACAGACAGCAAGTATTTTATAATATTTTAGAAAGTTGCAGAATAAATATCAAAAAGACCTGTGAAAAAGGCTGTGAAGGGACTGAAGAAGAAATCATAAACTGTTTTATGATTTCTAATATTTCTAGGTCACTTCAAAAATAGTACATGCCTAGAACAGTTTGCACCTAAATTTTTCTCTCTGTATCTGCAAAAATGAATTGGTTTTACTCCGTTTTTTCACTGCACTTTTTTGCAGTTAGATTTGAATGTTGATATTCAGAACGAAAGTCTGTCTAGCCACATTGAGATAAAGCAGAGGTAGTAACAAGATAGTTGGGGAAAAACTGAGTAGCTCCTTTATCCTATCCCCGTGATGGTGAACCTATGACATGTGTGCCAGAGGTGGCATGCAGAGCCCTCCCTGTGGGCGTATGTGCCATCGCCAGCTGCTCTTCCAGTTTCCGGTAAGTGCATGTGAGCCGGCAAGCTGGTCTTCGGGTTTCTGGTGCTCCGGTGCGCGCACGCTCCAGTTTGGGCACTCGGTGCTGAAAATGTTCACCATCACTGCCCTATCAAAAATTCAGTAGAATGTTTCTGTGCAATCTGATAATCCAATACATTTCTACAGCTGGTTCTAATACAGAGTTACATAAGGCCTGGGGGCAATAGCTGCCTAGAAAAGCTTAGGAATATCCTCTTATTGTTCTCTTGTTCAATGGACAACTCTGCAAGTAATGTTGAAAAAGTGGTTTGGTTACTGCATTCTCTATCCTCATAAAATTTTCCTTTAACCACAAGAAAATGTCCATCTATTTGCATCTATATTTCTCTGTTTTGTCTAGTTTAGTTACTCTTGTATTTCTGAGAAGCAATGAAATGCTGCGACTCTGTCCCTTGAGATTGGAAATACTGATGTTTTCATTACACATTACACACAACTCTATGTGGGCTGCAAATGTTGGTGGCATATGTAGGCTGCATATGTGGGCTGCAAAGAACCAGACAACCAGTAGATGGCAGCAAAATGATACTTGACACTAATTTTTTGCTTATAAACAACCTAGTGGTTGTTCACATTTTTGCAGCCCAAATATGGCAACTTTAATTTTAGGGCCTATTTGCAAAGAGAAAACAACAAGTCCTTGACCCCACAAAAAACAAACCAAAAACACTTAAATATGGAAGAGGAGAATTTGGGGTTTTGGTTTGCACACAGTACTGTGTCTCATTTTTGTATTTTTGTTACAAATTAAAAAAACCCTAACAGTTCAAATGCTTCTTCTCAAACATCTTTTTTTATGATAACCAAGTGAAGAATCACATCTGGTTTACTCTAACTTCATCTTTTTAGTCATACTGTTGGCTGAAGTAAGTATACAGCTGGGCTAGTTGAGGACAAGAAGCAAAAAAGAATCCAGCACAACATCTGATTTCACTTAAAGCAGTAAAGAGTTTCATTGACTCAATGACCACTGACACTAGGACCAGGAAAAGCGTTTTACTCACAAAATTTTAGGTTGATTAGTAAGGTGAAAGATAAACAACTGTGATTGTACAAAATTCCATTTTTCTTACCCTTAAGAAATAAGCGAAAACAGCTGGAATAGAAGAACTTGTGTTGTTAAAGGGTGACTTGTTTATGTATTATGTATACTCATATATGTCTTAAAAAACTGGTATAATTTTCCCTTAGTGGAAAACTACTGCTTTCAGTTCTCCTTTATAAATGCTTTCTAAGCAAACTATAACTTTCATTGCTGCTACCAACATTTTAACTATATTGGTCCACGGTATATAGACCAATTCAGCTTAGATCAGTGGTTCTCAACCTGTGGGTCGGGACCCCTTTGGGGGTCGAACGACCCTTTCACAGGGGTCGCCTAAGACCATCCGAAAACACATACTTTCAATGGTCAATGGAATAATTTTATGGTTGGGGGTCACCACAACATGAGGAACTGTATTAAAGGGTCGCGGCATTAGGAAGGCTGAGACCCACTGGCTTAGATGATCTTTATCAGGTTATTTGGAACCGGTTGCCTCTTTAAATTGTTTTCACCTTTAAAGACTTTGTGCTATAGTATTTCAAATTTTAGGGCTTCCTAAAGCTCAGCATTTTCTGAGTGGGTGCTGTTTTGGCTCCTCCCAACCTGAAGACAGGAACACAGGGAATGGTATTGACGTAGTTCAGGGGTCAGCAAACTGCAGCTCCGGAGCTGCATGTGGCTCTTTGGGCCTTCTGCTGTGGCTCCCTGTCAGGTGATCCCACCACTGGCTGGCCCCACCCCTCGCCCTCCCCTCCCAGTCACTCCTTGCCTGGCCTGAGAAGGTAAGGATGATGGTGGGGGATGGAGAAGCGGCAGATACAGAGAGATAGAGAAAGAGGGGGAGAGAGAGACACACATAGAGAGTTACAGAGAGAAGGGGAGAAAGAGGGAAGGAGGGAGGGAGGGAAGAGAGAGAGATGTCAAAAGGATTTTGTGGTTCCTGTTGTTTTTTAAAAACAGGTTCTCTGCCCTAATGACCGGCTGGGTGGGCGTGGCTAGGGGGGTGTCATTTGACTGGTGGAAGTTAGTGACATCAAGTTGGCCATGCCCACCCAGGTTTTGTGGCTCCTGGTGTTCTCTTTTCTGTGGGAAATGGGTCCAAATGGCTCTTTGAGTATTTAAGGTTGCAGACCCCTGACCTAGTTTATAAAGTGGTGCTTAAAAATTTGTGAACCCTTTTGAATTTTCAATATTTCTGCAGAGATATGATCTGAACCATGATCTGTTCTCCACACAAGTTCTAAAATTAGAGAACAGAATCAAAAACATTATACTTGTTCATACTTAATTACTGAGCAAAATTCTTCAAAGCTAGATATTTGCTCTGTACAGGCAGGCCTGAACAAGCGTGCTATGTGATTCATCTCAAACCATTTCTCTCTTTAAAAAAACCGAACCATCAGAATTAATACAAATATTGAATTACATATTTGGGGTGGGAAGACTGTTGTCTGAGGATACAGCCAGGAAAATATGCTACATGGTTCTAAACCCTTTTCAATCTTGCATTTAAAACAGATAAGGCATAACCAATCATATAATATAGCTAATATGACACAAAGCTGCCATTTGATTGGAAGTACAGTAGTTCTCAGCAAATTCAGAAAAGTGTAGGACAATGAAACTTAAGCAAATATTTAATTTGTTGTTTTGTTTAATGTTGGAAATTGACATTGCTGAAAAGGCACGTGGAGAAAGGAGCACATTCATTCAGACCTGTCCAATACACCTGGTGCTGGAGGAAAGCTCATGGCTTAAGAACAGACAAAATGATTTTACAAATCTATGACATAGATAAAAAGGTATCTGCATGACCTTGGTCCAGAAACTTTTACACACAAACAATGAGTATACATATTATAAGGAAGACCTTCAAGGTGTCACTAGTATTTGCATCTGGGATGATTAGAGGATCAGTCTTCAATGTGTATAGTGGAAATCAAGTGGCACAAGCACATACGGCATCCACTTTTGGTCGCCACGATGTAAAAAAGATGTTAAGACTCTAAAAAGAGTGCAGAGAAGAGCAACAAAGATGATTAGGGGACTGGAGGCTAAAACATATAAAGAACGGTTGCAGGAACTGGGCATGGCTAGTCTAGTGAAGAAAAGGACCAGGGGAGACATGATAGCAGTCTTCCAGTATTTCATGGGTTGCTACAAAGAAGAGGGAGTCAAGCTATTCTCCAAAGCACCTGAGGTCAGAACAAGAAGCAATGGGTGGAAACTAATCAAGGAGAGAAGCAACCTAGAACTAAGGAGAAATTTCCTGGCAGTGAAAAAAAATTAATCAGTGGAACGACTTGCCTCCAGAAGTTGTGAATGCTCCAACACTGGAAGTTTTAAAGAAGAGATTGGATAACCATTTGTCTGAAATGGTATAGACTAGAGTTTCCTGCCTGAGCAAGGGGTTGGACTAGAAGACCTCCAAGGTCCCTTCCAACTGTTATTCTGTGCTATATGAGGTAGTAAATTATCCATTTCACCCACTTAATAACAAACATTTTTGGACAAGAAATTTATCAGTGACTACTAGTCATCCTAAGCAGCTATACAGAATCTCCAGATTACTGAAAGGTAAAAGGAGGGGAAGAATGTTGAGTTATGTTAGGGTAAACACCACAGTGCTCAAAAGTATCATGGTGTTCTTGGATATCCATTTTGATTCTTAACAGATCCCCTTCCCATTTAACTTTTTAAAGATTTCTTTTAACTAAAAATAGATAACTAGGAAACTGGCAGAAAAAAAAGAGGAACTACAAAACAGAAAATAGTGAACTGGTATTGCATAATGTCTTGCCTAAAGGGGTATTATTGTCTGAGGCCCTTTGTACCTGCTGAACTATATTAAATGAAGTACACCCCTAATGTTCCTTTAACAACAGCAGAGAGTCTAGTACATTATCTGCCTTTCACAAGGTCACCTCCTTGATCTAGTCCAGTATTCTGATTGACAGCAAAGGTCTTTTTCACACTTTCTATTTCAAGGGTCTTCAAATAAATACTTTCAAGATAGCTTGCAGGACAACTCTCACTCCTTTTGCTACTGAGGAAACCTGGGAACTGAAGTCCAACAAATCCCAAAGGGCAGCAGACTGAGGACGGCAGCCCAAAAGTTTCAACTATGCCTGAGGCTGAAGTTGGGAGAGATCTTCTGCAGGTAGCTAGACCAAATTATGGGCTCTACCGACAAAGTGAGATGGACACACAGGCCGTCTTGCCTGTGGAGGAGGATCAGCGCCAATTCCATCCAAAGTGGCTGGGTGTGTGTGTGTGTGAGAGGGATGGATGTAGCGGCGGTGGTCCGGTGGGAGGAGGAGATCTGGCCCGCTCACCTGACACAGGAGGCTCTGCAGGTGACTGGCGCAAGCGGTGTAGGTGGCCTCGCCAAAATGCTCGCTGATGCGATAGTAGCGTTCCAACAGGGCAGCATCACGCCCCGCGTCGCAGCAGCCGAAGTTTGAGTACTGCAGGCAGAAAGTGAGCGGGCGAGGAGGCTTGAAAGGCGGTTTGAAATCCAGGCATTGTGGATGGCTCGACGCCAGCTCTGCGAACAGGGCCAGCAGGGCTACCAGAGCCCAGGATCGGCGCCCAGGGCCCCTCGTCATGCTTCCTCGGGCTAGGGTAGGCGCAGTCCAGCGGGGTAGCTGCGGAGAACGAGGGCGCGGGAGTTCCCAGGCGCCGTCCTGAGCATGGTTCTCTCCAGCTCAGGCTTCGGCCCGCCTCGGCAGATCCCGTCGGGCCTTTTAGATCCCGCAGCCCGTTTGGGGATTGCTTTATGGGCGCTGGAATGGAAGCGCCTTTTCGGAGGGGCCCTTCGCGAAAAGGAGAGAGAGAGAGACGCGCTCAATCAAGTCGAGCAATAGCCCAGCAGATTCCCTCTCCCCCGGGTTGCGACTTTCCTCACGGCCTTTCCAGTGAAAGGGTGGATTTCTCCCAGCGGACAAGCGAAGTTTAGATTCCCCCTTTCCCGCCCCGCCCTCAGCTTTCCAAAGCGCATCAGATCCAAAAGAAGGGAAGGAAAGCGGAGGCGCCGCCTTCCTCCAGCGCGGGGCGTGTAAATAGCCGCTGGAACAGCACCCAGCAAGCTCGCTGAGCTCCAGGAAGGAGGCACGTGCGGCGGCGGCGGCAGCAACTCTAGTGCCGGGAGAAACGCGTGAATCGAGTCAGACGTTGCGCGTGTTAGAAAGAGGGTGGGAATGGAATCGGCTGTCCATGCTGGTAAAAAGATGCCGAAATCTAACAGGTGGGAACCTCGGCAAGGCAACTGCTTCTTCTCTACTCCCTCACCCCATGGGTCATTCCTAGGAACCCAAAAATGAAATAACAAAATTAAAAGAATAACAAGGTTGCAAGGACCTTGGAGGTCTTCTAGTTCAACCCCATGTTATGGAAGTGTTGGAAGAAACATCCTTCTAGGTTCTGCTCCAGGTGGGGAAAACAGACACTGGAAACATGGAGACTGCTTGGAAAGATGGTTTAATGGTGGACAGGATCACATGGCTTGAGTTCCTGAACAGAAAAGGGGCAGATACAGTAAATCCTCAGGTTTTTATGCTCTCTCTGGCTCTGCATTTCTTGGGGGGCCCGAAAGAGTATCCTGATTGGTTGTCAGACTCCCAGGGGGTGGGGGCCTTGCTGGCTGATGGTCACATGTGCTTCCCAGGTCACATGTGGTGAGTTTCTGCTGCTATTGTGTAGAGGGCTAATCCTATTTTTGGTAATTCTTACTATGGCTCTGCCTGAAGGAGGGAGATCTTTGTTATGTATAATAGACTGGCCCAAGCCTTAATGGCGCATTGACAAAGAGTGGGGGGGGGCAGGAAAGTGGGAGCTGCTTTGTCTGTAAAATATGCTTCTCATATTTCTCATCCAGGGAAATATAATATTCTGCCTTTTTCATATTTCCTAAAATGTTTCACTCTTCTAGGAAAGGGGTGGGTGCTAACTTCCTACAGAAGGAGACCCTATACCATTTCAGACAAATGGTTGTCTGAAACAAATGGATGTTTCTTATTAGAAACATCCAGCAATGGAGCATGCATAATTTCTGGAGGCAAGCAGTTCCAACTTTGAGGAAATTTCTCTTTGTTTCTAGGTTGCTTCTCTCCTTGATTAGTCTCCATTCATTGCTTCTTATCCTGCCTTCAGGTGTTTTGGAGTGTAGGTTGATCCCCCTCTTTCTTGTGGCAGGCCATCAAATATTGGAACACTGTTATCATGTCACCCCAGACCTTCTTTTCATTAGATTAGACATACTTGTACACAATCCCTACTTTTAGTCAAGTCTGTTGAGAGCCTCCTGGATCTTATGGAGTGTTGACTATTCCTGTAATCTGCAAATTTGATAAATTCCCCTACTATTCCGTCATCTAAATAGTTTATGAAAATACTGAAGTATACTGGGCCTAAGACAGAACCTTGGTGTATCCCACTGCATACTTTCCTCCATGTAGATGCTGTTCCATTAAGGACTGACTATATGTTGTGTACAGTTAGTTAGCAAATTACTAATCTGTCTGGTGGTACTGCTGTCCCATCTTTGTATGCATATTTGGGATTACAGAATGCTGCTATATAGGTTTAAGAAATGTTGAATTGGGAAAATTCATTTTAAAATACTATTTAAATAATTACTACCCAAAAACTATTAAGTGCCTCAAGTAAGCTAGCTGTATTGAAGTATTACAATATGCTTGTAGAGACTGCTGCCATCACATGGTGATATGGTTATTTTACTTAGAATGCCTTTGTCTAATGGAAAAAATTATCATCTGAAAGCATTATTGGTAGTACTCCCGGAGCTCTTCAGTTATTGGACAGATTATATGCATGTTTGTTTGGGTAGATTAATACTTGTAGATATGTTAACAGGTAGAATTTTTCTGTAAATTACTTCTATTTTGATTATGATTTAAATTTAAATGCTTTGATGGATGCTTCCAGAGTGACATTAACTATTTAATCAAAAGCCTTTTAGTGTAAACTGGGGGATTTTAACTGGATTTCTGCACTTACAGGGCTATAGAAAAATTTATGTGTGTTCCAATATGTTCCATAAAAATAGATCTGCCATGATTGTGCACATATGGAAGAGACCATCTACAATACATGAAAATGTATTTTAAAACAACATTCTTTTAATTATGCAAAATTACTTATAACTTACATTTTTAACTTAAAATACTTTATTTATTTTATTTATATCCTGCATTATTTATTTATATCCACCTATTTGGAGCGAAGTATCATCAATAAACCACATGATAAACAGTGATACAATAGCACTTAGACTTATATACCACTTCACAGTGCTTTACAGCCCTCTCTAAGCGGTTTACAGAGTCAGCATATTGTCCACAACAATCTGGGTCCTCATTTTACTGACCTCAGAAGGATGGAAGGCTGAGTCAACCTTGAGTTGGTGAGAATTGAACTGCCAAAATGCTGGCAGTCAGCAGTCAGCATAATTAGCCTGTAATACCACATTCTAACCACTGTGCCTGCACCTTTGGCCCACTGGGAGGTGTGATAGAAGTCACAATCTGGAAGCTTTCAGGATTTTGATGGAGAAAACAGATACAATTTAGGGCTGGGCCATCTATGGCTCTATGATGGGCATGTCTTCCCTTGGAAAAAGCAAGCTTCACTCTGAAGTCCTCCTGGCCTCTTGACTTCTGCTCACAGAGCAGGCAGAAACTTAGCTAAAATGGCTTCTGCAAAGTGTAACAGGAACATGATGCACTGAAGACAGTTACTAATGCCTAGTCATCTCTTGATTAGATTACTCTTGATTTACACGGGGCTGTCCTTGAAAGCCATCTATTACACTTTCTTGTGATGCTGCTTGTACTGTTTGTAATTCCTGCCATCAAATATGTAAAACTTACTTGAATAGAGTCCCAGGATGATTTGCACTTTATTATTTTGGCCTTCTCCTACCATTTTGTCTACCTGCAGAGGAAGGAAATGGAGGAATGTGGGAAACTTTTCCATATAGTTCTGAAGTGTGTATTAGAACAGAAGAACAGCCTAATGACCCTGAATGACAAGGAGACAGATAACAGAAGCCAGATTGTTGCCCTTTTCCTGGTGTAAAACGAAGCCCAAATGAGTACAATAAATGATACTGTATATGTTAGAAGGTGCTAGTATGAGAAGAAGAGCCTGAAGCCTTTGTAGGAATGTGAAATCTCATATTAGTATCAGATTCTGACTGTAAAGTTCACAGCATGATTTATGTCACTTTCTTTAATTTCTATGTAACAGTTCTGGGACTATATAACCCATAACTTTGCTTAGTTGGGTGCTGTTTACATTCTTATGACCATTGAGCTGTGCATGCTATTAAAAGATAATTTATTGCATCAAACTCTCAAATATTGGTTTCTTGTTTAAAGTCAGTATTTTTCTCTCAACAATGTAGTGCCATATACCAATAGCACTTAGACTTATATACAGCTTCATAATGCTTTACAGCCTGCTCTAAGTGGTTTACAGATTCAGCACATTGCCCCCAACAATCTGGGTCCTCATTTTACTGATCTTGGAAGGATGGAAGGCTGAGTCAACCTTGAGCCAGTGAGATTCCAAATTGCAGGCAGCCAGCAGTCAGCAGAAGTAGCTTGCAGTACTGCATTCTAACCACTGCGCCACTGCAGCTCTTGCTATGTGAACTGCATTGATTGCCATTCAGCTTCCTAATACCATTTGAGGTGCTGGTTAGTTCTTATGAAACCCTGTGTGGCATAGGGCCTGGATATCTGATGGACTGCTTGTCTCCAATTATTTCTGCCTGTCTGGTATGTTTCAAAAGAGAGGGTGTGCTCCAGGACCCTTCTATTGCCATTTGGTGAGCCAGAGGAAGCATGTCTTCTCTGTTTGCTCCCCACCCTCTGGAAAAGCATCCCTCCAAAAATAAGGACAGTACTTATTCTCCTAGGGTTTGGGAAAGTATTTAAGACCTGGCCTGGGGTTAATGTATTATTGTATTTTTGGGATTCCCATTTTGTTTGATTTGTGATGCTTTTTTAAATTGCTTTAGTCTGCGCTATGTGGTTTTATGGTTTACCTGTTTTTATGAAGGTTTTGGTTTTGTACCTTACCCAGGGTCCATTGGAGTACAGTGGCCATAATAAATTTGAAATAAAATAAAATATTAGTCTGCTTGATTGGGGTGGGGGAGTGGGGAGAACAGGGTGTGTTTTCCCTTCCTCTGAAATAGCTTGCTCCCTGAAATGCAGGTACCCTTCATTTGTCAGGGTGGCAATTTTGTCAGCTGGGCTCTCATTCTGAGACTTACGGTAGACTGTCTGACTTCATTCTTATGGACTCCTGAAATAAGATGAAAACATGGCTCTTTTGGAAAGCTTTTGAGGATTAATTATTTACTGTTTTTATTATGAGCCTAGATCACGGGTGTCAAACTCGATCATGTCACGTGATGTATCGTGACGTATTATGACATTTTTTGCCTTTGTGGAGCTGGGGTGGGCGTGGCCTGCGCATGATGCATCTGGCCTGCGGGCCACCAGTTTGACACCCCTAGTCTAGGTGATCAAAAATTTCTTACTTTGAAATAGATTTTTTTAAATGAAAAATTTTATTTGTACTAAAATATTTCTCGTTTCATTAGAAATAATTTCAGTATGGCATTTTAGTCAGATTAAAAGCTTGATTTAAAAAGGAGAAAATTGAGGACTTGGAAAAGGTAATATTAAAGCTGCATTTTAAAATGCACATAATATGGCATTTTCTCTTTGTGTTGACACCGGAGGTCCCAGAATTCTTAGCCTCATGATTAAACATATTAAGTGAGGTCCAAACTTACTGGAAGGCACTAGATTGGCAACAGGAGCATAAAGATACACTACACTCAGTGACATAATGTGTATTTAAATTATAGATAGCATTAAGTTGATCTGTTTTTTTACCTTTTTTAAAAATAGGACTTTTGCAATCAAAATGAATGAATCAAGGTGAAACAGGAAAAAAAGCAATTTAATGAGGACAACCTATATATGCTTCATAAAAAAAGAGTCTATGTGGTAGGTCAAAATTGTATACGAAATTAAATTGCCTTGTAAAAAATATTAAAAGAATAACTATTGCACTGTAGTTCTCCCTAGGTAATGCATAAAAGTGACAAAAATGTGATTTTCCTCTGCATGCAAACATACTGGTAAGTCTTTTGCCAATTACATCAAGAAAAACACCATCTAAATCAACATGACATTAAACAGATTGCATTTTTCTCTAACCTCCAACTACCTAGATGAAAAGCCAAATGGAATTCTTCAGTGTTTGGAATGCTTATGTGTACTGTAGGTTAGCTGTGCTGAACAGCTACAAGGATTCTCATTATAAATAATTCATTAGCATACCAATTGGGACATCCTCCCTCCCCCTCACCTGATGTTTTATTCAAAACTATTTTCAAAGCAGTGTGTTAATGCGGTGCCAAGAATGTTGCTTTCCTGGAGTTTTTACTTGATTTAAAATTTCAAATCAGTGACAGCTAAAATAAACAACCAGCTGCTGACATAGACTAATTCAAATGTTCATCACTAAGTTATAAGCAAGGATTTCTCCATCTCTCAAGTTCCTTTAGGATGATGTTGATTGAAGATCATGGCTTTAATTTTCATTAATAGTTCTCTTTTAACAGTAAATAAATATAGAGCTACGTAATTTTGTAATTTTTAATTTTTAGAACATGATTCTTATTAGGAAAATATGAGAATTTTGTTAGAATAGTTATTTTATGTATAATTAAAGCAGAGGACTTGCCTTTCTTGATTGAGCTGCAGGGAAAATGGGGACAAAATTATATCTGATCGTTTGTGCCTAAGGAGGGATGAATGTTCAACATATTGTTGCAAGCCGCCCAGAGTGGCCCCATGGTGAGATGGGCAGCAAATGAATTTAACAAATAGATAAATAGATAAACAAACAAACAAACAAACAAATGATGATGACCAGTACCTTGAATTGCACCCAGAAGCAGTTCAAATCATGGCAGTTCCCAAAATAATTATGTTACATGGATAAATTGTAACTTGGCCATTACTACTTGAGCCACAGCTTCCTGGAGCAGCTGGTCTTCAAGAGCAGCCCCATATAAAGGAAGAGGCAGTAGTTCAGTCATGAGATGACAAAAGCATGAGTAATTTTCAACAAAGTTTCCTAATTTGGGAATTTTTATGACTGATACACAAGAAAGATCCGGGCAAAGACCTTCTTGTCCAGAAGCTGTATTCACTTTTCCAGCAGGAGCTGTGAGTCTAAGAGGATTCCCAAACTATTAATTTGCTCTGTATTAGGAAGAACTATCCTATTCGATATTAAATATTAAATTCTGCTGGAATGTGCACAGTCACTGTATCTGGCTGAGATTGAGTCTAAGCCTCTTTCTCCCCATTTAGGCCCTTATAGCCTCTAGCCATTAGATTATATTACAATTACATCTCTTCAATTACACCCCCAAGGCCTCTGCATCTCCCCCAAGGGCATGGGGGTTAGGATTAGCTGGACGCTGACCTTTGAAGGCAAATGGGCATGGGGGACCGCCGGGAAGGCCATGTGAAAGGCAGGCAAGCATGGCAGGGCTGCGGGGAAGGGAGTAGGCTGCTAGCTCCCTTCCTCGCAGCTGGGCAGCCCCTACATGCTTGCCTGCCTTCCACTTGCCTGCCTTCACAAGCTGGCCATGGGGACACTGGGAATGGAGTAGGGGAGGCCTTCGCAAGTGGGCAACTGGCGACCAGTTTGGGGGCGTGGCCAACCAGCAGTCGCTACCGGTTCAGTGACCCAGGCCAAATGCCTGCTACCGGTTTGTGCAAACCGATCCAAACCAGTCAGATTTCACTCCTGGTGTAATCTCAATGCACTGTCTAACCTTAAAACACACAAAAAAGGTTCCAGTAATTTGATTCATTCAGGATTCATCACAACTGCAGATTCATTATAATATCAACAATTGTATTCAGAAAGGGCAGGTTAAAGACACGTTGAGGGTTGTCCAAGCAGTGGGTTCTTGATGATGAGACATTTTGCTCTTCAAGGTTGGTGGCATTATCTCTCCACCCAAGGATGCATTAATCATTGTTCTTGCCAGCTTCCTGTTATCCCCCTCAGCAGCTTTTATCAGCACTTCAAGGTAGAGCAGACTAAGAAACCAGTCATGAAGGCTTTTTATTATAAGGTTATGGTAACAGAATCATCCAAGTCTGAATGTGCTTCCCAGGGCCGGATTTAGTTTGAAAGAGGCCCTAGATTATTTCACTTATGAGGCCCTTTCACCAGTGGTGGGATTCAATTTTTTAACAACAGGTTCTGTGGGCGTGGCTTAGTTGGAGGTGTGGCTTGGCAATCATGTGACTGGGTGGGCGTGGCTAGCTGGTCACGTGACTGTAGGCGTGGGTAGCTCGTCATGTGACCGGGTGGGCGTGGCTATGTGCATAGACTTTTTTCAGAGGGCTGAAAAAAGTCATTTCTGACTGGGCCTCGCACTTTTGACCAGTCCTCACACTTATGACCATCCTCACATTTATGCCCGTGCAGCTTTCTTAACAACCATGTCACTCATTTCACAACTGCTTTTCTTCACCATGATGACAAGATACGGCAAAAACGTAAAATGTGAGGACAGTCGTAAGTTCGAGGACTGGTCAAAAGTGCGAGGACCAGTCAAAAATAACTTTTTCAGTCCTCTGAGTAGTCCATATGCATAAAAGGACTACCCAGAGGGCTGAAAAAAGTCATTTCTGACTGGGCCTCGCACTTTTGACCGGTCCTCACACTTATGACCATCCTCACATTTATGCCCGTGCAGCTTTCTTAACAACCATGTCACTCATTTCACAACTGCTTCTCTTCACCATGGTGACAAGATAGGGCAAAAATGTAAAATGTGAGGACAGTCGTAAGTTCGAGGACTGATCAAAAGTGCGAGGACCAGTCAAAAATAACTTTTTCAGCCCTCTGAGTAGTCCATATGCATAAAAGGATACAGCAATAGAGAGGGATGAAGGAAGGGAAGGGAAATTAGAGTAGGAGGGAGGGTAAGAGGGGGAGGAAGAGAGGAGGAGAAGGAGAAAGGAAGAGGAAGTAGGGAGGAGAAGAAGAGGGGGAAGAGAAAGTAAGAAGGAAAGAAAAGAGAGAGGTGGTAGGTTTGAGGAGAAAGATTGCTGTACAATAAAAAAGATGAAAGGGAAGAAAGCCAACCCCAAACAAATATAAAGATATTAAGATAAAGAATGAATGGTTAAACTTTAAAGAATAAAAGAGAACAAATATGAATAAATAGCAGTAATTAGAAACATACAAACATACAATTTATTTTCTTTGAACAGAGTATTTGGCCGGTTCACAAATTTAAACAGTGTTTAGTCACTTCAATTAAATTTACAATTTCTATATTTCCTTTTTGCCATATTTATTCCTCATCTATTTTTTTTTTAAAAACCAATATTACCCTTCATCCTCATCTCTAATCTTAATCAAATTCAATTTTTCCCTTCTATTCTATATTATACCCCTTTCCATTGTCATCTATTTTTATATCCATCCTCACATTGTTTAATTATGTAATTATGTAATACAGTTGTTTAATACAAATTCAACATTTTAATATAAATCAATTAGTTATAAAACTATCTTTTTTGTATATTAATCATCAATATGAACATGAATATTCCAATTATTTCCATGCAATCCAATTTCTTACAAATCAATTAATTAATTATATTTACCAATAATAATAAACCAAATAATTTCCCCCATATATTCCTCTGAACCACAACTTAACCATTTCTGCTTTCAACACAATATACAATTAATAGTATCTCAATTATTACAATTCCCTAGTTAAATACAGCTTTTTTTTCTTTTGTGTTTTAAAATCTTGAACTCTCCTCCTAAATTTCCCATTGTTTGCAGTTTTTCACCTACCTTTTTTGGGGAGGAAAAATAAAAATAAAAATAAATCTCTCTCTGCCTCATTTTGTCACGTTGCACCAAAGATCCTGGTTTCGGTTTCGTTTCTGCAGCTTAGCTAGGGGAAAAAAAAAATGCTTCAGGAACTCTTTACACTGATTGCCTGTAGGGCGGCCCTTTGAAGCCCCGGGCAAGAGTTTAAACAGTTTTTTTTTCTTCTAGCCATCAGCTGGGGCTCAAGAGGCAGCGGGACTGAGGAGGCAGAATGAAAAATCGATACTTTTTTGAAACGCCGCGGGACGCAGGACAAATTGCTAAAAATCGGGATGTCTGGTCACCTTACCCTAGAACCCCCAGAATCCCAGAAGGGTGTAGGCCCCTCTTGATCTTGAGGCCCTAGGCTGAAGCCTAGTTAGCCTATAGGAAAATCCGGCGTGCTTCCCCTCTTCCTCCCTTTATCTTTATGAGAACTATGGAGGTACTTCAGGTTCTAGTTGTGGCCTAGACTCAGATCCCTGTTATCTGACTGTTGTCTTGATAGTGACTTTTCGTCAAGTTTATTCCTTCTGCCCATTATCTAAAGACAGGGTTCCTATTTAACAGTGGTTTGGTTGATGTCACAGAGAACCCTGTCTACTTTCTCAAAATAGATAGGGCCAAATTATTTCCAGATAATCTTAAAGAACATTGCCTCTGTTATTTCCTGTAGAGTTGTTCAGTCACTATCCAATGATATGTGTATTGAATGATTTTATCCTCCAAGATGCCTCCAGAATCTTGCCCCCCAAGAAGCTTCTGAATTAAGATGTCCAGCAGAAATAACTAATGGCAAGGATGCTGCCGCAATAAGCTTAGTTGTAATGATGAAGGACAATGTATGTCTCTGTGTCTTTTTTCAGATACATACCTATTGAGTTTAATGGAAGTTACTCTCAGATGTATGAGTGCCATTTCTTCTTTTGGAAATGAAGGTATACACAAGCTGCTTGTATGCTCAGAAATTTCTGCATTATATTTATTTGTTTTTGTATACCAATGTTGCCTATGCTGGCTACAATTATTTCTAAACCTCTATATTCAGAAATAAACAATGTTAGGTTTCAGTTGTATTCAACAGAACAGGTTGTGATTTATATTCTCACCTAAACTAGACTGTCTTGGCAGCTTATTCACCTTTAGGATAAACAAGAAGCTGAAATAAATAATAAAGGAATAAATAAGAAATTAAAGACAAGCAACTAGATATTATAGAAATTTTATTTAAAAATGTAAAAGAAATTCTAGATTTAACTTGAGGGTAAAGATAAACACTGAATCAGGAAAATGTTAGCCCTGGAAGCCAGCTTTTCTTTGGATCTTCAGGGCTGCCACATTTAGTGCTGTGGGAAACTGGGAGGGGAGATTGTATGGAGTTGGGGAGATATCTGGCCATAATAACATTCTTTTCTCTTAAAGGACATTCTGCCCTGCACCTGGAGTGGCATGACTGGGAGACATCTACAGTTGGGACGGTGCATTGATTAGACCATGTGATGGACGTGTGGGTGCAGAGGAAGGGACTTGGACTTTCTTTTGAGTGGGGAAAACCTGGAAGCTTTCAGATTTGGGTTTTCCCAGATGTGCCAATATGACATCTCTAATAAAATGGAACTTTGAGGAACTTCTGGCCTTGGAGTCTTCTTTCATTGGGGGTGTTACTTGGAATTCTGACAGAAAAACTGAAAGATACTCATTTATAGAAATGATGTAGTCAGTAGATCACAATATCCAATGTATAGCACTTGGCCAACCTTAGTTGAACTAAAAAACTATGCAAGATTGAGCCTAGTTAGTACTTGGGTTGGAAATCCCAGGTCTGTAAAAGAAATTGAGAAGTTGTACAGAAAGAAAAAACATAGCACTTGCAAGTAGGGGCAAACCATTTCCATATGATTTCCAGAAAAATTGCGTTGAGGAAGTTGCCAAGAATTGGCTGATTGAAATGCATGGCTGATTGAAGCTTATTAAGAGACACAATTCTGTTTTGTTTTGTTTTTTATTAAAAGGCAACTCCATCTGTGTACAGTATTTTCTCTTATGGGCGATCTCCTTAACTAGGAAGCAGTTTGTAAACAATATCATTAGCTAACTCCTTTTAAAATCTCCCAAATTAATGAGACTCGGGTAGGAGAGATGGCTTCCATCTTTGTTTGGCCTGTACTTTTATTGTTGTGCTAACTGAATTTCTCATGGTATTAGAAGAAATTATTCTAGAGCTGACATCTGCTCCCTGTGGACTGAAAACACTCACTTATTTCATATTGGCTAGTTAGCAGCTGTCAGATGGTAACAGCATTCAATCACTGCCAAGTTTGCTTGTATTTGAACCAGGAGCTTTAAAATAAAGAAAAGAAAAGAAAACCCCAAACATATATTGCTGTTACGCTGAGCCCTTGGGATGTGCTTCCTTCTCAGCAACAAATGTCTGATGAGTTTAGGAAAATTGATATCAGCAAATAATGTGAATGGGATTAAAACTATTTAAAGAAATTTAGTTATGGTACATTTCAGGTAACCAGAAATAAGCTTCCTTTAAATCAGTAAATATACTCATGAGTCAATGTTTAGGCCATATCCATATTGATATTATATTCCATTAGTAAAATGATTATATCACTCAAGGAACACAAATAATATATTTCCACTGGTACTATCCCCAAAATACTGAAACATTTTTTCTCATTCAGTTTTTATACAATACCAACAACATTGTGTTCTAAAAGTTCTTTTAAATTTGTTTGGTTGCTTGGCTCTGATATTTTGGGTTTTTTTTTTTTTTTACCTTCAAAATTTTTCCTTCAGATCCCAATTCAGTTTATTGAGATCTACTGTTGATTCTGGACTGCTTATGGAGAGTTGGTTCCTCTTTTGTTTCTTGCTCAGATTTCAGACTCTTAAAATAGGACAGGACAGGACAGTTAAAATAGTACAAAAGACATTCAAGGAAACTCCTAACCTTTTACAGTCATTTTAGAAATATACCTAGTGACTGAGTATTGTAAATGAAATATTATCCTATGGTATTGTTGGTTGTATTACACAAAAATCTTCATACAGAACTAAATAGAAGGGACTTAACTTATGTTACATTTTCTTAACATTAAGAGAACCATTCTGCTAAATATACCTAACCTTGATAATCTCTCACTGGAAATCTTCAACCAGACACAGATTTCCATCATAAATAGTTTATGCAGAATAATATATATGTCTCACTAAGAGAAAAATTGCAGCTGTACTAATATTAGCTGTGCCAGATCTTGAAAGAAAAAGTATATTAAGACTGATTGAGACTTTTTTTGGCTCAACAGTTTAAATGAAAAAAAGCTTCAGCAATTTTGCTAAAGGAAATAGTATACAGGATGTTAAGTGTTATTTAATAGTATCTGAAAACAATATTGTACTGATACAGTTAATAGTGCTATATCATTTTACATAGTTTTAAGTATTTTGCTATGTCCTTCAAAAAAATTTGATTTGATTCAAGGCTGAAAAAAATGATTTGCTGACTTTTGGCATGCCTATTGTATTATTTGTTTGGTTTCCTCATTAGACAACATGTAAGCATGCACTAAACTTCTGTTCTCTGAATGATTCTCAGATTTAGAATATCATTAGTTATCAGGAGATACAAAAGTGTAATTACTTGTTAATACTTTGGGCATGATCTTCTCTTTTACTGCTTCAGGTGTCAAGGGAGATAAAAAGTTTTTTTTTATTTTTTTATTTTTTTTAAAATTTGATTTATATGCCGCCCTTCTCCGAAGACTCAGGGTGGCTTACAATGTGCTCAGCAATAGCCTTCATCCTTTTGTATATTTATACAAAGTCAACTTATTGCCCACACAAACTGGGTCCTCATTTCACCTACCTTAGAAAGGATGGAAGGCTGAGTCAACCTTGAGCCTTGGCGAGATTCGAACCCTGCAGTAATTGCAGGCAGCTGGTCTTAATAACCAGCTTAATAACAGGGTGCCTTAAATCCCTGTACTACCAAGGCTCTGGCTCTTGCTCTTCTGGTGTCGTCAACCATTGTTAATTGATGTTGCTGTGCTGTGTCTTTGATGTTGTCTATCTTCTTTTGGGTCTGCCTCATATTCTTTGACTTTCTCATCTTTTTGTATATGCATGGTATATATTTTTGTATATTATACGGTATGTAATCGCAAGACATCTTCTCCAGATGAACAAACTACTTTATTTATTGTTTTCATATTCTTTCTCTTATGGTCTCATTTTTATTTTATCTCTTCTGGTCACTCCAGTAGCTTTTGGGCATGATAAGAAATCTTATATGCTCTTGCACCTACATTAATTTTACATCAACTGCAATCAGAATATTAGCATACTTAATGAATGATGGTTTAATCAAGTAGATAAAGATATAAATATAGCAGGCGAGTTTGAGCTTAGCATGCTTTGAGTATGTTAAAAACATACATTTGTATATATTTGAGATCTGAAACTAGTGGTTTACTAGTTTATGGAAAGGATATCTCGTTCTTAATGCCAGTCCAACTGCATTGTGATTTTTTTTTTTTACTTTAAGCATAGGAATAAAACTTAATAGGTAAAAGTTATTAGAATGAAATGACTTGGGAAAAAAATGTTTGCAATTCTGATTTTGACCTGTAGAGGGGATATTTTCATAAGAATTTACAGTAGCAAAATTAAGTTGCAATAATGTGAACTACAAAAGCTTGTAACATTTGTCAGTCCTTAAAGAACCACAAAATTATGTTGCTGTCAAGAATACATATATCAATTCAGAAATAAAAATGGTTTACTTTTTTACCCGAGATGTCCACAGGAAATGGTTTAAAAAAAATAAATTAAATGCTGGCCATGAACACTGTGATCAAAGCTCTGCCTGCCTTATTTTTTTAAAAAAACTGTTAAACATAAAAAGCAGAAATTCAATCAGACTGTTGTGGCTGCTATCTCCAGCTTTTTGACTGAATTCTGCAGATATCCATGCCTTTTATATAGAAATTTCTTTTACTTTGTTCAGTGGTGACATTATTCTAAAACAATAATTGATGAGACTTATTTCAATTTTTGTTTTATAACTAGTATCCAAAGTTGGTTCATCAAAAAGTTGTACAAAATATAGATCACTGCTAGATTGCTTCCACTTATCAATGTTAATACACCCCTGAATATCACTTATGAACAGAGAATTCTACCACTTGGTTTTAGCACTTAATCAGTTGTTTCCTTACAGATAGACATTTTAGCCCTATCACACAAATATCTGCAGATAAATGGGAGGATTATTTCTATAAAATATTTAAAAGGGAATCTGCTGTAATCTCTCTGATTCCCTCTCATTATGAGCTCACACATGGCCATCAGTATTCCTAACTGAGGCTAAAGATCTTATAGCCAAATTAACATCTAGAGGTGATTTTATCCAATTTATACCAATTTTGGCCACTTTATTCACACATATTAACCCAGGCCAATTCCCATTTTACATAGAAATAAAAGAAATACATTTGACCATACAAATTATAAGTCTAAGTTTATTAAACATAATAAAGTTTATACCAGATTTCTTTATATAAAATTAGTGTTATTGACTACAAAATGGAAATATCATTGCTGAAGAAGAGGGTGGATTTAGAGGGAAAAAACCAGCATTAGATTGTTGTGTGGTACTCTGTCAGAAAAATATTCTAGGCTCAACATTCCGTTTGCAACTTTTGATTTTAAGACAGATTTTATCTTAACAAGAGACTGGGACAGTCTGAGGTAGTCTTCTTTAGAAAAATGTTGCTTTTTCTTATTCAGCCACTTTACTCAAATATCTACCAGAGAATAAGATGTACACCTTAGGATCATTTATCTAAAGCGATCTCAACTTATAGAGATGTAAAACAAGTTTACATATTAAGTCCATTACTGTTTAATTTATATTTAAATCCAATAATCCAAGAGCTTCCTGTTTTAGTCCATCACCTATTTTAGCTGATTGTGCAATTCCAGCATTACTATATGTCAACAATGTAGCTATTATGTCTACTTCACAGGGGGGGAATGAGAAGCATGTGTAAAAGCTTATCAATAAGCTACCAGAAAAATCAAAGTTTAAAGTTTGCCTGACATTATCCTAAAATTCACAAATGGCAAATAAATGTGATGTTTGAAATGTGATATTAGATATCATGGAATGATTGTCAGAAATATGAGATCTATTTTGGAAAAAGGAATGAAGATGTGATGGCCTCCTCTGATGCTTCCCTGGACGCCTCTCCGGATACCAGCTTGCAGGAAAATAAGCCAGTCCCAGGCACGCACCGCGGAGGTGGCCGCATGTCCGGAGGTGGCCAGTGGCTCCGAACAGGGAGTGATGAGTCCGAGTGCAGTGGAGCAGGTGCACAGAGAGCAATCAGACTAGCAGCCACCTTAGCATGGGTCAGTTGAGAAACAGCTGTAGGACAGCCCTGAAGCTTTGGGTGGAGAGCCTGCAGCTGCAGTTGGCCAACAAGGAGGAGGAACTGCCTCCTCCACCCATTGTGAGCATGCAGGGTGGAGAACAGACTGGAGCAATGGAGATCAGCCCAGCTACTTGTGAAGTGGCAGTTTTGCCTCTCAATGGGCTACACCAGGTGCTATTTAACACAGCAGGAGGATGGAAATGATGTTGGGAACAACACATCCATTTTGTTGCCTAGCATTTGCCAGTCACTTAGTTGAGCTTCCTCACCCTGACACCCTGATTTTAGACCCTGGATTCATGACTCGACTCTTGGACCTGCCTTTGCCTTGAATCCTGTTCTCTAGACCTCTGACAGTGGACCTTGGTGTTGCCTTGCCTTGTGGACTGCTCCAGCTTCGTGCATTTGTGCTGGACTCATTCTAGAACTGAGCTGGGAACTTGGGAAGTTGCCTTATTGCTGGACTGGGTATTTTCTGGAGAAGACTCTTAGAGGGGCTGTCTATTAAGTATAAAAACAGATTCTTTTTTCTCAGTTTGTATTTTTAGTTTATCTGGGTTTGTTCAATTATTTAATTCTGTAATTAATTATTTACAATAATTATTATTAATAATAATTATTTACAATAATTAATAATAATAATTAACTATGAGTACACCTCAGAAAAGTTATTTTTTCTAAGGCCTACTAGCTTCATAAATACTTATGGTAGGTTAGCAAGGAAGATGTTAGAAATCTTAAAACCAGTGTAGGAAAATTGCATACAATTTTCATACAATCCTAAAAAATGCTTTTTTCTGTGGTAATTTTTGTATGGACGATCATACATAAAAAGAGTAGGTATAGTTTAATTCATAATCCTGAAAATAATAATCACCTGCAAAGAAAATCAGCCTTGTGAGCTTTCCATAAATCTTGTCATATTAAGTATTACTCAGTAAAATTGTTTCCCATTAGCAGAGAAGAAAAAAATGTCTTCTTAAATATAGCGAATTTTATAGGCATTGATGCTGTATTAGGTGGGTATAAAAAGCTTAGTGTGGTATGCACATTAAAAATCTTACATTCACAGCTTGATGAAAGTCCCCTGGCTAAATGTGATGCTTGATCTATTGTTTATTAACAGCCTTATTTCCCTGTCACAAATTAGCACAGAAGAAAGCAATTTCCTTTGAGACAGGGCAGGAATTGGCTTTGTTAGCTAGCTGTAGAAACAGGATGCACGCATTTATCATAACCATGCATCCCACTTACAAGAATTCTGTTGTCTTCAAATGACATACATGTCTTCTATTCTTTAGAGATGTGTCCAGATTATTTTTGATTGGTATTTTCAAAGACAGAAAACAGATTTTTCCAGAGAGCTAAAGATGGAATAGTTGAGGCACAATGCTTGGAACATTTGCACTTTATCCCACTGTTTCTTTTCATTGTATTTTCACTTAAAAAATCTGTAAAGCTTGTTAGATTAAAAAATTAGAGTGAAACAAAAGAAATCAGTATATATATGGAAAATAATGTTTGTTGATATACTGTATAATCACTTTTATATTTAAAAAAAGACTAAAGACTGAAAACCCTGCATGACCTACCTCTCTATAATAAGGTATTACCATCATACATAGACAGCTCAGTAATAATTAAAATCTTCCAAACCTTTTAATATGCTAATATTACAATACCATCATTGAACTTTTAAATTGTTTAAATAATTATTTCTTGCTGCTTTACTACCTACAGCATGCATACCAGCTCCTGTTTTAATTTCCTAAGTTTAAATTTTAAATTATAGTTTTGTGTGCTCTAATTAAAAAAAAATTGGTTCAAAAGAGCACTGTATAACTTTCCAAATAAATAAAATCCAAGATTTTATATAAATTCTAAAATTCTGTAGTGTAATGTCAGGCACAAGAATTAGAACCATTCTAGGTTCCAGTTAAGCTGATTTTACTGCTCATACTTATGCACATTTTATACACTAATTTAGTGGTAGATGAGTATTAACAGAATTTAAGAGGGGGCTGATGTCAAGTGCTGGGAAATCAGGAGATTCAGGCAGTTCAAATTAGTATAAAGATTTATTGCAAACTTAAGCTCTCTATAAGAATCTGACCTATTAACAGTCAAGGGAAACAAGCAGGAATAAGAAGGCATTCAAGGTGGACTAGACTTAGATCTCTTCCAGCGCCTAGGCTCAGCCTGTCATGTAAAGCTGGACTTGGACTGCTTGCAGGAACATAATGACTCCAGGCTGATTCCTCTCTTGACTCCGCCCCCTGCTCTGCCTCTTCTTTTCCTATATGTAATATTAAACATATTTACTCAGAAATAAACTATATAGATACTCCTGTACTTACACCCACAACTGAGTTCAAAATTTCCATTGCTAAGCAAGACAGTTGTTAAATGAATTTTGCCTTTTTCAACCTTTCTTGCCACAGTTAAGTGAATCACTGTAGTTGTTAAGTGAACCTGGCTTCCCTATTGACTTTGCTTGTCAGTAGGTGACAAAAAGGTGATCACATGACCCCAAGTCACTGTAACCAACATAAATATATGCTAGTTGTCAAGCATCTGAATTGTGATCATGTTAACATGGGGATGCTGCATAAGTTGAAAAACGTAAGTCACTTTTTTCAGTGCCATTATAATTTTGAATGGCCATTAAACAAATATTTATACATTGACAACTACTTGTAAAGAATTTAATTTTCTCCTTGAATAATAGTATTGGGTAAAAGTTGAATTAAGAAACTTCTTGAATCATTCCTTAATCTTAATAATATTAATCTTAACACACACTGGCTTCAGAGTTATGAAACCACCAATTTTGTGATTACAAAACTTCGGATTGTGTTGTGTAAATATACAAGATCAAACCATTCAGGTAACCTAAATATTTGTGAACTACAACTCCCATCAGCCTTAACTGGAACAGCCAACAAGGGCATAACATATAATGGGAACTGAAGTCCAAGAGAGTTATCCATTCATGTAATGGAGCGATTTTCTGGATTTGTGTGGCATGCTGAACCAGTAACTACAAACGTGGACCACATACTAGGCTAAAATATTGCTAATTTGTTGCTTAGTGGTTGTATGAAAACTGTATAATATGTGGACAGCATCAGTTGGAGGAGCTTAACTAGAACAGGATTGGCAATTTGACACTTACAGCAACAAACACACTTGTGAATACTTCTGATGTTTGCCAGGCTTTCCCTATCATTTTATTATACTTTAAAATATGTTAATTAAATATGTTAATTAAAATAAAGGTACAAGAACCTGCTGCAAACCAAAGCACATGCTGCAAACCAAAGCACAGCACCCCCAGCAATGTCTTTATTGTGCAAAATTGCTGATCCAAATAGGCCCCAAAGGCATTCTTAGAAATGCATTGTTTGGAAGGCTGCCCTATGCCTAAAAACAGGGCCATTTTAATTCAATAGTAAATACAGAACTATCATGAGTGGGTAGGCAGGCAACAAGGGCCAGTTTGCCTTCTGGTAGATCTTTATTCTGATTGACTTTTGTCAGCGACAGCCCTTTCGGAAATAGTCAATTGCGATCTACTTTGTGTCAGTACCTATGATAATCTCTCCAAACCCCCAATGCCTCCAGTAGGTCAGTAACATTGCCAATGTTCTGTTATTTGAAAGAACATTACATTCATGACAGCCAGGTTGGTGTAATGGTCAAAGCATCAGGCTAGAAACCTGAAGACCATGAGCTCTAGTCCTGCTTTAGCCACAAAGCCAGCAAGGGTGACCTTGGGCCAGTCACCTTCTCTCAGCCCTAGGAAAGAGGCAATGGCAAACCACTTCTGGAAAAACCTACCAAGAAACTGCAGGGATTTTGTCCAGGCGGTCTTTGAGAATCGGAGGCAACTGAAGGTGGTGTGGTGGTGGTCCGAGTTCACGGCATTTTACAAAGCTGTTGCTGATATAAGGAACTCCACTATGATTAACTAAACGAGGGATCAGCAACCTGTGGCTCTGGAGCTGCTGCGGCTCCTTGTCACTCAAAATATGCGTCACAACCACCAATGTGTGACACCCGCCGGAATACGATTTATTGAGCATTTCAATCCCTGGTAGGTCAACCATGGATAAATCCAAGAAAAGAAAAGTTTCAGAAGAAAACAGAACGTTTAATTCAAGTACATATGCTAGTTTTGTGGCCGCTCAAGAAATAGTCAGGCACGGGAAGGGTTTTGTGGCTCCCAGTGTTTTCTTTTTTGTGGGAAACTGGTCCAAATGGCTCTTTGAGTGTTTATGGTTGCAGATCCCTGAACTAAACCATGGTTTACTTCTCGCTGGGCTCTGCACAAGGTAACTAACTATAAAGGGGCTTCAATGGTTAGGTTCTCTCCCCTCCACCCCCAGGTATAAATAAACCCATTTTTTAGTCCAAACCAAAAAAAGCCCCCTTCTTTCTACCTCACATCAGCCTCGCCTTCCACATTAGTTCGCCCAAAATAGCCTCCTGAGTTCTGGCGGGATTTTCCAGAGGATTCCCCAATCCCCACAAGTTCCGAGTCGCTTCGGCCTAAGAGTGCAGCTACCAGGCTCCCGGTTTCTCCTCGTCGCCCTCTCGGGGTGGCCAGGAGTTCTTCAACCCAGATCGTTTACCGCCCACCGAAGAGCCACTTGAAAGCGCCTCCTCCTCCTGTCAGTTCGCAAAGGGTTTTCACGGCTCTCGCCCAGGGGAGCGCTCCGTGGGGCTTTATCTCGGGAACCCCAACCGTTGCCCCCCCCCCCCCCCCCCCCGCGGCCTTCCCAAACGTTTCTCCCGCTCGTGACGAAGGCAGGGTCGCGCGAGCCATCGAACTATTTCCTTCACGCGTTCGTCGTCGTCGTCGTCCTCAAAATGGAGCCCGTGGCTCACCCGGGCAGAAAGACGCAGGGAAAGACGAGGGGAAAAAAATGCCATTTAATCGAAGGGTGGGGAGGCCTTTAACATCAAAGAAAACGTAGACCCGACGGCCCTTTTTGGCTCCGCAGGGCAACTCGTTATTTCCGCCCCCCCCTCCCCCAGCTCTGAATCCTCTCGTCCAAACGTCCCTTCCTAAAATAAGAAGCTGACTTTTAGGGGGGGGGAGTCGCAGGCAAGGGAGGGATGCGGGGTGGTTTCACGGAGGGCTCTCGTTCCAGGCAGAAGTGGAAAAGAGATCGCGGCCCCTTTAAGAGAGGCACGGCGCTCTACCTTTGCCTTTGTACCTGCTATTTTGAAATGCGCCCTTGCCGCCCGCTCATTGGTTCGGGGAGAAATTATCGCTTCTCCTCGTAACCCGACCCAAGGCGGAAAATGAAATGCAACCTGAACGCGCCAGGCTCGGGCAGGGAGAAGAACCGAGCCCGGACCATCTGATTGGCCAATCAGGAGTCAGGAGGAGGAGCCCAATCCGCTAATCCCCTCCCTCCCATAAAACCGAGCGGTGTGCCGGAGGACCGAGTGGAGCGGTACGCGAAGATAAGCCGCTGTGCTTATTGGATTTCTCTCTTATTTTAGGTCCTTGCTTTTATTCTTCGCGTTGCTTCTCCAAGGTGTATTGCAGATTCTCATCCTGGAATGTCCTTTCCCGTCTTCCTCCCTCCCTCCCTCTGGCTTGAAATAATAGGCGATGCCTTGTTCTAAGCTTTCTCGGTTCCTTTCCGATGGTGGTTCTGAAAATTTAAATGCAGTTTTACAAAGAGACTGACATCATCCGGAGGGCTGTCTTAGAACTAAAAGCATTAAAAAAAAAGCGGAGGAAGGGATCGGTTTTTTAAAAATTGCATTTTCTTTTATTCTTTTCAACTCTAATTTGCTGCAGGCGGAGGGGTTGGGTCATTTAAGCTTGGAACCTGACCGTTTCTCAGCCTCGTATAGCTTTTATCTGTTGGAAATCTACGCGGCGTGGATACTGAACCCAAGCAGGTTGATTTTTAAGCTAACAGATTCTATTCTTATTGCTGCGGCTGTGTTAGCTTTGGGTAAGTTGACTTGCTTCACTTTTGAAAGGCTTTAAATATATATATATATATATGAAGCTCTGGGTGCTCATTCTTTTTCATTTTTATTTTATTTAGGCATGGGAGTTGTAAGGCAGAGAAAACATTTTACAGAAATGAGTGGATTTACAGTTTTTTGTGTTCTTGTGCTCTCTGAAGAATTGTAGGATTTTAAAAATACAAAATCACATTCCACAATGTTGCTGTGAATATTGAACTTGCAGAGTATTTAAAATATATTCCTTGAAAAGAACAGTTTGTGTCTCCTCTCCTTCCAAAGAGGAAGTAGAATATAAAAATGTCAAAAAATTCTGTGGAAGGTTCAAAGGAAGACCTGACCAAAATGACAGAAGAAGATCTGTTGAGATGGAACAAGGAAGAATTGGTGAAAAAGCTGAAGAAAGTAGAGAATGAAAAAATGAACTTGATGGTGGAGCACAGCAACTTGATGAAAGATGTGAACAGAAGACTCCAAGTTCACCTGCACGAGATCAGGGGGTTGAAAGAAGTTAATCAGAAGCTGCAGGATGATAACCAAGAACTGAGGGAGCTCTGCTGTTTCCTGGATGATGACAGGCAAAAGGGGAAAAAGCTGTCCAGGGAATGGCAGAGGTTTGGGAGACACACTGCAGGTGTAATGTGGAAGGAAGTTGGAATGTACCAGCAGAAGCTGAAAGAATTAGAAGCCAAGCAAGAATCCCTTTTGAGAGAAAATGTTGAGCTGAAGGAAATTGTGCTAATGCTGGATGAAGAGAGGAATGGAGCAGGCTCCCGAAGCTCCATAGATAGCCAAGCTAGTCTCACCAACCTCAATGGAGGTTCTGGAACCAGGGATGTTGGAGATGGGAGTAGTACATCCAGCGCTGGCAGTGCAGGAAGTCCAGATCACCACCATCATCTCCTTCACCATCACAAAGTTGTTGAAAACAAAGCTGGAGCCATCCGGAGATCTATGGATGACCTTTCTGCTCCTCTTCACCACCGGAGCATCCCAAATGGTCTCAATGGTAAGTCCTGGTTTCTAATTCATGCATTTTGTTTCCATATAAAGAGTAAATTGGCTTCCAGACATCTTTCTTTCTGAAGTTGACCCATCAGTGGAAGTTTGACTTTATTCAAAACTTGTACATCTTTGCCTTGCAGGTAAAAGTTTTCTTCATACTCTTTTGTCTATTAAAAAACCTGCATTTTTATGGTAAAAGAATGGATCTTGCTTCACCTGTTTTATGCATGCTTATATGAAAATCTACCCCATAGCTACCTACTTCTGGTAATATATAGTCCTGTTTAATTAACACAAGTGCAGGGTTTAATCTAACCTGTGTTTCTACTAGCCCATTTAATTGAATTCACAGCGGATGTATCTTTGTGAAATAGTATTGACCTTTCATTTAAGACTTCTTCCTCTTCCTGTTTCTAATATGGACTTGTTTTTACCATAAACATTTAGACAACCTACACTCTGATGTTGCATTGTTAAGGTATTATCAACTGCAAAACAAGTTACCTTGTCCTGAGATCTTGCCAATTTTAATTTATTACCTTGCATAGATGTACTTTGGGACAGAAGATGCCATGGAAAGTAGCTCTACTTGGTGGAGATGAGTACAGAGTAGCAATGAGAACTGACCTGCTGGGGCTCAGGTGATGGCATTCTGGATTTTAATCAAAAGTAATTTTCCCTTGGTTGGCTGTAAAACATTATTGTTCCACCTAGTGATCCTTATTCACATCACTGCCAAATGCTTTTAACTACATCTTTTATGTGAAGGCATTTTTGTGTTCGACCTTTCAATTACTAGATTAATAAATGAATTGTTTGTGGTCTAAAGAAACACAGATTGGGCTTTTCTTATTGGCTTTAGAATTCAATATTTAGCAGGATAAGTACCTCTGAATAATATTAATGTTAAAATTGTTGGCATTTTTGTGTGATATGAATTTATCTTCTGTGTTTTAAAATTTGACGCTGCAATTATCAGGTTGTTCAATAATGAATGTATTTAAATATTTTTAGGGTCTCTATTTTTAGAGACTGAACTGATTTCCAAAATGTTCTACTTATTTTATATATTTCTCTGTATTTTATCTGTACCATCTTGCTGGAGGCCTTTGAGCTAATAACTTAATAATAGGCAGTAGTAGGTATGTGGGCATATGACCAGTGGTGGGTTCCTCCCGGTTCGGTCCGGTTCGGCCAATATGACATCACCGAACCGGTTCTCCCCCCCGCCCTCCCACCCCCCCCACCCTCCCACGTTATTCTTACCTTTTATTTGGTCCCACCCCCAATCTATTGCTGCATCCTGAGTCCCAGCTGATGACTAGAGGGAAAAAACCTGTTTAAACTCTTGCCGCGGGGCTTCAAAGGGCCGTCCTACAGCTGATCAGTGTTAAAAGCAAACAAATGAGTTGGGTCATAAGTGCGAGGACCTTCCAGAAATGACTCTGACCAGCTAGCCATGCCCACCTAGTCACATGACCTCCAAGCCACACCCACAAAATAAGCCACGCCCACAGAACCGGTAGTAAAAAAATTTAGAACCCACCCCTGCATATGACATGCGATTTGTATTGGGCATATTGAATAACAAGCCAGAATTCCATTTTTTAAAATTTCACCCACAATCTTTTGAAATTTGTTCATATCTTAATGTCCAAACCACTGAGTTTTCATGGAGTGAGGCTTCCACAGAAATAGTGTATCCCTGACATTTTTTATTTTGTTTGTTTTCTGGACTTCGTGTGCAGAGATTGATTTCTTGGGGGCAACTACATGATTTCAGATTTTTAGGCTCTTGGTTAGAGTTTTTAAATGGATTTAAGGATTACATCAAGGATTGATCCTTGTATGTGGCTTAGTATTAGATTCATTAAATAAAAAACCTGACCTTTTGCTCCATTTCTTTGGAAATGAAATCCCATTAATTTTATTTCCAGGCAATGCTGTATCATGGTTTAGCGTTCTGAGGCAATTCTCAGTATATCTTACATATGTTTTTATATTAAGACTCAGAAATAAAGGTTTAAAAAATGAAAGAGAACAATAAAGTATAAAAAGTGTATAAGTAGCTCAGTTTTTTAAAAATAGCATTAAACTTTGACCACATATTGATCAGTCTTTCCATTACATCAATAGAAAGCTAGTTGATAAGCAGAGGGTCAAATGTATTATCAGTCAAAGATTGCAAAGGTGGGGTGGCATCATTTTTCCATTGTAAGAAAGTATTTTTTCTGCATTATCCTATGCTCAATTAATTTATAACCATTTGAAATTTTTGCTATATAATTCAGAATTACATTTGCATTTCAAAATTGTATACATTTGCAAGAGAATTACATTCGATTTGCATTCAACCGACAGACTTTTAAAAAGTAAAAAGCATCTACTAATAATAACTTTTTAAAGACAATTGAATCAGATAATTACCACCAAAAAACAACTGAAATAGAAAATATCAAATAAAAAAAACATATTAATGTTACAGGAATAATATGTTGAAATGTAGCAAAGAATTCCCTTGTGCAAACCAAGATATCTGTTTCATCCTCCTATTAAATATTTGCAGATTTTTCACTGTGATCCAATAGTATGATGTCAGTAAATCTAATTGCACCTGCAGCATCCCCTACCCACAGTAAGCCTCTCCGCCTGGCCTCCCTTGACTCATCTGTGGCCTATGCCGGCCCTGCCAGTGCATCTTCTAGCCTAACCCATTCCTTGCGGCACCACACTAGCC